TACTTTCGCTTGCCTGCCTGTTCATTGGTTACATCAAAAACAAGTACGAGCCCTCCCAGGTCTTACACTTCATCAACATTTCCTACGTGCTAATTTACTCCTCCTTCAATGTATTTGTGCAGTTTTTGATCCTGCTCTTGGCAATGGGCTATGGTATTGTGCATTCTCACAAACTGGGCTCTAGAAACCCACTAGTTTACCTGAAAAAAGCATCCGCTTTGTTGTTTATAAATTTAGGTGTTCTTGCAACCATGGTGGTTTGGGGCAGATTCATTCTGGCCCCACCTTCAACTATGGCCAACTGGGATGACCAATTAGTGTGGGTGTACTTTGGATTTCCTATGCAGACCTTCAAGCCGACATGGTTTGAATTGGTAGCTTCCGATATTATGGGCATCTTCAACACAATCTGGTTTATTGGCCAGGGTGTGAGCTATCACAAATTAAGAGAATTCACTGCCTCGTTTTCGGCCCCCTACAAAAACCAAATCAACTCGAAGATTACTAGGTCTGTTGTTGTGCTTGCATTTTTCATTCCAAGTGCATACAGAAAGGATGTTACGATCATATCAAAAACAAGGTGGAATTAAGGGATAGACCTCGCTGATGGACCATTACAGGTTTATATGGGGGTTGGGCACTTGAGCTTCTTTATCATGGTGATCTTGCTCTTCGCTATTTTCGTAAATGACAACAGCAGCCTGTGTGTCGAGAATGGTGCAACTCAAGAGAATAAGAGAATTTACTTCGAAAAAGAATTGGATGAGGAGCCAGTACAAGATACAGCTTAAGTACTAATTTAAAATACAGGGTATCGGTCGATGATAAAATTGAGCACGCGTAAAAAGCCAAAATGATTCTTTGAGTATTGCAACAAGGACTGTTTCAACGATCTAGAAGTTTCAAACTCAGGGGTTTTTAGTAATAAACTTAATGGGTAGTCGTTCATTGGATGTATTTGTTTACTGGTTGGTTCCAGATTCGTTATGAATGTAGCTAATGCAATGGCCTATCCAGTAAGCTACCTAGTTTGCTTCAAGAAGGTATTTCTCTGTCTAGCTAATTCATATTGACCCCTCTATTACCATAAGAAGGAAAAAAGTATGAGCACGAACTATCTCAACTTCAACAATTTGTAATGTCTATAGTTCAGAACATATGTGCTCTGGTTTAAAATAATAGCCACCCACTTACAGATTGCTCTTTTTGGATTCTAATGATTATGGAGAAATTCTCCCGGTTCTGGCCTGGAATATGTGTGGAACGGTTATTAATGGTCGTAATTTTAAGGGTTTCCCTGGTTGCAAGTTCTTAATTTGGGTTATGTGCATTCTCTGCTTCGTTGGGAACGAATTGAGGTTCGTTCAGTGTATTCCCCTCATTCGATGCACTTGCAACTGAGTTGGGTGCATCACTAGCGGTTGTGATTAGAAATTGCCTAAAGTAAAACCAATACCAAGGAGGTAACAAAAACCAAGCCACAGCCTCTCTGGTATAATTGGTAGAGTTCACATTGTACTTTTCCAATGTTTTTTCCCTCAATTCTCTTCTTCTATCGTTGGAGTCGTGGTACACCTTTCCCAATAAAAAAGACCTCAGGAACCACCAGAAATGTGCCAAACTGTAAGTTACATAGATGGTCACTAATGGTTTTGATTTCAACACCGGTATCAACAATGAGAAGTTACCTGCAAATATCAGGACTACCTCATTCAAGATGTTTCCAAAAAAGAGCAAGTTGAAAAATGTAATGCACCATGGAAGATACGCTGCCCTCATGCGTATTACCCACATGAGGTTCACCTCAGCATCGGGGTCTTCCCGGCAAGAAATGTACAACAATATGTCGTTTAAATTCACTCCTAGCATCAAGGAGACGTACCCGATCTTATAATATAAGGTGGAATTGACTATGGCTATTGAGGCACAAATTTGTAATGCGTAATAAAGGTAGTCGAGTGATCGGTTCCTGTCGATGAATTCTTGTACAAGCTCCTTCCGTCTCCCTGACAATCTTTTGAACTCTTGGGGGAAAAGATGCAATTTGCTCATGAAAGCTGATTCCAACATACGACTTGAACGTTCCAAACTCCACAAATAATAAATCATCTCAAACGAGAACTCATCAAAAAGGAAAAAGGTAGTGACCAACCTCCACGGCTCGTTTCCAAACGCTCTCTCGGGTATGAATGCCAAATTCGTTTTGCTTACTAGCCTGAGCTTGATTAATATTGATATCATTAGAATTCCGGCCACCCAACCCCTAGTGACGGGAGGAACGGCCCTAACCCATTGCAAGAGGAGATCCATGAGCATCTCATGCAATTGTGAAAATGGGGTCTAAATGGTGTAAAGTAGTGACTAATGGTGACTGTACTAGAATGTATATGACAGATACATCACAACCACCGCGTTGTATGCAGGATTTTTTGCCAGCATAGCCATGGTTTGGTTGCGCTAGAGGAATGCACAAGGTATGTCCTCGCTTATGTTGCAGTGTGCCATTGATACGGTTCATTTCATAAACCTAGCGGTGTGGCCCAAATTTATGTTGAACTGTTTTGGAGCTGGATTGAGTAAATTTGTTGGCCAAAGGTTCTCCCATCATGGTGAAATCTAAGTGTCAGCTTTACAGTGGTATCATTGTAGTTTCGTAAGCTAAAAGAATAAGTATGGACCTTTGGTAAAATAATAATAAATATACATTGCACAACCAGATGAGAAATCGAGAATAACCCAATTGGATAAAGGCATTGTTTCAGTATCACTATTCTTCAGTTCTCAAAACCGTATCGTTCGTTATCCCCAGTGTCTTTGATCAAGTAGCAGATGAGGCCTTGTATCGTATAAAATATCATTTTAGAAATAAATTTGCATTTTATAACGCAGTATGCAACTCATACCAATGGAACGTCCTTCAATCCGATCTGGCTCCCCAAATTGAAGAGAAACAGATCTAGGTCTCTACTGATCATCTCACCACGCATTAATTCTTGAGAGTTCCCTTCATAAAATTCACTACTTATCTCAAGTTTCTTTGCTTCTGCTTCTATGTTCTTGGGGACAAAATTATGATGTAAAGACACATCGATGGAATCCAAATTTTTGGTAATCAGCTCAATAAGATCATCGTAGTTCTTCGTCAAAGAGATGTAATCTTCGTAATTATATGCCTTGTATGACGAGGGTGGCTTTGGAAACACTTTGTTGCCAGTCTTTTTAGGGAAAACTGGCCTTTCGGTTAATTCTGGATCGTAGAGTGGTCTTTTCAATACGGTCAGGTTCTTTCGATTTGTGCGCCTTCTTCGTCCTTTGTTTGTCTCAGAAATAGAGTTGGATGATTCTATTTTGACTCTCGTACGTCTTGGTCTAGCTCGTATTGCTCTTACTTCTTGAAATGCTTGTCTGGACTTTTGCTCACCTTTCCTTGGTGGAATATCGCACTCCAAATCTGGATTCAGTCGTATGAGTGCATTGTACCTATCTATATCAAGTTGGATTTCGGCCTGCGATCTCTTCTTCTTGAAGTTTGAGTGAGTTGTTGATAGCTTAGAATCCATCGTTGGTACAGAGGTTGCTTGGCTCTCTAGATCTTCTTACCTAGTGCGAGTCCATCTCATCACCATTCGAGATTTTCACGTGACCCACAACGCATCTCATTAATCAGAAAAATTTCCCACACCAACACCACCATTAACATGTTGTACTTGATAGGATTAGGATTGTCTTACGAATCCGATATCACCGTCCGTGGTTTGGAAGTCGTCAAGAAATGTAAAAGAGTTTACCTTGAAGCTTACACCTCCATATTGATGGCTGCAGACAAGGAATCACTCGAGAAGTTTTATGGAAGGGAAGTCATCTTAGCCGATAGAGAACTTGTTGAAACTGGATCTGACGAAATCTTGGCTGATGCTCAAACTGAAGATATTGCTTTCTTGGTGGTTGGTGACCCATTCGGTGCCACTACCCACACTGACTTGATTATTAGGGCCAGAGAATTGAAGATCAAAGTTGAAGCCATCCACAATGCTTCTGTAATGAATGCCGTTGGTGCCTGTGGGTTACAATTGTACCAATTTGGCCAAACTGTTTCCCTTGTCTTCTTCACCGACTCTTGGAAGCCAGATTCTTTCTACAATAAGGTGATGGAGAACAGAAAGATTGGATTGCATACCCTTTTATTGTTGGATATCAAGGTCAAGGAGCAAAGCATCGAAAACATGGCTAGAGGAAGATTGATCTATGAACCTCCAAGATACATGGATATTGCTACTGCTTGTCAACAATTGCTCGAAATCGAAGATCTCAGACAAGAACAAGCATACACTCCCAACACTCCATGTGTTGCCGTTTCCAGACTTGGCTCTCCAAGTCAAACTTTTAAAGCTGGCACCTTAAAGGAATTGAGTGAATATGACTCTGGTGAGCCATTGCACTCTTTGGTCATGTTGGGAAGGCAAGTTCATGACTTGGAATTGGAATACTTGTACCAATATGTTGACGATCAGGAAAAGTTCAGAAAGTTCGTGGAAGAGGATCAGGAATTTTTCAAGCCACCACCATATGTTCCTCCTGAGGAAAATATGAGTGATGATGAGTAGGTTAGCAGTGCTAGCAGTTTACCTCACATAATAGAAATAAATGTATTTAGTATGATAGTAGCATACATTCCTTGGTAGGTAGTAGTTGTATTGGCAGGAGGTTCTTTTACGGTGGAAGTCATAGCTATTTCCAAATAAATATATTACTCAAGGTCTATGAAAAATGGGCTATCCAGAAGATATCAAGGGGTACTTTTATCGTAACAAGCTTATGTAGACTTCTTGCTGAAATATCCCAAGCTCAATCGCTTTTGGCCTTTTCCAAGATGTTTTCATTAATATCCCAGACCAACCAGTCAAACCACCCGTAATAGGCGGGGAAAATTGTTACAAGGTGCCACAATGCATGGGCATCCACAAGATCAAAAAAGAATGGCGGAAAATCAAACACCTCCAACGACATACCCAACATCACAATTGTACTCAATAGTAATGGATACAAAGAGTATAGCTTAGGTGAGTTGGCATAGAAACTTGGTAGTATCACTCTGCGTAATGAAGTGTACTTCAAGAAGGAAAGATTTGCCGGTTCGTTCATGATGTTTTCTTTTTCGATCCCATTATGGCTTGCTTTCTTTGCCTGTTCTTCTGCATAAAATTTGCTGTATAAGCTGTACACCAATAAGCCCAATCCACCGTTCTGTAAGACCCCCACGGCTATGTTGGCTTGCATGTTATACGTATAAGACCAGTCGTTCACGAGCCTATACACATGACAAGCATACGCTCCAACACAGATTGCTCCTAAGCTGATTCGAGAATACACTCTTCCGGGCTCGAACAGACCTAACAACCTCGATGCAATGAAGTGGAACCCACTCAAAACGGTCAAGCCAGCAAAGTAATAGTCCAACTTCTCGGTAAGGTCGTAATCTCTGAAATGAAATATGGTGGAAAACGTCCATGCCATCATCGACACAACAGCAAGAAAGAGGACATTGTAGTTGGCGTATGTGAGTCTTGGATCGAGTTTTTTGTCCTTCATCAATCCAAACACCCTCTTGAATCCTAACCAGTTTACGTAAAAGTTGCCCACCGAGAAGATAGCAGACACAAGCTCTTGAATTCCGTACACTCTGAGGAATGGCCACTTGCCGTGATATTGGTAGAGCTCCTCGTTGTTGTCCTTTCTCATCTGGTGAATGATTCTTTGGCACTGGTAGTCACAGTTCAGCTCGCACGTCCAGCCTAAGAGTCGAAGATGGAGAGGCAACGGAATGGAGTCAAACTCCCAGTCTCCATTGTAGTACTTGAACTCGAAATCAGGTTCGTCCTTGAGAATGTTCCGGAACCTCCACTGGAACTCGTAATAATGATTGTTGTGACAGGTGACTTGTTCACATTGGTATACACAATCCGAAAATGCATAAAGATCATCTCCGTGTGAAGCAATTGCTTTACCTATGAGTGGAGACCATGCAGACGCTATGCAGAGGACAGTGGACCAATGCATTGTGCTAGTAGCGGTAGATAATGAGAATGTCTTGAAGATGTATTTTTCCCCAGGTTTAGCGAGCGAAATTATCCGGGAGTTTAGGGCGTGGAGTTCTGCCAAAGTACAAATGCAAAGCTAGCTTATGGGAAAGTGATGAGTTATTGCTCCTTCATTTGTGTGGTCCAACTATTCGGCTTCAACAATAGGTCTTTAAAAAAATTAAAAACTAAATGGACGAGACAGGAATCGAACCAGTGACCTTTTGCTTGCAAGGCAAACGCGCTACCAACTACGCCACACGCCCATTCATACTAAAGTTTTGTGGTTTGAAACACCCCGTCGTGCAGTAAAAGTATTTGTATCCTGCATATAGTCTTGGCCAGTCAAAAGGCGGCTAACGGGTTATCTAGCGAGTAGATTATTATATACTAAACCCATAAGCAAATAAAATCTCTTCTAGGGTTTCTACTTTCTTGAAGTGTCTTTGTCTTTTATATATCACATATATTATCAAAGACTCAGTCAACTGTCTTTACTTCAACAATTAAATTATAAACGTATGACCATTCTATAGTAATAGGTATATAGTCAGTAGATTATATCCAAAAAAATAATTGTACTGCCAAAAGACTTGAAATCAGGGTTGACTCATTCGGGATCCCGGTTCTCCTCTTGCTTGTTACTCCCTTCTTCGACTTTTCCTTTTTTCCATAAATCAAGACTCAAGCATTCTGAGACTTTATGTTGCTACAATTCCCAATGAAAATCGACCTCGGTTTTTGTGGATGGACAACAAGTAGTTGGTTTCTCCAGGCTTATATTAAGGTACTACACATATAACTTATGTTCCATTAACACAGAATAACTGCATGTCTTCTAATGCAATTTTTACCCCCAATACTGTGCCTTGTTTTCCTATAATTCTAGTAAGTCACCGTTGTCTTTGTATCATTCCCCATCCCCAAGCTCACATACATTACATATAGACCTGCAGCTATTAATGTTACACCAAAACTGAAAAAAAGGACTCGCTTGCGTTTGCTAATTCCTCTATGGGTCTGTATATGTTCCTTTATTGGACCAGTGATGTGATCGTACCCATCGTCTCTTGCCTCTAGCTTGCCTGAACCAAATGTAACTAATCCTCCTCCCTTAGCAACTCCGTGCGAGTTATCATATCCACCATTCACCAGCTCATAAACCTCACCTAAAATTGGATTACCTTCAGCAACCTTAACATACAACCATAAAACTAACACTATCGACATCAATGCTGACCGAAACATCTTGTTACTCTTTTATCTCTCGTTAAATTAGTGGATATTTATATGATCAATTTTCCCTCCCCCCCCCCTAATTCCACTTGATATACGGCACCAAAGCATAATCCACACTTGGTGAGTAAAAATGATAAGACGAAGGTTCCAGATGACGGGCCCCTACGAAATCTATAATGGAACAGCAAAGTACACAGCTAGAGTAGCAGCGGTGAAATAAAGTCCAAGACAGGTATTTCCCAAGCGGATGGTACGAATGTTTCATCCGGTTTATTACACCAGTTGAGAAAATTAATCCTATATAAAGTGGCTGTCAGACTGTTTTCCTGTTGGCAGAAAAGGCAATATGTAACCGAAGTTGAATATCCTGGAGAGAACAATTCTACATCTTATTCTTTCAATTGGTATAGTACAGTTATTTCTATTATTAAAAAACAATTACAAAGCTTCCTTAAATGATACCCACTTGCTCTATGCTCCGAGAGTATCCATAAAACAGCAAAAGTGAGAAACTTAACAAGTGGGTTATCTGTGACGCAATATTGGGTCAGTATTGTCAAAAACTATTGGTTCTTCAATACAACTACAATTTCCAACCTGTTGTATCTGAACCGTCAAATCTATGAATCAGATTATGAATGTTGGCATGAAGCCACACATCACTAGGACTCGGGCTACATCAATTTCCTATTATGCATGACATTCGCTATACGACTTTGGGAACAATACTAGCTTGATCCGCTCACCACCAACTTTTGTAAATGGCTCATAAACACCTGTAATGAGACATCATCAGTCAAAACAATAGCTCCGTTATTAGTAATAAGATCCGAACTGTTGTAAGTGGTGGATGGATTCAACTTGGAGTACAAGAATCTTGCTTGTGACCCACCTTCTTCGGTGTCGATGAATCTTGGTAATGGGTAACGATCAACCAACAATTCTGCAGCTTCTTGTTTTGGCTCCTCTAATAGAGTTTTAAAGCTTTCATACTCTGGTTGATCTTGGTAACCAGCCTTTCTCCATTGAGAAATAGTCTTACCATGGAAGATCAAAATGTGGAAGAACGTATCCAATAATAAAATTCTATCGTCCTTGATTGAAACAGAATCAAGCAAGACAGCTTCTGGTTCACCTTCCAAAGAGAAAGAAGTCAAGGTTGGTTGAATCATAATTAAGGAGTTGTTGGTATCTTCACTCAATAAGACGTGTCTGTAGAATGCAGTTTCATCGGGAGAATTGTTGAAAACTTGCAAGAATTGGGATCTTCTCAAGTAGTATATGAATTGAGGATATAATTGAAATTGGGGTCCCAATCTGAAAGATTCTTCTTGGTCCTTCCTGTAGTCAGCGAATTTTTGACACAATCTAATCAACATACGGTCAATCCACCTCAAAACATCGGCTCCGTCATCTTGTTCTGACTTGAACAAAGTAACCCTAGCCATCAAGACTGCTGCTGCTTCTTGGTCAAAAGAGTTGGTCAAAGTTTGTTCATCACTGGTCAAGAAGTTTGAGATTGTGGTGACCCTAATTCTGTAAGTACCAGATGAGTGTTGGTAATGAGTGATGAATTGAATGTAACTTTGAGAGTTTTGTGGCAAAGCTTGTGCATTCACCACATCGAAGAACACCCCATAAGAATGCTGAGGAGAAACTGAACACAATTTGTATTGAGAGGTGCCACCAATTCCTAATTCATTTTCAGAAACATTTGGAGTTTTGACTCCTAAGGAAGCAACGTGTCCAATTATACCGCTCACCTTCAATTCCCTAGAGGTCTTGATATCGAAGGTACCGTTGAAGCCCATTAATAAGTAACCCTCGCTATCTTTGTTGAATAATCTTAAGAAAGATTGCTTGAAAATAGAAGTGGTGAAAGCATCGGACAACAAGAGAGTACCACCAGTTTGGTTACACAAGTTCTTCATTTCCAGCATACCAATTTGATCGTAACAACCGGCAAAAATATCAATGGTGTGGGCGTTCTTGACGACTCTGGTTGCAATGGAGTCATAGAATTTGATGGCCTTCTTGTAGTGCTTAGCACTGTCCTTGTCAATATCAGAGTGGGATCTAATTGGCTCCTTCAATTGGGCACCCACAATCAAACCGGGACTCAAAGTACCTGGGCCAGCAGAGAATAACATAATTCTAGCACCAAACCCGGCGTAAGTCAAACCTAACAAGTTGGTGGCAACGTTCAAGGCGGAACCTGTTGATCTTAAAGGTCTAGCATCCTTGGCGACAGTCCATGGATCCCTGGACAAGTTCTCCAAAAGAGAGGTCAATTGGAACTCCACATCTTCCACAGGCAAGAAGAATCTAGTCAAAGAGTTGGCAAATTGAGGTGGTTGACCTGGGGGCGAGGAGGTTGGTCTATTCAACATATCACTGATTTGCTTGTCGGTGTATTCCTTATCACCACGGAAAATGTAAGACCTGTTGATTTTTTCAGAGCCCAAGTCGTGGACTTGGACCATGGTTCCGTAGGTGATCAAACCAATCAATGCATTAGGAGGTAACAAGCTCAAGGAAATCACCAAGGTCTCTTTCAATGCTTTCAAGTTGTCTTCATCTTGGCACAAGTCGATGACAAAAAAGAAGATGGGTGGATTTTGCACTGGTCTTGCAGTGATGTATTCAATGGTGGAACTGGTTGGTTGGAGTTCCAATGGAAGGTTCTCTTGGGAAATGCCTTGGTAGTGGACGGGCAATGGGTTTCTGAAAGAACACAAAGGACAGTGCCAGTTTCCAGTAGGATCAATGGTACAGTATGGATTGAAGATACTTTTACAGTTTTGGTTGGTGCAGAAGACTGGATCATAGGCGGCAATAGGTAAATCCTCTCTGAACTTCAAAGGAGTGTACAACGCGCCGGTGGGAACCACAATCTTGCCTGCCTCCACCTTTGTGGAAGGAAAGGCGTTCCAGGCGAAACGGACTCCGTTGATGTCCTCGGCTTCTTCAAAATCCATGGTGGTGAGTTAGTGTAGTTGACGGTTGGTTGTTTTTCACGAAAGGACAACTCATATCGTCGAGGGCACGTGAGGCGCGTTTCAATAAATATCACGTGACTGTGTCATTTGTGTGCGAATTGTGTCTTTATGTTAATTTACGATCGTAAAAATCCGTGATAGTTTAGTGGCTAGAATTACCGCTTGTCGCGTGGTAGACCGGGGTTCAATTCCCCGTCGCGGAGTTTTTTTTTGATTTTGCCCATTTGGGTCAAAGAAATTAATGCATGCAGAAGAGCTCTTACAGTTTGAGTATCTGCACTTCCAAAATTCACATATTAGGAGCTCTGAGAGCATCTCCGTCTAATCCAGGAATTAGAGCCTTCTTGGCTCATCCTCGCATTCCGTGCTTCTTGTAGGTAAATAATATCCTCCCAATTTCCCCCTATTTGCCGTATCCAAACGCCGGGGGATGTCTCGGGGTCTGAAATTCGATGCCTGGTCAATCAGTGGCCAGCCGGTGTCTGAAGGCTTGATTAAAATCCAGTCTTAACCATTAATACCACGAAGAACCGGGCACCTCCATTTGTTTCTGCGGAGCTCAAGCACACAAAATACTGTTGGCCCCACAAAAAATGGATCTTGAGCTACGTTAAGCCTACATGTACCTAGCCCATCGTCGATTTTAAGAGCGCAAATGTTTTCCCCAAACAGGAAAGCCACTAACGCCGAAGTCGCTGGTGATCCCCCAGACGATGTGCCTACGGTGCCGTCCAAACGCCTCAGTTCCTAATTATTATGATCACTAGTGATGCGATTCTGCACACCTTCCTATCACCGGACTCCGATTGGTGAATTCGGACTTATGTACCTGCTGAGGTCGTGCGCGTGTCCGCGGACTTTGGACCCACAATCTGGGGTCACCACAATAGCCACGCACCTCGTAAAAACCGCAGGCCAGAGGCCCCTTCCTATACCCCGCCATCCCACCATTGTTGATGCCGCTTATCGCTGCCCCAATCTCGCTGATTGGCCCCCCTGTCACCGTGGCTAATATCCGCAGCCTGCCTTAAACCCTCTGTCCCATTTCACCGCTGCATCTTGAATGTTGAGCCGCGACGCCTGACACATCGCATGTCGTGTGCACACCGCCCACACCTATAAGAAGTGCTTATCCCCGCAACCCATAACCACATACACAAATTTACCATATAGGTCTACGGGGATCTACAGAAAGATCTTGAACCGGTCTGCCACCCTCCTCTGTGAGCCAGTCTTTTCCAACATCCAAACCCGCTTCTATCTGGCACCAGTCCCATCCTTTTCCATGGAGATCGAAAACCCATCTGAATCACACATTTCCCATCCCAGGGGCCATGAGAGCCCCCCAATCAAGCACGAGTCCCACAAGATGAACACCCCCGACCTGCCGCGCGTCATCGCAGCGACCCATGCCAAATCAGCCACGCCTCCCGACCGTGAAATCAAGACCAAACTAAAGGTGTTGGGCAACGGAAGGGTGATGAAAGTACAAAAAGCGCGCCAGCGGAAGATCTTGAGCTGTGTCTACTGCCACTCAAAGAAGATAAAGTGTTCGCGAGTCCAGCCAATATGCAATAACTGTGAGAAAATCGGCATCGAGTGCAAATACTTCGTCAATGAACGGATCAGTAGAGGGGGTAAGAAATCAGCACGGTTGACGGACCAGGAAAGAAGCGCCATGGAAAACACCAAGCCTGCTCCCAAACCTTCCAACTATACCATCGAGACCTCAGCCAATAATCGTGACTCCTTCAGTTCCGAGGAATCGATCGTGCTCTCTCCAGCAAATGAACTCAAGAATTTGGATAACTCGGCCACTTCCACAGCTACCAGCATCCACATGGATAGCTCGGAATCAAGGCATTTGGAATCTGAGAATTCTGCTTTCCCAAAGTACGACGTTGGTACGCACGATCTTTCCATGAATTACTTCAACATCCAGCAAAATGGATCAATCTCGACTCCCCACTCGGGGCCAGCTGCTAATAACGTGCCAAACAGCTTGCTCCAAACGCCAATTATGAATAACATGTCAAATAATATCACCAACAACTTCTTCAATACCAATTATTCCAACCAACCGCCCCAGGTGAACAGTGGTCACCGGCTTACCGACGAGCTGTATTCGTTCAATTTAAGCTCTTTCGCACTCAACAACGAATCATTAACGGCTAACCCCAATGTTGAGTCTCCAAGCCTTCCTTCGAGCTTATCCCATACGAACATTAACGCATTTTTCAGCAAGAATACATCCAACTTCCTCGAAAACGGTGGAGCACCAAACCAAGCCCACGCGGAATCCCCTGATTTAAACTTCAATGGCCCTCTGTCCACGTCAAAATCGCATGAACAGATTTCAAAAACCACCACCAATTCAACACTCAATAATTCCTTAAATGCTCTCCCATCAAATCCTGCCACAACTATCAACTATTTGTACGGTACTAACACCTACTATGAGAATAATAATCTACTCGAAGATTTGTGGCAACATCTTCCATCATCCAAAGAAAGATCGTTTGAGTTGATCGATCGTTATGTAAACTCGGTTCATATTTTGCTACCAATTTTTGTGAGTTTGAACGATTTTCTCGCAGTTCATGAGCAGTACTGGGAGCTCAGAACTGCCAAAACTAACGACATGGCAACTCATAATAGAATTACTGGGTCTAAAAAGTCACCTGGGTCTTCAGCCTCAGGGGGATCTCCCAACGATGGTTCACCTTCCAACGGCATCGAAATCGACTATCTTCAGTTCTATACATTGTACTTTCCTGTGTTGTATGCCGCCACCATTTCAGAGTTCGAAGAGTACGACAATTTATTACTAAACCAAGACATCAATAATTACTTGAAAGGCTTCAACAAGATTTGCCAGTATTACAATTATCCTCATGGATTGAAAACCATTCCTTTGCTTTTAGGCAATGTTATCATACAGTCAACCTCGCCCAACCCTTCAGCTATGGAGATGTCACAAATTATTAGGTACGCCAAATTTCTCCATTTGCATAAAGATCCAGTATTGAGCTTGGGAATAAAGAATTGGGATGCGATTAAATTCAGAAGATTGTTATGGTGGATAATTTTTGGTTTGGATGCATTGACTTCACACAATTTCTGCTTACCTCCTAACTGTAAATTTGAAGACTTCAATGTGTTAATGCCCGAAGAGGATGAACCAATTGACTCTGGTAGAGGGAATAATAATAATAGCGGAGATCATAAAGGTCCCGAAAAAAGACTTAATATTGGAATATTGTCCATGAATGTAAAGTTCAAGTACGACAGAATTATGAGTGAATTGGTTTACCACTTACACAATGGCCTTTCGTCTAACATTAGTAAACTGCAAATTGAAGAAATCAAAATGATGATAGTCGAGTATCACAAATATATTCATCATTCTATCAATAAGATGAATCACCATTTTAGACTCAATCCTCCATCTTCAGTTCAAGAAGTGAATTTGATTAATTTCATTAAAAACCATTCTTGGAGTTTTGTGGATAGAGCCATGATGCTCTTGCACAAGAAGATTTTGATGAGTGATCTGGATCTGAGACATAACCAAGACCCAGATAGTCTGGGGAACGATGGTAAACTCAAATCTGGTTATTCAAGAAATTCTCCGGACTCTTCGAATGGTACTTCCAGCTTGAGGCTGAAGAGTCTTTCTATGAGTCAGTATGAAGATACCTTTGGACATTTAAAAGAGGCCAACATCATATCAAACCTCAATAACTCGTCAATTTCACTGCTTAGATTTAACCAATCTGAAAACTTTTCTTATGAGAACATGCACAATAATCTAATTCCTTCTATTTTACACAACTTGAACGATTTCCTTAAGTATAACGATTTTATCAAGTTTGGTAAGTTTAATTGGTATGTCAAAAGAACAATCCCCTTGGATTCTATCATTTTGATGTTCATCATAATCACAGTTAAGTTCAAGTACGAATTTATGACCTTGAGTGAGCTTTGTGTCTATGTGAAATTGATCAACAAAAGTTTGTTCATCTTGAATAGAAAATGGTTCAAGAACGAAAAATACAAGAGAATGTTAAGTTTGACAAACTTGGCATGGGAATTCATCTTGAAGAGATACAATATTGTGCAGTTGGTAAGTCAGTTCAGTGAAGCTAATAAGTTAGAAGGTAGCAACAACAATGGAGCTAATAAATTGGAAATTTTTGACTACCAAGAGACCAGCTTCATGAATATGAATGAGTTGTTCAGTGTCATGGATGTACCCCAGCCCATCTTATCAGGTGGTGAAAATAAGGAATCAAAGCAGCAAAATAACTTTTTGAAGAATGACGCAAGTGAATATGCACAATCATTAGCGAGTGTCAACAATCAGCTTGCTATTAGTTCTACGCATTTAAGTTTGGAAACTTTAACTGAGTTGATGAGATTGAATGAAAAAATATACTACGACTTAAGAAACAACTATGTGGATGTTAATGACTATTGCGCATTTTATTCAAGCTTGGAGGATATTATTCATGAGTTGATGGATTTCATTCATCGAACCCAGTAATCTTTGCCATCTGGGTATAAGGAAAGTCTTCTAGCTTCCCTTTGTGGAACGCTAGGATGAGACAATTAAAAGAGCAAATAGCAAGTCCTTTGGCAATTATGCTAGCTCACAATAACGAATTTATGTTTATTTATTGCATCAATATATTTATTATGATAATGTCCATTCGTAGCATCAGGTGGGTAACAAATGTTCGTGGTCGGACACTGTAATTGGTCAAAAAAATGAGCGGTACGGGAATCGAACCCGTGACACCTGCTTGGAAGGCAGATATGTTAACCACTACACCAACCGCCCTAATTTTTAAAAAATTAAGAAATATTTAATTCTAGACTATCTACTCTACACAAGCATTTGAAATCTTCCCAAAAAATATATTTCATGTGCATATCTCTTTAATATTATTGCCTTTTATGCAAAAAATGAAGGAAAAATTCAAAAAATGTCACGAAAACGTAAATTTAAAAATTCTCAACTGAGATTAAAAACACTGCATGTTTCTTAGTGAACTAAGCCATATAGTTAAGTCATACTGGAACAAATCCTTACATATAATGGGCATTTAGAGAGTAATAAGCTTCCTCTGAAATTCAAATATTTTAGGGATATCACTACCCTCAGAACGATTGAAACTGAAATTAGGCAGCACAATGCTAGATCTGTATGATAAGGTGGATGAGCAGTGCGTGATTCATACGTTGGCAGCTAGGCTTACTGACTCCCCATAAATGTACCAGAAACAAAATAGTTGGAGATATTCTTCTTACCAACAGAGAATTTTTTGTCTAATGCACGTGAGCTGGGGCTTCAAACAATAGCTGGATAGTCATACGAGCTCCATGACAACCCCAGGGGCAGCTAAGATCTCTATGCATATCCTGTCATCGGACACATAGTAGTAATAATTCAGAAAGTGCAAAAATTATCAACTGGAAATGCATTACTGCACTACCAATCTTAAAGAAATTCCTTGTCTTTACGTAATAAGAGCAAACTACCGATACTAGAACCCATTTTGGTTTCCAAACCAAAATATGCTCTAGCACGAATCGCGAACTAGAGAAAGAAAAGCCCAAAAGCATTCCCTTCAATAGCACTGTTGCATGCAGCACTTTGTCGTTTCCGACAAAGCACAACATACCTAGTAGAAGCTGCCCGAAGGCAACATCAGTGTGGCCGACACACAACATGGTACTATAGTCACCTCAAGCAATGCAATTTAATTGACATGCTCAAGAGTAACTTGTCAGACTGCCACTTATACCCACCCAAAACTCTTTCTTCCGAAGAAGCATAAAGAAAAGGGTCAAGATCATCGCTCCTTTTAGGACGTCAGGCCGAAGCCTTCAGCCCAAACAAAGGCAAACAAAATGTAGATGACCGGACTGCTGAGAGTCACGGACAAGCTAAAGATTATTCTCACTTTGAGGGTATAAGGGTATCTCACTCATCAACCAAGTTGGATTCAGTGGCTCTTTTGAAGAGTCAAAGAGGGACGTGACCTATAGAAATGATCCTATGAAGTACGTCGACAAAGAAAAAAAAGGAAACCAGGAATGGCGGCGAATTTGGACTCCCTTTATACTTTTCAGAAAACCGGGTAACTGAGGCTCGATGAGATGAGGATCTATGATTACGTAATTGCAGTTGCACTTAGGGCTCCGATATCAAAACGACCTGGCGACACCTATGCTAGTTGGTAAAATGCCAACTACAAGTGGAATAATTAGGGAGAAGTCATTTTCATGTTGAATATGTAGAGTATTATTTATATTATTACAGTATTTTCATTCTTTTGGAACCTTGGAGGGTAATTATTTCATTTGATTAACAATTTCGAGGCTGCCAACTTGGGGAGAGTGAGAGTTGATAAGTCTATCGTGCTTTTTGCTAGGCTCTTGTTCAGTACTTGCAGACCTGCTTGCGTTAAACTAAGCCTGTCCTTTTAGATAGGTACGTCCTTGGTCAGTTCAAAATTGATGTCCAAGGGGAAATACCGGTTTGTGAGTATTATGTCAAAGTTTGTTCCCTTATTCTCGCTTACGGTTTAACCTTGTATTTAAATTGACCTTGTATTTGAATTGAAACCCTTTTCCCTCTAAAATCGGTCTATAATTCGGAAACAGGAACCAGACGAGATTTTTGAGGAGAGCGCTAAAGCTTGTCGTTTTTGATTTTCAATTTGGGCATATTTCTGCAAGGTGCTTGTTTGCAGAAATTGTAGGGGGTAGTCCGTGCAAATTCTTGTCGCAAGTTTTGAGTTGTGTGTGCAATTTTCCGGTCACTAGCTTGTTGTATTGTAAGAGCTTGTACATTTAACCACTGATGGAGTTTTTTGAGAGGTGAGGTGAATGTCGTTGCAATTCTGGGGGCGTGCTCAAGTTCTGGAATACGTCCCAAGCTTACAAAAAATTTCAATAGCATCAGACAAACAAGTGTGACAATATATTCTCAACACAAAAAAAACGACTTCGTGGCCAAGCTGGTTAAGGCGTAAGACTGTTAATCTTGAGATCGTGAGTTCGACCCTCACCGAGGTCGCTTGTTTTTTTCACATCTTCACTTTGAATGACACTTCCTTTCAAAGTCTGAAGGTTTCCAAGTTTTTACCATAGCTCGATGTTGTACTATCGGTTTATCATATTATTTTGACTATATACGTTTATGTTAAATACAACGAGCCTTGCCACCCATTTGGCCTGTACGTGACATACTCAACAACACCTCCAAACAAGCGAAGAATCGATTGAACCCCCATTTGAGACGGAGGTTAATATATTCCTGTCTTGAGCCACATGTTGGTGGTTCTTCTCGGTTGAAACTTCAATGTGTGGACTTGTCTCGAAGACCCATGCTTAATGATGCTTCTTCAATGGCTCAACAACCAACTTGTCAAATGTGAACATTCCTGAGATGGTAGCCTGTCTGTGTAGTTGGGCCAAGCTGTCAATACCAGCGTTGTATAGTTGGGTAATACTTTCACCATCAGTCACAGACTTGTTGGTCTTGAAAGAGTGTGTGATCTTTCTCTTGGCGTACTCTCTGAAGTTATAGTTGTCAAACTTGTATGCCTTGTTGAGTAGCTGCTTGTATAACGATAATACTTCCCTTTGCGTAGTCATGATGGAGGTAGTGGTGATGATGACTGAGCGGGATCTGGTCAAGTGCACATTTTAGTATTCGATCACGTGCTGTGTTATTAATCATATTCTCCTAGACCTAACCAAAGACCGGTTAACGAAGCTATCCAAAACGGATGCTAGACGCGTAGCCACCTATCTCACAAGATTAATATTAAAGGTATCTTTAAGTTAAATAATCAAAATCGGCACATGGCTCGACGAATTTACACAACGCTGACAATAAGTACAAAAGAATTTCACGGACTCTCTCCCCATGCTCACCAATATTTACTCTAAGATCAAGAGGGAAAACAAAACATCTCCATAGATGATCACCTATTGAAATTCACTTAATTCTCCTCTTCCACCTTGTTTACGAATGCCTCGATGTCACCCTCGCTGACCTTGCTTCTTTTCTTTTTTGATTTTTTGGCAGTTGCATCCGCCATCATTTCTTCAAAAATTCTAGCTTCCTCTTCTTCTTGTGGAGTTCTTTGTACTGCAGTCATTTGCTTACCGATGAACAAAATGGCTTCAGCTCGGCGGATAGTTTCCTTCTTGGATAACTGCTTGTCTTTCAATGTCTTGGCCAAAACCTTATTCAACACTCCAGTAACCTCAAACTTGGTGGATGCCCAAGCTGTACTCAAGAACTTGCCCATAACTAGTCTTTCCATTTCCTGCTGTCTGTATATTTCTGCCTGAGAAACTTCTTCACCCGCGTCCAAGGCCCTTTGGATTTGCTCCTGTTCTCTTACCATTTCTTCAACAGAAGATTGTGCATCCAAGGCAGTCTTCAAGATGGAAATTCCATTCTTGACGTTGCCAAACTTCGTTTTGGTACTGGTAAAAATCTTAGAAACACCAAATGTTTTATTGGACAGAATGGCTGCACTGGCCTGTGTGGTATAAGTCTTTCCTATCAAATGCAATAATTGTATGCCAAAACTTTCGAGCTTTAAGTCCTCAAATTCGTCGCCGAGTTTCTTGACAAACTGGGCCAAGGAGTCGGGGTTAGTAGATGCGGATTGATAGCTCTCGATTTTGGAAATGAGGGTCTGTGTCAATTCGTCCACCCTCTTCTCCTTGGCTGCCTTGGACTCTTCATGAAGTCTCATAATCTCCTCGCGTTGGTGGCGACTCATCTTTTGCTTCTTCTTCTTCTCGATCTGCTCGCTCGTCAACTCGGCTTGGTGTTTATTGATGTGTTGTTCACCATCTGCCACCAGTAATTCCTGCGATTCCGACACGGGTCCGTTTTCCTTTGCATCTTCTTCATCGTCGCCTAACACTTCGGCAGACTGGGCGATCTCCTTTAACATGGAAAGCTCACCAATCCAGTCTTTGAACCCTTCGCCTCCGAAGATATTACTGAAGAACTCGTTGACATCAATGTCGGCAGCAGCAGCAGCGCCTCCATTGGCCTTCAATCCATCGACTCCCAACTCATCATACAATTGTCTGGAGTCCTTGTCTTGGAGAATGCCGTATGCTTCTCCCAATTCCTGGAACTTTTCTGCTGCTTTGGGGTCGTTTCCGTTCTTATCCGGATGGAGCTTGATAGCCTGTTTCCGGTACGCCTTCTTTAATTCAGTATCGGTGGCAGAGGGCCCAACACCCAAGATGTCGTAGTAGGTTGTATCTTTGACCATGGTTAGAAGAGTATGGCTTGTTTATAGCGGATCAAATGGCTCACGAGATTATAGCGAGCTGGGCAGGGTTGCGCGGCTACCACGTAGCCTGCGAGTAACCACCAGCGGTGCAAAATCAGCTGCTGTAACTGCACCCGTGAAGCATGACACCATAATAGAACTGCCAGCATAGTATTTGATATGATGTTGTAATTCTGGGATGCCCTCAAGCTGGGTTAGGTGACAGTACTACTGGTTCTGAGACAAAAGGGGCATTTCTGGTGATAGCATAGGCTTGGGGTCTCTCGCTACCCTGGGCGAAAAATACTGGGAATTGCAGATTCTACCGCGCGGTGCACAATCGTTCCACCAATTTCTCGTCTCTCGCTAGGCCGGTATAGTCATATTAATAACTATTCTCAAATTGCACAATTTACAATTGAAAACCACCCAGTTTACACAGAAAGCGGAGTGGGCTGATTCTTTGAATGAAGTTGAAACTTTTGAATCATTACTGAGGAGTTGTCAGTAAGGATTTATTAGTCTATGTACTAGTGTTTGCGCCGCAGGAAAGATTAGTAGAAACTAATATTAGAACGAAAACGTAATGCTGTCCAAGTCTGGCACTACCAACAAGGTCTCCAAGCCATTCTTGACATCTACATCCATGGAAAAGTCCTTGCCAGTATCGCTGCTCAAACACTTGATTATTACCTTTGGAAGAAGAAGCTTGCCCACGTTTAGCGGAACCATAATAAGCTTCATGTCATTCACGGTACTTTTCTTGTAGTCTTCGATGGAGAAAGTATGCTTTTTGAACCCAGAAATCAACCAGTTGTCATCGTTCTGAAGAGTCAACTGAAACCTAACAAGACTGGATTCTGCCTTTTTCTCAGAAGCCTTTCCCCCCAACTTGGGTGAAGATTGTGCAAGAGAAGAAAAGTCTTCTTCCTCATCAATAAACCATTTGGTGATGGTCTCAATATTCAAGTTGACTTCGATTGGCTCCCCTACCAAATACTTTACCTCTTTCTCGTACTCGAACTCGAGCAACTGCAAATACTTCAAGCTAGAGATGGGCACCGTAATCAACAAAGTGTGTCTTTGCAAGCCCACGTTAGAACTTGTAATTTCGATCTTCTGACCACCAAGTACCTTATCAAGCAATGTACACAAGTTCGATTGATCTTCTTTGCCTCTAATATATTTCTCGGTCACCCTCTGTGCCTGCAACTTGACTTCCTGTGCATTAGTAACCCTTATAAAGGAGTTTATTGCATAGTTGTTCAAATCAAATTGCATGTGTTTGACTACAGCAGCCTTCAATAAAAACCATAACCGCAAAAGTCCGCTGTTCCTGAGCTCTTCTGTAATCAAATCTTCAACATGCTTACAGCATTCATCTTCCAAGATCGAATAATCGATTTTCAAACTTAAAGAATCGGACTGTTGGATACAATAACCATCCTTAGGGACAACCTTATAAAAAATTGACGCTGGTTGTTCCCCAAATGTGACCAACGATGATGTCAAAGGTAAGGCCGGCTTTTCGATTTTGAAGTTTTTGTTCTCAGATGTCAACTCGTTACTTAATATCCTAATGGGTGATTTCGGATTTGAGGTACCAATTTGGAATTTAGAGTAAATATAATTGGATTTAAAAATGTCTTGAACTGAAACGGAGATTTTGAGTGTGATATCAATTTCCTCGTTTACCACATAAGTAAAATGCTCTCCATTACTGGTATACGAGATCCTGACACCAACATTAATCACCTTATTATCGCTGAAATAAGTGTAGTGAATTGGAATCCTCGATGTGCCCTTCATTTCAATATATTTTATTTCTTCATGCTCATTTCCAAGTTTCAAGCCTTTTGTTTCTGAACTAAACTGAAGCTTCACATCTTGAACATCAGTGGAGCCATTAATTATTGTCAAGTTTAACTCAGTTGAACCGAGTTGTATCGATTGTGCGTTTTCTATTGAGCAATGCAATTTATCGATATTGGGGTAGAATGAGATACTTTCCAGCCCACCAGTAACTGGAGAGAAGGTGTTTATCAGTTTTCCATTTGGGTTATAAGCTCTTGCATTTGAATCCTCTCTGAAGTTTTCATTAGTCTTTATTTGTTCTCCATCTTGGTTGTACTGAATAACGGTGTCATTACCAGTCTCTTCAACCTCCGAGACATTGTCATCGTCATAATGCTTGACAAGATGAACCTTATCATTAATAATAATAGTGACTTTCACTGGCGAAAACTCTCCCATTTTAAAGTCATTTGTAATAAGTTTAAGTTTATGGTGCTTTTCTTTTGTAATCTGAACATCTTTCATACTAAAAGCAATAGTAGATCCAGAACTCCCTAAAAGTACCTCTATCTCCTCGAACCTGAAATCAATACCAAACAAGTTGGTAACTTCCAAATTAATGTAGTAACGGTCAAGTTCATTCGACTCGTCTGCCTCGATCCATGGTAGCACATTGACTGTAAAAACTTGATCAACTGGATATTTCATGACTTGTTTCAATCTCAGAGAGTGAACAGCAACCTTGTTGTATAACTTTTGAATCTGCTCATTCTTTTTTATTAGCTTATAATTGTTTATTCCACAATTCTGTGTCGTATTGTTATTGATCAAACTAGAAAAAAGTTTGAGTGATGTCAAAAGTATCAAATCATGATCTTTCGAGGCTAACTTCTCAATACAATCCAAATACACCTCAAGTAAAACACCACCCATAAAATTCCATCCATTCAAGATAAAAAAATCATGGGAGTTTTGCAAGATATCAAGGGACTCCTGGTACTTTCCCTTTTGATAACAGAGCAAGGCAAGATCAATACTCAATATGTCAATAGTCTTAGACCTGTTACAAGATACAAATCTTTGTATTACGTCTTCGGTCAAACCTTCAAATGCACTGAAAAATGAATCTTCTGTTTTCAATGCCTCTATTAATGGGGGGTACTTGAGAGCTTTATAAACCGAATCCGGTGATCTAGTTTCTTTAGTTGATTCATTTAGAGATACCTCCTCTAGATTGGGTAACCCTTCAAGAATTTCGTTAAATCCATTGAGTTTGTATCCACATTTCTTCGAAATCTTCACTAACTTGGACCGCTTGAAAAGCTTCAACTCTCCTTGGAACTCAAGAATCTCATTTAACTGATATGGAGTCGTGTTGTTTTCGTTGTTCTTATTGTTGATCTCTGTTAACTTTTTGCATATTGGCAAATCAAGGTAATTATCGATTGTGAAAATAGTGAACTCGTCAAGATCTTGATTAGTAAATGTGTTCGATAAGTCATTCAAGAAATAAATCAACTTTTGATAAAGATTGGAAATGTAAATAGCAGAAATCGATATAGTATTGGCAAAATTTGCTAGTGATTGTAACAATATCGATTGATTTATGAATATCAAACATTTCATGCTGAAGAGATTAATCTTATTGTCGTGCAAGAGAGATGACTTTAACCATGCAATTCTTTGAGCAGATTCGAACTTGACTGATCCGTCACTACCATGGAAGATCTCAATGACACTCTTGGAAGACTCTTTGTCCTTGAAAGTTTCAGATGTTGAAAATTGACTGGGATCTTTCGAGTTTAGCTTTTCTAAGTCCTTGTATAGTTCGTTATAAATATTTAAAGAATCCTGAAAGATCCTCATATCATTGAATAGATCCGCATATTTCAACTTGGTGATGAATTTGTTGAAGTCATCGCTGGATGCTGATGCTGGTAACTGGCTATTGAAGTACTGGTACTTATTGTCAAAGGAGGTCAATAACAAGGTCTTCATCAAACTGATCATTTCATTGTAAGTTTCTAGCTTGCTAATATTGGAATCCGACTCTTTGAGCTTAAAGCATCTCTCCACATCATTGAACTCGTTAGTCCACCAGTCCTCAAATCCTACTGATTTCAATTCCTTGCCATCTATGCCGAAGTCAATCTTCAACTTGTCATACGACGAGGTCTTGATGAAGGTTGATTGTTTATCTTTGCTACTCAGAGGGATGAAGAGCACGATCATCCACTCCAGGTTGGACTTGAAAACCAAGTTCTTCAACCACTCCTTGATGAGAGGTCTGACCTGAGACCTGTAGGTGTCAATGGACTCGAACTTAATCAACATCAACCGAGTGTAGATGGGATGGTTTTGGTATGACGAGATCAACTGGGCATTGCTGGCAGTTGCAGCGCTTGATATGCTGGGAGCGGTACCAGATGAACCTGGTGTCGACTTCGGTACTTCTTCTATCAATTTGACAGGCAACAAAGGTATGGATTTCACGGGCTTCGTGGCACTGTATTTCCAATGGAGGTTTGTCAATGGTAGCTTGGCCTCAAAGTCTTCTTTGATGAGGGGGTATATGCTGAACGGGTCATAGTAGCCGATATGAATGGGATTCCTCAAGTTTAGCTCCTCTAGCTCCATTCTTTAGTATGTGACGGAAAGATATGGGTAGTATTAGGACTAGCGAGATCAATTTGAATCGTGTAAGGATGCGAACTGGTAGCGCGTACTTGACCGCGATTTGAAAACTTAACTACTTGTGATCTAGTTCCACTCTACCATTTCCTATCGATGCTTAGTGGTGATAAGTGACAGTTATAGTGTCTACAGGGTCGTCCTCCTCTCGAGGTGTTACACTTTGCAATCGTTATGAACTCGATAATAAAAATATGACCAGAGCGAATACATGGTATAGAAATCAAAAAAATGCGCAAACCCGGAATCGAACCGGGGGCCCAACGATGGCAACGTTGGATTTTACCACTAAACCATTTGCGCCAAGGAAACTCCGCGACGGGGAATTGAACCCCGGTCTACCACGCGACAAGCGGTAATTCTAGCCACTAAACTATCACGGATGATTTCTGAATGTTGAAATGGAAAGTGGGTTTATCATGTGGTTTTGCAATACATGTTTTGGTATGTGCACATCCTCACATTTGCTAAAAAACAAGAGACAGCATACTAACTGGTGTGCTATACAATGCAATAGATATTGAGTCACTCAATTATATTCTAATTCCCGTTAGCAAGAAGAAGAAAAATAGGATTAGCAAGTTAGATTTTATAAACTTCCAATTGATACCTCAATGCGACTCTCCCTAAAACTTTTCTCCCAGACAATTTAACTGTTGAGTGCAAATTGTCTTTCTTCTTGTCCAGCCACAGCTCGTAATAAAAAATCTCATCTAACATGATCTGCTTCTTACAGGTGCCGTGTGTTGCGCACTATGTTGCAAAAAATCATCAAAAACCGGATTTAAAAATTAATTAAATTATAAAGGTTTACCCTAATGGTGTGTTATCATTGCAATAAGAATATAATCAATAGATTATAATATACTTCCCATTAGCCAAAAAAATGGTAACTTGATCTAGAAACAGGACTTTCATTGAGCACAAAATCCCTAAGGCTTAAAATATAATTACATTCATCACACTGAAGATAAAGATTTGGCCGCATATTATAATCTTGAACGAGGTGACACTCAGGTTTAGACTGTCAAGAACTCGATTTCAGAATCAAGTTAAGCCTATCCCAAAGACCTCTTTTGAGTCATCATTCTTTCAAGATCATTAAATTCGCATCCACTACCCCCTTTCTAATTGCAATTGTCTCAGCCTAGCTTTCGCTGTGGGATCATACTGGTTCAATTCTAATTTACTTGAACGTACCCCAAGTTTCAAACTTGATCTTTCAATCCAGAAAGGATACATGATCACATATTTTTGCACTTCTATTCTTCTTGGTCGAACTTTTGATGATTGTTGTAGCATTCAACATGGCAACAAATCAAACCAAGTTCATCGATTTAGGTATTTGAGCTACACAAATGTATGCTCTGCACATTGATATCTGAAAAGAGTATATCTCTCTTTTTAACATTTCCAAATGCCTTATAGGAACTCTATTACTTTTCGTTTACATTTCGTTCATCTCTATCTTGTTTTGCAAAAATGATTTAAAATATAAGTTATTTATTAAAAATCTGATATCAAACTCTTTAAAGAATATGATACTATTATGTTTTATTAAAAATGGAAAAGCTCAAGACATCAATATTTGGTAAATTTTACCCAATTTTTCAATTTTTCGATTTTTTCGTTTCAATTACGCGCCTTAGACTTTCCTGTGCGTGCAATTGGAAAGTAAAATTTGTTAAAGATAATAAACTGGATAGCTTAGTCAACAAGTTGATTTTTGGGTACTTTATGAACACTTTCTTGGGATTGTCTTCTTTTTTAGAAGTTCTTTAGATTATTGATCAAGTTGTAGAAGTTTTTAATTTCTATCCCAGGAATCATAAAATTCGGGCAATTTGAGAAGCCAATCATGAATATATATTTTATCAACATAGTGGGTTAATTTTAAGCTAACTACTTGAATTCCAGGACCCAATTTCAATGAAAATTAAGTATATAGATACATAACTATATTGCTAAAGACTTTATTCTCTTCAACAAATGGCTCTTTGGCCGAGCGGTTAAGGCGGTAGACTCAAGTTCTACTATCGTAAAGATGCACGCGTTCGAATCGCGTAGGAGTCAATATTTTTTTGTTTTTTTTTTTGGCTACAAATTCTTCATTCGAGAACTTCATTCTTTGAGATCGAGAACCGATTCTTCAAAACGCATACTTTGGAAGTCTACAATTCTAATCGTGTTTTTCAATTAAGTTTTGAGATTTTATTAAATTTACTCATTAAATATAAAATGGTGGTGGAAACATGCAATTCAACATGAGAGTCTATTTGTTGCTGATGTCATGTGAAACTAGATACGTAAGGCAACATCCAAGTATGGAAAATCAACTCTTATCTTGCGGATACAATTATTGACCTCCGAAAGCACTAGAAAATTGCGAGTTACCTCCAGTTTGTTGATATTCAATCATGAATTCTTCCAAAATTCCGAAAGCGGAGGAGACACCGATAATGGTAGAAATACCCTTACCTAAGCCACCCAAGAATTCACCACCGACAGCAAGAACAGCTAAGGCAAATCCACCACTGACAGCTGCGACAGGAATGACTCTGGATAATTCCTTAGTGATTGAAATATCTCTCTTACCAGTAATTGAAATACCTTGTTCTTTAAATTGCTTGGAAATATCTCTTGGAGAACTGCCAGAAATGTAGCTCCATTTGTTGGCAAACCAGACACTCAATAAGACCACGCTGACAGAGTAGACAACAGTCTTGATTGGAGATAACAAAGATTGCAACAAGGAAGTGGAGTTCGAGAAGTAGTACAAGATACCAGACTTCAAGACCAAGTTGTTGGTTGTGATTTCAGCATTGAACTTACCAAGTAAAGAGTCGATCAAAACTGGAGCGATTCCAAATTTGTTCAAGATGGTGACCAAGAAGAAACCGAAAATTTGGAAGTTGACAATCACGGTGTAAGCAAATAAAACTGGCAAAGCACCAGTGTACAACAATCTGATTGGGTAAACGTTGTTCATACCTCTGACCTTGGTAGATCTAATTGGAAGCTCAATTCTGTAGTTTTGCAAACCGATGATGGCCAAAATGGTCAACAAGGAGATGTAGAACTGGTTCAAGTTTGGTAATTGCAAACGGGTGAAAGCATTCACAATACTGGAGTTCAATTGGCTCAAGTTGAAGATACTGAAGTTTCTAACAAGGTTGATCAAAGCACCGTAGCTTTCCACTCTGTTGGAGTTAAGTAATGGAGTGACTTCCAAACCAACCAAGTCTCTGACCAAGGTGGTAGCGGTTTGCAAGGTGAGGAAACACAAGATACCACTTCCAAAGGCATAACCCTTGTCAAAGACATCAACCAAGAGGGTCAAGATGAACGACCAAGCGTTGATTTGGAGGAAGAGCAACACGTAAGTTCCCAAGGGGGCGGAATCGCCGTTCAAGGGGTCATACTTTTGGATGACGTTGTCGTAGTAGCCAGAGTAGATGAGGCCTGCGGAGTAAACAATAGACAAGAACAAGGCAGTCAACTTTTGTCCCGATTGGAACAATTCTCTGTCTTGTCTGAGGTTGAAGTTAACTTTGATCAACTTCAAGCCGGCTGCCAACTGCCACAAGAAACCGGCAGTGATGAGAGGCAACAACCCAAGTTCGAGGAGGGAGGCCTTTTCCATGGCGAAGATGGATCTCACGCTGAAGAATGGGTCCACCACCTTGTATTCGGCACCGGAGACCAACCCGAACAAGGGAAGTTGTCCGAAGAGGAAAATGATTCCGCTACCGACGGTGAAGATGATTCTCTCGTCAAAGCTGATTTTCTCATCAGGAAGCTCCACTTCTGGCAAAATTGGCAAGAAAAATTTGATTAAATCAAGAAGGCGAACTAAGGTTAGTAATCTGGGACGAATGCCACGATGTGTTCGGGTCATTGGAGATTGGCACATTGCGGTGGAGCCATCATTGGAGGCTCTGGGACAGTTGCATACTGGCAATTGCCGTCTCGTGGATGGTTTCACCGAGCCGATTTTTCACCCAATAAACGCGTTGCCAGCCATGCTGGCATGGCCACTTCCATGTGCCTACCAGACGGCCACCAACAGGGTCTGTTTCAGTACTTACATCCACTCATCTTCGATATGATAGTCAGCCTCTAACCTTGGTATGTCAACGACTGGACACCATTTTTTTCGTACCGCCGTCGACGTTTGGTCGCCCGCAAGAGCACGTCACGTGTGCTGGTGGTAGTGGCGCGCGATAGCGAGGTGGTGGGAGTGGGGAATAGTGTCTGGGGAGAGCCAGGAGAGGGAAGGGATGGTTCAGGTTCAGGGTTAGTGACAGTGCTGGTGGTACTCTGCTCCAGCTGGGGGCATGTATCTCGCTAGCACCAGCTGTAGCGAGGGCAGGAGTGGGCGTATCCAGCACTTCGTACCGGACATATGGTGCCGGGCGGTTTCAGTGCAGCGGAGATACGCGCGGCAGCGACAGATCGTAGATTAGTACGATTGAATTGATTTTTAGGTTATTAGAGTAGAATTTATGCTTTCAGATGATTGAAGTAGAATTACGGAAACCTTCAGATGATTCCAGTATATAGACTTAGATAAATATTGATGTAAATAATCGAAAGATCAAGAGTTATACATGATGATTTCAGTGTTCAGATTTTGACAGAAATAAACAATACTATGAAGTCCGACGAGGGCGCCAAAAGAAACCTTTCGAATTCAAACATTCTGCAACGACGCTTGTTGGTTATTCAGGAAGAATACCTTACAATTAACTTTAAAGAATAGTATTTTCGACTGACGCATGTCTTTTTGTTTTATAGAGATTACACCTGGATTTATCCATAGATTCATAAAGGAAGATCTGATGCTTAATACTTAGCTGAGTTCTTTTCTTCCATAATTCTAAGAATAATGATGCAGTGATAAGTACATTAATACTCTGCGTTGGATTCTTCCATTATAATCTTAAGATCTGATGAGTCCATTTACATGTTGAGTTCCGTACTGCTAACATGAATCCTATTTTGAAACTGTTCTATTTATGAGTTAGATCTGATAATTAATTAGTGCTCGGTTGTTTTCTTACTGCGAGGATAGATAGCTTACAAACTATTTGTGAATAGAGTTAATATGATAATTTAATTAATTTGCTGAGGATTCTTCGCTTATTACAAGACTGAGATATGGTGTATTTATTATGTTGGTTTATTCTTCCATTATTATTTATGTTACTGTGGCATGTGGTCATAAGCGAATGAAGCAGACAAGGGGCCGGCCAATGAAGGGCTCGCCGGGAGAACTGAAGCTTGGAATGCACCCGTGCCTTCTATATGTCGTTCCAGGAGGCAGAGCCACCAAAGCCAGCGCCCCCACACATCACGAGCGACGAGCTTGTGGTATCGGAAAACGTGGAGGGCGGCACAAACGTGTTGTCGTCTTGGGGACGGTAGTCCAAGTAATCGAGGTACTCAGGGACCTGGCGGGCCTGGGGTTCGGGGGCTGGCGGGTTCGCACTCATGAGCACCTTCAAGAGAAGGTGCCGCACGAGTGAGGGGGATCCCGAGGGCTGGTGGTCGCGTGCAAGCAAGTAGTTTTTGATGTCCACCAAGCGGTGGAACTTGCGGAACTTGTCCAAGTCTGCCTGGTCGAAGTATGCAAACAAGTCGTCGCCATAGAACTGTCCCACGAGGTTGGTGGGTGACGTTTGGTCGCCCAGAACGGTGGCGCCGCTGTGCTCCATCAAGTTCTCGTCCAAGTTCCAGCTGGCGATGTTGTCATCTACCATCTCTGCCAGCGCCACGCTGGTGTTGTACCAGCGGTTAATCTTGTTGGACAAGTTGGTGCTGGGCGGCGACACCGCTGCAGTAGCTACTGCCTCTTCTTCCTCACTTTCCTCGTCATCCTCATCGTACGCGTTCGTAGCAGTGGTGTTTGTCAACGATAGTATGTCGCTGACGTTGTTGGCGGCTGGCGCCACTGGTGACCTGGTTGGCTTGAACAACACATACAGCGACTGGTCGTCGTCTTCGGCATCTGCGCCCACTAAGTCGTCGTAGTCGCTCAAGATGCTGCTGGTGGTGTCAAAGGTGTCGCCTGGTTGCTGCAAGTTAGCAGTGGTAGGGTCTCTGGCGAGTGGCGACGGGCCACCCGCAGGCTTGTACGACACCGTGGTGTACTTGAGGTTGGGGTTGATGGACATTGTGACGTGTCAGACTACTGGGAGCTCTGGTATATATATTGGATGGGAGGAGCCGTGGTGGGTTGTGTTAGGAGGCAACCAAAAGAAATACCCCCGATAAGGTCACGTGGCGGTGGTCCGCCACAGAAGTGACAGGGCGAGGCTGCAACTGGGTGACCACAGGCAGATGGCTGAACGGCTCGAGGCTGAGGTGGGGGGCAGAGGGAAGGCAGAGGGAAGGCAGAGTGAGGCACAGCGAGGTACGGTAGTGAGGTACCGATGTAGAGGCAGAGCTAGGTTGGACTTCTGTGGTGGCTGTGGCCGAGTAGGTTCCGTCGCGATTTGAGACTGCGCGCCGATCTCGCACTATCAATTGGTGGGAGCCAACAGACCAGTCATGGTGCGAGCTCCCCGCACGGGCGTTGGGCAGATGGATCTGAGGGGATGAGGAGGGGAGGCATCATCTGGTACCGACTACGTGGTGGGGCAGCCCAAGGCTGCCACGGCTGGTCTTCCAAACAGGCGATCTCCCAGTAAAAGATGAGGCAGAGCAGCGAGGTGAGTCAGTACTGGAGCGGCCAGTGAACTAATGAGTGTCTGCCGAATGACGAGTCTACTACGTCAGTACTGCAACGACGTGTGTCTGACAGCTCAAGCCCGAGTCTGCAGACTGCAAGTGCCTACTGCAAAGACTATCCTACCGACAGCTAAACGACGTGCCTACTGGAACTACGCCTAGCGGTACGACGAGTCTACCGCCTACTGTAACTTCGTTACTACTTGGTCTAAGGTTAGTACTGCTGGGTCGAATCAGATAGGGGTGAAAGACTATATTATGATTTTCGGTAACATCATGGCTAGTATATATGAATCAAACGTATCATCACTTGGACCGTACTTACTGAAGGAGAAGTGTGGTGGCCGACAAACAGTGGTGGTGAGCACCAGTTTTATGTCGGACTGGGGCCGGGTAACTTAGGGCTAGAGCTGGTGCTGGTGCTGGGGCTAGTGACGCACTGCACGTGATGCTCCATGCCGACACTGACCCTTACGTCAACCGTCCGCTAACGGCCTGTCAGACACAGAAACATCGCAATGGCTGTCAAGGGATTAGGCGCTATTGACAAGCAGTACGACGGCTCCAAGTTGAGGGTGGGTATCCTCCACGCCCGCTGGAACAAGAAGATCATCGACGCGCTCGTGGCGGGCGCTGTCTCCAAGTTGAAGGAGTTGGGTGTCCAGGAAGAAAACATCATCGTCGAGTCCATTCCCGGCTCGTTCGAGTTGCCTTACGGCTCTAAGCTCTTTGTCGAAAAGCAGAAACGCGAGGGCAAGCCCTTGGACGCCATCATCCCCATCGGGGTTTTGATCAAGGGCTCCACCATGCACTTCGAATACATCTGTGACTCGGTCACCCACCAGATCATGAAGTTGAACTTCGAATTGGGCTTGCCTGTGATTTTCGGTGTCTTGACCTGTTTGACTGACGAGCAGGCAGAGGCCAGAGCCGGTTTGATTGAAGGCAAGATGCACAACCACGGTGAAGATTGGGGTGCTGCTGCCGTTGAAATGGCAGTTAAGTTCAATTAGATCAATCCACGTTATCAGTTCCCAAATGTAGTTGGACGAGGTCTCATTATTTGTACTTTTTCCCAGATTTGTTCTAAGTTTCTATTAATCATAATGCTTGACTTGACCTTTTAAGGTTGGATCCGTGATTTAATTCACTTTTGGGTACGATTTCTTTAAAGTACTATTCTTTGTTGTAATTTTTGATTTATCGTGATTCAAGCCCACCAAAAGAATGCTTTCCTTCAGATTTTTTTCCAATTGGCAGTATTGAAGAATCAAGTAAACTAGATCAATTAATGCAAGAAAATGCTTAATTGATGCTGTCTAAATTTCAAGCCAAGCTAAGTCCAAAAAATAAAATATAATACTTCCCTCTAAATCCTTCGACTAATTGCTATTATCAATTGCTTCATGGTCCAAAAATGCAAAAAGAATGCCTTCAGCCAGATTCGAACTGACGATCTCCTCATTACTAGTGAGGTGCCTTACCAACTTGGCCATAAAGGCAGGAAAATGTCTGTTTAAGCGACCTCGGTGAGGGTCGAACTCACGATCTCAAGATTAACAGTCTTACGCCTTAACCAGCTTGGCCACGAAGTCTTATTTCATGGTCGGAAAAATATTATATTTCAATATACCAAGTTGTATGTACTGCATATAATATACTGCATACAGGACTACCAAGATAGATTCATCTTTTCAGAATTGGTTATATCTGGGCTTTTTCATGATCTTCAAACGACTACTCCGCACAGGCTCCAAGTTCAATTTGGATCCGAACTACAAGTTCAAGTGTGGAGTTGAGATCCACACTCAACTTAAATCAAAGTACAAGCTCTTCTCGTTATCTAAAACGAGTTTTAATGCAGAACCAAACTCCAATGTCAGTTATTTTGATTGTGGCTTGCCAGGAAGTCAACCTAAATTGAACCCAGAAGCATTATACCTTGCATTGAAGACTGCAGTGGCGATGAACAGTGATATCCAGCTAAACTCCACGTTTGAAAGAAAGCACTACTTCTATCCAGATCAGCCTTTGGGGTACCAAATCACCCAACATTACCATCCAATAGCGAAGAATGGCTACTTGGAACTTAGTGGGAGATATGACAACATACCCGAAGATAGCAAGATCATCAATATAGAGCAGATCCAAATTGAGCAAGATACTGGGAAAACTAACTACGACAAGTTTGGACAAACTATAAAGGTGGATTTGAACAGAAGCAATACTCCATTAATTGAATTGGTTACTAAGCCAGATTTTGAGAACTTAGAACAGGTGAGAGCATTTGTCAAAAAGTACCAAACCATAGTCAGACACTTGGATATCTGTTCGGGAGACTTGGAAACTGGAGCCATAAGAGTAGATGTCAATATCAGTATAAATGGAAATCCTAGAGTTGAAATAAAAAACTTGGGTAGTCATAGCGAAATTCAGGATGCCTTGAAATTCGAGTATCAACGACAAAAAACCGCCCTTGAGAATAGACATTCAATCGTACAGGAAACCAGAGGCTGGAACGGAAAGGAAACATTATCTCTTAGATCAAAAGAAGATGCAGTGGATTATAGATACGTTCCCGATTCCGAGCTTCCCATAATCAGATTAAGTGCTGGGATTGCTGAAGAAATAAGTTCTCAGCTACCTGAACTACCACAAACAATTTTGGAAAGGCTTTGTGGTAAGACCTATGGACTAGAGTTAAAATACGCCCGCTTTTTAGTCGAAAATAAGGAGATATTGGCTTATTACAATGAAATTTTTGACAACATTGTGGTTGAAAACAAGAAACCAGTCAAGTTGGCAAACAATTGGTTATTTCATGAGCTCATGGGTGCCTTTTCTAAGCTTGACCAAAAGTTTGACGTCGAATTATTCCCACCACGCAAATTGAGTGCATTGATATTGAAGGTCACAGATAACAAAATCTCACAAACTTCTGCAAAGATTTTATTATCGCAAGTTATCCAGAATCCAGAAGATGTGCAATTATCAATAGATGAATTGATCGAGCAGTATGATTTAGGAAATCCTGAGGATATGTCCGAACTTGAATTAGATGAAGCAGTAGGTGAAATCTGCCAGGAAATAATAGAAACGAATATGGACGTAGTTGAAAAAATCAAAAACGGACAGAAGAATTCCATGAAATATTTGATAGGGCTTGCTATGAGGGAAACACAAGGTAAGGTCAAAGCATCGGAATTCGCAAAAAAGTTTAACAACTTGTTAAAATAAATGTATATTAATGTAAATAGACAGATCACTGAGAATGGGACTCAACTTGGCATCATTATGAAGTTTCATAATTAGCGAAGTCTGGTTCACTTACCAGAAGTTATAACCAGGTTAAATTGAGCAAGCTTCATGTGTACTTAGATCGTATTCATAATGTCACATTTTAGTGACTTGAAATTTGTACCCAAAACTAGTTTCCTGCTTAGAATCGTTGAAAAAAATCTCCAGGCTAGGGGACGAACCAATACACTCTGATTCAAAAATATCGGAGGATAATGAATGTCCCTCTGTGCAAGGAGAATTTGTATCAAAGTACACTCCGTATTCTCGACTTCCATCCCTTATTGTTGATGTACCAGTCTCGAATGGGGAGTCTATTTGGGCCACAAGAGGAGTCCCAAGCTTCTCTAAATCCGTAGTACTGGTAGTATTGGCTGTTTTGTTGCTCGCCTCCCTGGAAGGATCCTTTAGATGTTTAGGTGCTATTGGAATGCGAAGCAATCTCTTGTACATTTCCAATGCTTCCGATCCAAGACCTAGAATAAGAAATGTGATGAATGATAACCCGATAATTGCTATTCTGTCACCCATCATTGAAAAACCTGTGTCCTGGTAGTGTATTTTAGATCTGTCTCTCATATCACGGTACTCTCCCGATTCACCAGGAAGCCTAATGGCAGAGATAAAGTAGTAGATAGCCATAATTGACAACGCTACAACCACTAAGCAGTTGAACGCCAAAAGCCGGGCAAATTTTTTGAAATCGAGATTGGAGTTGGTACACTTGAGGATATTTGATACCTCTCTCCGTTTCTGGAAGAATTTGTGTAGGGCTAGACCTGAAAAGATAATTGCCACCAAGGACCATAGCAAGCTCCAAATTGTCAACAACGGAATTGTCAAAGAAATATTGGGAATATATATCGGGGTGCAACCACCGTATCTCAAAATGTCGTACCTGAAACTTTGAATGAAGTAATTGGTGACCATTACAAATATTGGGGTCACAACACATATCAAAAGATTGATAATGTTCTTCTTTTTGGAGTCTTCATCTATGAATATAGGATTCTTTGCCCTCAAAATCATGTACATGTTCAATGATAAAGCAGCAATAGCGGAAGTAGTCCCCGATGAAGTAGCAGCTTCGAGCTTGACCATCACATCACAATACCCAACGCCGTTCCATACTTCCTGGTAGTTCTCACCACTCCAGATACACAAGTTAATAAGCGTCTTAAGGTTGAAAAAAATAAACCATGAGATCAAGCATATCACTGGGATATTGCGGTATTTGCTGTGCCAAACAAGTGGTGGAATTAGAAGTATGATTGCGAATAATGCGAAAATAGCCACTGCGATACTGCCTCCATTCATTTTGGAAATGTTGAAAATCAGATCAAATCAGCTGCAGCAAGTGTCACATTTATATCAATGCAAGTAATTAGTGTCCAGATCTAACCATGAAGCTAGCTAGCGTTTGTGGCTTTCCATATAAACCTGGATTGGGGAATTTTGCGGCATAAATGGGCGCAAAAAATGTCCTCTTCCCATATGCAGACCTCAAAGGAACTAAGAATTCACTCTTTAATCAAAGTAGTCTGGAAGCCACGGGGCTATAGTATGAAGTGCAAGGAAACGAACTAGATAATGTATAGAGAACTCGAGTTCCTCTTGTGGACTTTTGCAATAGTTAGGGGTACTAAATTTTCACACCAGAAAGCCAGAAAGGAAGACAAACAGGCAGCGTCCAAGCCTCCTTCGAAGAGAGTAAGAATCATAGTGTCCACCCAGATTGGTATAGGAATGTTTCATGTCGTGGAATCTGGGCAAGCTGGGGAATTGCTAAAACATCGTCCAATCTGGTCTCGTGATGTAGTCTAAAATTCAGTTAGGAACAACGGGACATGTTCCTTAATTTATCGTACAATTTATTAAATGGATATATATGATCAATGACAATTAACAAGAAGAAAATAATATGACAATTCAGTCACTCGGGTTCGTCTGGTATTCGAGTCCGTTGACTGTGGGCTAGAAGTGATAGCCTAAGCAATAACAGTCTTCAAAACTGGATCAGAGCTGACCACACCGGCAAACTTTTGATCCAAGAATTTCAATAATTCAACAACCTTGGCCTTCAAGTCTTCACTGGCAAATTGCTTCATGTTTTCAATGTTTTCCTCTCTACCTAAGGTGGATTCGTTGATCAACTTGATTCTCTCAGCTTCAGCTAAGAAGACCTTAGAGAAGATTCCGACAACTTGCTGGGTTTGAGCAACGATAACTTCGTTTTGGGATTCGTACAATTTAATGATCAACTTGAAGATTGGAGCATTTTCTTCCAAACCAGTTTCCAATGGCAAGTGAGCCAACAATGGACCAATGACGTGTTCCAATGGAACTGCGGATTCATGCTTCAAGGCCAATCTAGCAGCACATCCAGCAGCATTGGCATAGGATCTGTTAACCACATCCTTGGTTTCTTCATCGTCGGTGTCAGCCTTTCTGTCAGCCTTGCTCAACAATTGGAATAACAATTGCAATAAAGTTGGGTAGGTAGAAGAAAGATCGACGGTACTGTGTTCAACAATCAAACCAATACCGTAAGCAGCATTACCCTTAACTTCCAAAGACTTGTCATTGGTAGCTCTGTCAATGAAGATTTGCAACAAATCGTTACTGAATGGGTTGTTGGACTTCAAACCGCCAACAATTTCAGCCAAAGCACCGGAAGAGCTGACTCTAATGGTCTTAGACTTGGAGGCGAGGTTAGTCAACATGATGTCCTTGAAGGAGGTGAAGATCTTGGCGAAGTCACCCTCCAAAGCGAGGGACAAGTTGACCAAGACTTCCAAGGCAGATTCGTACAACAAAGCATCGGTTTCAGAAGATTCTTGTTCTTCGTCACTTGGACCTTCTTCGTCTTCAACTTGACAAGGGTGTTCCTTCTTCAAAATAGTCATCAATTGGACACAGACCTTCTCTAAGGCCTCGGTGTTGTTAGCATCGTCAATAAGTGCAATAGAACCAAAGGTGAAAAGACTGTCAGCAATGCTGTCCAAGATACAGATAACCATGGAGATTTCGAATTCTTCTTCCAAGAGAGGAACAGCAATACCTCTGACTTGTTGGATCAATTGTAAGATAGATGGGTCAACGTAAGAGGTAGCTGGAACACCCTTTGGAGCCTTGAAGTTGTCACCGTAGTGAGCCTTGAACATGGCCTTGGTGATCTTAAACAAGGTGTTCATGGCAGAGTCTCTCATACCGTAAGAGTTTTCGATTTGATCAGCCAAGGTCTTGATGGAAGGTTCAAGGTACTTGACGAAGTCAGTACCGGTACCGGTAGCCAATTCTGCCAAGGCGACAGCAGCAATTTCTTTTTCAATGGTGATACCAGTGTGGACATTGAGACCATTGGCCAAGTCCTCGTCTTCGGCATCCTCGTCGAAGTCCTCAACATTGAAGGTGTATTCACTTTGTTCCAAACACTTCAAGATTTGTGGAACAATTTGGTCCAAGAAACCAGCAAACTCCTTACCGTAAACCTTGGCCATGTTGGAGATGAAAGCAAAACCAGATTCTCTGATTCTGGAGTGTTCAGAGTTCAAAGAAGTGTAGGCAGCTTCAACCAATGGCTTAGCATAGACAGAGAAAGATTCAGAGCCAACAGCTCTGGCCATGGTGGAAATGTTTTCGAAAGTCATGGCTCTCAATTCAATGTCATCTTCAGTCAAACCTTCGGTTTCTTGGATGCTGATAAATGGTTCCAAGTATTGAACGGAGTTGTTGAAGTATGGAGTGAAAGTCTTACCACTGGCAAAAGCGGTAGAACCAATAGCAGAGACAATAGCAGACTTGAGGGAAGAAGTGTTAGCTTGTTGTAACATGTGGAACAACTTGTTCATCAATGGCTCAATGTAAGATCCCATAGCATCGTGGCTCATGAACTCGATCAAACCATCCAAGGCGTAACAAGCATACTTGTAGGTCATGACGGAGGTGGCAGAGTCAATAATGTCGATGATCAAAGGCAATAATTGTTCGTGGTGAGAAGCAATGACGTCTTGCAAGTCGGAAGTGACACTAGACAAGGCTCTCAAAGCGGCAACTCTAACAATCATTTGAGAGTCCTTAAGACCGGCAACAATAGCACCAATGATCTTTGGAACTTGGGTGGAGAAGTAGTCTGGAGCACCAGAGGAAGCAACACCAATACTCAACAAAGCACCTCTTCTTTCGAATTGGTTGGAAGAAGCTAAGAACTTTGGCAAGACTTCGAACAATGGGTTGATAACTTGAGATGGAGGCAATTCACCAGATAAAGCAGAGATCAATCTCAAGGCCAAGGAGGATGGACTGTTTTCTTCGTTTTCGTTTTCTTCGTCTTCGTTGTCCAATTCAGCTTCGATGTCAATTTCTTCAGAAGCGATTTGAACAGCAATTTGGATGAGGTGAGGACCAAGCTTGTTAGACGAGATCTTGGACTTTCTCAAGTTGACACAAGAGATCAAGAATTGCAAACCGAAGGTTCTGTATTCTTCATCCAATTGAGTGTTGGAAGCGATTTCAGCAATGAATTGGATCAAGTTGATCAAATAATCACCAACCAATTTGGTGTCCAAGAAGATCAAACTGTTGAAGACGTTGAAAACTTCCTTGGCCTTCTCAGAGTCATCGTTAGAAATGACTTCCTTCAAGACTTCGACCATGTGGGGAATGGATTCTCTGAACTTAGAAGCAACCTGAGGGTTGATTTGACTGTCCTCCTCAATGAATTGGGAGATGACATCCAAGGCCAAAACGGCGTTGACTCTGATGTCTCTAGAAGTTTGGTCGGTCAACAAACCAGCGAACAAGGTCAAGAAATCGTCGATGTGTGGGGCCAAAGCTGGAATTTGAGTTTCTAAAAGAGTGTATAAGGTGTAGGCGGCCATTTCCTTGGTTTGGGCATCAGAATCATTGACACCGCTGACCAAAGTTGGCAAAAGTTCAGCCCATTCGTTGTTCTCCAAGTCAATTTCTCCGATAGCAGCAACAACTCTAGCAGAGGAGTGTCTGATGAGCTTAGATGGTTGTTTGAAGGTGTTTTCCAACAAAGCTTGTCTAATAGCAGGCTTGGTGGAAGCATCGACCTTTTCCCAATTGGCCAAAACTAACTTTCTGGCTTCAACAGAGGCTAATTGCTTCATTTCGTCATCTTGTGCACTTTGCAAGATTTGGAACAAAGCAGGCAATGCCAATGGGTTGGTGTAGAAATCCTTGGTCAAGGATTGTGAAGCTTGCTTGATGACATTAGAATCTGGGACTAATGTCTTTCTCAAAGTCTCTTCCAATGAGACAAGGTACTGGTTATCCATGTTTGCAGTCTAGGAAGAGTTGATGGAGTAAAAGTTCCTCTTGAATCAAGTCTGTATATATCCGAAAAAAATTTGAGATGCGATCACGTGACCGATGGTCGTGTCTGCATGTTTCCCTGAAGCTTACCTGGTGTCGTCTAGAGAACCAACCAGCTATCCCGATGATTGGACGCGTCATGGTGGCTTCTGTACGGTAAAGTATTTTTGGCCAGCTTATGCATGAGCAAATCCGTCCATATCCGAATTTATGAGGCGTGCTTTCATGATATCGTAAGAACTACCTTTATAATTTAGTGAAACTGAAGTGAGGTCGGTTGTTGGGGGTTCTCCACACACTTTCTGTGGTAGAATGAAAGTCGGATCCAAAAAATTGCTGTCGTATCTATTATTTTGTGCAGGAGTTCATCGGCTATACTAGTTCATGCAGACACAAAATATTGCGATCAAGACTATCCACTATTCGTGGAGTTAGCCAATAGATAGAATAGCCTTCACGTCCAGTACTGCTCCATATTGACAGGTTTAAGTATCTATCTACTTGTATGCTATCCCATTCGATTCATATGCTATACTCAGAGCAAATTGCGCTTTGCTCTGATTTCGACATATAAAATAATACGCTATTCCCGTGAAAATTCCTAACTTCCATTCGCCTTGCTTTTATATACTAATACTAGATAAGTATTTATTGCATCACATCAATTCACCCAAGTTGGATGGCATTTCTCTAATTCTAGTAGTGTAGTACTTCTCCAACGCCTTCAATTCCTTTCTGTCTTCTTTCACCAACAAGTTGATGGCCACACCCTTTCTGCCAAAACGACCGGATCTACCGATTCTGTGGATGTAGTTCTCCTTGTCTATGGGTAAATCATAATTGATAACCAAAGATACCTGCTGAACATCAATACCTCTAGCCCACACATCGGTAGAAATTAACACTCTGGAGTTACCGTTTCTGAAATCGTTCATGATTTCATCTCTCTCATCTTGTTTCATATCTCCGTGCATGGACACTACGGTAAAGTTTTGTCTTCTCATTTGCTCAGTTAGCCAGTTGACCTTGACCTTTGTATTACAGAAAATGACTGCTTGTGTAATCGTCAATGAGTCGTACAAGTCACATAAAGTGTCAAACTTCCAGTCTTCCTTGTCACACTGAATGTAGTATTGCTTGATCCCCTCAAGTGTAACATCTTCACGCTTCACCAAAATCTTTACCGGATTGGAGGTGAATTTGTTGGTCATTTCGAGCACATCTCTGGTGAGGGTAGCACTGACCACCACAATTTGAATCCCAGCATTCACTGTTTTAAGAATCTCAAATATCTGCTCTTTGAATCCATTGGTCAACAATTCGTCTGCTTCGTCCAAAATCAACAACTTCAAACTCTTCAATGAAAGAAACCGTCTCTTGATCAAGTCCAAGATTCTTCCTGGTGTTCCACTGATGATTTGTTTCTTGATGCTCTTTAAGTTCTTGATGTCCTCGTTGATCTGACTTCCTCCAATACAACCGTATGACTGAATCTTCATGAATTTGCCCAATTGTTGAATCACCCGTTGGATTTGAAGCGCCAATTCTCTGGTCGGTGACAACACCAACGCCTGACAATCCTTGACCTTGGTGTCCAATACTTCGAGCATTCCGATGGAGAAGGTGGCGGTTTTTCCTGTACCCGACTGTGCTTGTGCTATCACATCCTTTCCGGATATGATCTGCATGATAGCTCTGGATTGGATTGCCGATGGTGTCTCGAACCCATACTCGTAGATGCCCTTGAGAAGGAGAGGATTGAGGTTCATGCCTTCAAATGTGCTGTGCACCTTGATCTTGGACGAGGTTTGGGTGAATTCCAACTCATCATCGAGCTCTCTGTCGAATTCGTCCATTTAGGTAAGGAACTCTATACTGGAAAGAGGTGCAAAAACAGTGCTATCTTGGTGTTTTCTGGTGCTTTATTGCCCTGGTAAGTGACTCACGGCAAGGATGTTTGTAGTGATCTAGTACAAGTAGGCTGGCTCCTTATCTGTGTACTCAGGGCTAATGCTTAAGTCTGGGGTCTGTTCTGGTGTACATTTTTCGTGATGAGATGATGTGACACAAATGAGCAGATCGCTCACTCCATATACGACTGGTGCTGAGACTGTCAAGTTAGCAACGGGAACCGATCAAAAAGCACAGCTGTCTATTCCTTCATCACCATAGCTGGTCCTCCTTAAAGTCTTATCCTCCAGAACATATATCCAACATCCATCCATCCAGTGATGTCTTCTATCGTTGTCTTGATTGGTGGTGGCCATGCTGCCGGTAAACTCACCACTGCCAAGCTCTTGAAGCAGGAGATCGAGTCTTCCATGGCCCACGAGCCTGCAGTTGAGTTGATTGACCTTCGCTCCTACGAAATAAAGGTGCAAGACAATGCTGATGTGTTGAATTCCAAGGCCAGTGCCATCACCGTGAACAAAAATGGCTCCAGCGCTCCAGCCTTGAAGCCCTCGAGGTTCCAATTCTCCAAGTTGAAGCAGTACCTCGCAGAACAGAAGACCACACCAGAAAACAACATCCAAAAGGTGTTTATCGTCCATGGTCTCTATGCATTGTACGATAAAGAATTGAGGGACATGAGCCACATGAAAGTATTCATAGACAGTGATGCGGACACACGGTTGATCCGCTGGATCAGAAGAGACATCACCAACAATAAAGAGCCTGCCACCTTGGAATACGTCATTAATTCCTACTTACAAGGTGCGAGAACGGAAATGAGCGACTACATTTTCCCTACCAAAGAATTTGCCGACGTGATTATGCCCAGAGGGGCCGAGGCCAATGCTGTCAAGTTGATTTTTGATGGTATCTTGCTCAACTTGGAAGATAAGAGCTTAGTTAGCACCGAGAGGGTGCGTGGAAACTTGAGGCCCACGGGACACTTTGATATGGAGAAGTTTGATGACCAAAAGAACAAGTTCTACACCTTGAACTAAATCTTTGATGAAATAACATGTTCTAGCGTTTGGACACAACATTACCTCTTAGATTATCAGAAAACTAGTTCAATACCCTGGACTAAATGCATCACGTCTCTAGAAAATTCCGACAAAGTACTACCTTGAGATCTAAAATAAATTTGTAGACAACGAATGAGGCACTATCAAGCTGAAGTTGGCCGTGGCTATAGATATTGCGTGTTAAATGTTACACTTTACATTACTTCGGAATATATCCTGATCCATAAATGATTATCATGTTTGTATTACTGTACATATACAACTTTCTATAACGCCACTTTTCTCTGTCCCTATGATAAGACTAAATCCTATAATAAGTCTTCGCATTAGAGGGATCCATTCTTGATGAATTCAGTGATAGGATCTGTCTCGATGCTATAAGTATCTAAGTTTGCGATAGCGTCACTTGAGATCAACTCCCTTAACTTCTTATCATTGGCAAACCAGTTCTTGATCAAGTAAACCATTTCATTGGTCTTCAACTCTTGGAAAAACTCTTGGTTGAGTTCAAAACTATTGTGCTCGATGATTGATTTGATGATATAGTACAACTTATCATAATTGACCCCACTTTTGATGAACATATCGATAATAACACCCTTAGGAATATCTTCAGAGTGCCCAGATTCTTCTTCTGCAGTCTTTAAGTATTTGCCAATCAATTTGATCAATTCGTCAATAGGGAAAACCAAGTCATTCGAGGACAATTTGGTGCCAACAGCAATGAATGAATTGGTGAGTTGAATGTAGAATGGGTCCTGTTTCTTAGAGTTCAAATACTCATGGTAAATTCTTTCAAATAACAACTCCCATCTCTTTAAAATATCATCTGAGTTCTTGTAGTCAGAGATTTTGAAAACTTCTAAACACAAGTCGTAGTAACCCAATGGATCAGTGTAATCATTGAACAAATCACTTATGGTTAAGATCTTGTAATTCAAGGCATTGACAACTACCTCCTTGTTCTCCTTACTGATTCTTGCATCATTCTGAATAGTAGTTAAAATGTCCCATTGCAAGTTACCCACATCAAAGAGCTCTTGGATTATTGATGATAACTGTATCATTTTTTGTCTAATGTTTGGAGGACAAACACAGTTACAGAAACCGTTAGCTCTGGATAAATACTCAATTCTCTTAGTTAAGTTCAATGGGAATTCTGAGATTGCCAACGAGTAGAGAATACTAGATGCATCATAGAAATTATCCCTCTTGGCATGGTATAACCACAACAAATCACTTAATGATAGATTACCTTGAGATTTTTCCTGTAAGAATGGCAAGATGTAGGGGGTGTTAATACCTAATAATCTTTCACTGATACCTTGATCGATGAACCATTGATAGAATTCATAATGGAATGCTTTATCTTGAGACGAGAAGCAGGTGTCATATGTCAAATCTCTCAATTCCAAAAACTCATTAATTTCCAATTGATTATGAGATTCAGTAATTTTCAACGCCTCTAAGTCGACCTTAGTCAAAATTTTGAAGATCAAGTGATAAAGTTGAGTACGCCTAGTTGAAATAACTTCTTCGGGGCGGTTCTGAATAACAGGAGTGACTGAATTGATAGAACTAGAAATGTTTGGGGTATAAGCTTTCAGTGCCAATTTCAATAAGAGATCGACTGCTCCACTGTAAAACTTCAACTCCAACATAATGTCAATGGAATTCTGAATGTTCTCCAAAGTTAACGACTCGTATGCTTCTTCGAATAACTTCACAGAATTTTTCAAACATTTAATCTTTAAATCGTTGTCACGAGAACCAATGTTCTTAGCCCTGGTCAAATTCTCGATGGCTTTGAAAATGTATACATCATCGGTAGAGCAAAATGAACCACAACGTTCTTGTAAAGATGAAGCAATCAAATCAAGAGAGCCCCCTTTGAGGATATTCTTGTTAATTATCGATGACAAAAGATCCTTGATCAAATTTTTCACTTCTTTAGTTGGCAATAATAAATCTTTGAAACTAAGCATCAAAAGGTTCAGTTGATTAGTTAATGATAAAAACTTAAAAACTTCATTGAAACTTGTTTGGTTTTCTTCAATCAAAACCATTAAGAAGGAAAGTGCTTCTTTCATAGAGTTCAATGACTTAATGATTGAAGTAAATGCTATGTGTTCAGCTCTTAAGCAAACTTCATTTTCAAATTGATTAGGATCAGATGAGTAATTTGGAGCATTTAAGCCTTGGATTTGATTACCGTTCTCAACCAAAAAATCTACCAAAACAATAATAGATCCAATGAAGAACTCGACCTGTTTCTTATCAATATTCAAGTCCTGAATAAGCAAATTATCGTCCTTCACACTTGAGGAATCTATTTGTCCATTGGCTAAGACTTTGATGTGTGTTAAAGGTTTGAAAACCTTAACATTCCAGTACACTCTAAACAATCTAGAAATGAGCAAGGAGGTACCATAAAATCTATCACTTAAAACAACTTGATCTACCGTAGGATGTGTAGGGTCATTGTTGTGATTGAGAATCTGGTGTCCAACATTGACAGGGTGTTCACTCAATCTCGCATTGTTTCCGCATGTTGAAAATAAAATTTGGGCTTTTCTCTTGAAAGGATCGTTGGATGAATGATGACCATAGGAGCATGACAAGTAGAGGAGAGTAGAACAAGTTTCCTCGAATCCATTTTCCTCAATGAAGTTCTCAATAGTACTTTCTGACAATGACTTCAAGATTTGATCAGATGTCTTGTATTGATAAATGATGATTCCAAAATTGGTCAAGATAGCAAACCTCAAGGGTTGCTTGGTATATTGACTGGCCAATACATTAGCATAACCATTAGGAGTGTTGGTTGCATTCATGGAAGGAGTTAACTGGACAATGTCATGAATGTAGGTGAAATTTTCGATGTTATCGTCGGCGCCATAATTTATGAACTCTGCATTCTCGACCAATTTGTTATTCTTCTTCAAAAATCCATAATTCGTTGTTGCAATGAAAAGCTTGTCTGATCTCTTAGTTCTCTTGACACAGAAGTAAACCCCTGGACTGATAATCTTGGAGAACTTGGTATTCTTCAAGAGTTGAGACCTTTGCTGATTTTCTATCAATTGTGCCAAATGCTGTTTGCTTGTAGTATAAGCATCTAACTCCGTAGACACCTCGGGGACCTCCCTAGAAGGAGGAAATTTGATTGTCACGAGGTTCAATCTCAAAGATGTGAAAGATGAAGTTGTAGAATAGGAATTAAACAACCCAAACGTACTCGAAGGGCCGCCCAACTTCAAAAGGATTCTACATCCATTTGATGTAACAGCAATCAATTGAACTTGGTTAGATTCTGCTTTCGAGATGTGATGAATGTTGATGATCTTGAACTTTTCAAACACTTTGAAATTTCCGACATCTACGAAAAGGTTTGATGAACTTTTGAATATTTGAGTTGGGAGCAATTTGCTTGATTCGTGAAGTTGGGAAGCATGAGATTGAGCTGTATGTGTACTTTGTTGAGCTTGAACCGTTGGAAGTTTGTAGACTCTGATGACGGATTTATTGGATAAAGTGTACAAGATATCTCTATCCGAGTCGATTTCCAATTGGGTCAAAGTTTCTGGAATTTGAGCCCCCTTAGCAGAAGTTGATGAAGATTCTGAGTAGTTGAATAAGTATGAATTAGTCAACTTGTTAGGTATGACAGAAGACAACCCTGTCTTAGTGAGACAAGTTTTATCACATCTATTTTTGATGAAAGACGACTTGTTCGAGTAATCCAATCTCCAAATGTTAATTCCATCGCCTTCACCACTGAAATATATGTCCCCAGTTTTAGGATTCTCAATGAAATTATTCACGGCCAAACCTTGGGTCGAAATGGATAAGTCGGGGTTGAAAATCTCCAAGTTATTGAGGGTTTTGTCATATTGGATGATGAAGATTTGGATGTTCATGGTGGTTGCGACCAAAAGTAAGTAGTTGACTTCTTTGACGAAAACGCCTGGTTTGGGCTTCACTAACTTCACCTTTAAAATGGTATTTCTAACTTGATCAATAGTTAAAAATTGGTTGGCCTGATTGAAAGATGACTGAGGCAACTTGTAGTTCCACAAGATTAACTTGTTATCAACAGTGATCCAAGTTCTGTCGATCTCGGGAAAAAGTCCTAGTTTAGAACCACACTCGCTGGAGTTGTATTCGTCGAAGAATTTATCGGGCAAGTTCAACTGGTTGATTCTTTCGAAGGAGGAAAACTCGCCAATCCCATGCTCGTAATCAAAGTAGTAGTTATCCAAACCCGAAGTTGATTTATCAAGAGTCTCGCCCAAATACAAATCCCCTGGGATCATGGAATCTATCTTGGTCAAGTCTGTGATGAATTTAGAGCCCAACTTGAGTGGCGAAAGTGTGGAGAAGTTTGGCACATTGATTCTGTAGTTGACTTGGTTGGTATCGAGGTTTAGTGGATGAAGAAACCGTTTAGACAAATTGCCTCTGAACGAAATGTCATTTGAGGATGCAATTTTGTCCTGGTGGAACTGTAAAGAATCTATAGACTCCTGTAGCTTGAGCGTGGGAGTTATGAATTTCGAGTCCATCGGTTTGGGTGATGGTTGGAACATAGTGGTGGATGTTGTTTACGAAAAGTTTTAAGAAGAGTTGGTAAATGCACGCGCATGCTAGTCAACGCTACCAGAGCGAGTATGAGAAGGGCCACGAGAAGTATTGATGCGCAGAATGTAGAGCCAAGAAGAGGATGAGAGTCCGGATGGGTTTCACGTGCTATGTTGTGTCTTATTTGGCCGAAAACTGGATGGACCACAGCCGTGTTGGAGGTTGCTTGCCATGGGTAAATGGGTGCGAAAGAGGTGATATAGGTGCAATTGGATATTAACAACATACACATGTCAGTTGATCAAGCCTACCGAGCATGTTCTACCATTGGATTAATGCTAGACAGAGTAGACCTTTGGAGAGATCGAAACATTATCACCCTAGCCGGCACAATATATGTACCTGAAAAGGTATAACTGAGATGTTATGCATTCTAAGATGATCAGACCCGATGAATAGATCTATACGTTTGGACCGAAAATTAACTGAACAGCCTCCTCTCGAATAGTTAAGGCTAAAAGTGCTGATCTTTTGGATTAGTGGTGAATTTTCAATGTCTAAACCTTCCGCAGCAAGCATATCGAATGGCCTGCCCATTCCTATATTCCAACTCACAATTGCCAATATCAAGAATTCAATGCCCATTGGGATTTTCACATATGTTAGGCCACTGCAAAGTAGCCATTGCTTCTGATTCCAGTGTTCCAGCTCGATGACCCCGATAATTTGGTGTTTCATACACGACTAGGGGTTGCATTAGAAGAGGCTGTCAATGTTGCAGCCGAATTGATGTCACATAGGAACCATCCAGTACTAACTTGGCAATTGCCAGAATAAGCCTCTTACAATCGTGGCACATGTAGAATTCACATCCGACGTGTAGTAACCAAACCGAATGGCTCCTCCCTTATCTATACCAGAAAACTATAAATTACAATAAGGTGGCACGGAATGGAACCGCAATCAACATGAGATTTGCTATCGTTTCCACTACAGCTCTAGCACTTGTTGCTGCGTTGCAAGATTTCCGCTTGCTTAAGTTGGGTCCTAAAGACTACAGATTGGTCACGGAGGATGCAAAATGGGCCATGAAACGAGCAAATATCAACTTTATCGACTACACCAACCAAGTGACAAACGAGGAGCTTGCAGCGTATGATACACAAAATCCCCAAAAACCATTGGCTATCCTGCCATCTGGCAGTCTGTACTCCTACCCCAAGAAAGCCTTTCACGAATCGACAGTGAAGGCCCTATTCAACCTAATCAGTGTAGAAAAATTGGAGCAATCCCTCACCAAATTTTCCTCCTTCTATACACGTTATTACAAGTCGGAGCACGGGTTTGCCAGCGCAAACTGGCTATTTGATCAATTGACACAGATCACTTCTGGGGTACCCCGTGCCGTGGTCAGAAAGGTCCATCATCTCGGCTGGGACCAATTTAGTATTGTGGTGCAAATTCCAGGGATCACGGCTGCGAAAGTTATACTTGGATCCCATCAGGATTCTACCACTTCCGATAGTCCCGAGACGAACCCTGCGCCTGGTGCCGATGACGACGGTTCGGGGGTGGTGACTGTGGTGGAAGCATTGCGGGTGCTTGCCCCCAGTCTCCGGTCCGGTTCCTGGACTCCCCACAATACCTTGGAGTTCCACTTTTACTCAGCCGAAGAAGCGGGACTTTTAGGCTCCATAGATGTGTTTTCCCAGTACGCTGCCTCGGACGCAAAGGTGCTTGCTATGATTCAATTTGACGAGACGGGATCCAGTGAGGGGTCTGTACTTAACGGTACAGAGAAACACTTTGGACTCATGTCTGACTATGTGGACAAACTGTTGAATGAATACTTGAAGGTGATCATTGACACTTATAACGATATCCCCTATCATGAGACCAGCTGCGGATACGCCTGCTCGGACCATGCCTCTGCATACGAAAGATGATATCCTTCTACGTTTATCACAGAGAGTGAGGCCAAGCTCACATCGAGATACATCCACACTGGTGAAGATACCGTGGACAGAATTGATTTTGAGCACATCAAGGAGCACGTAAAGTTGGGAGTGGCCTACTTGTATGAGCTCGGGAGCGCTAGTCAGTAATGTGGAAGGGTAGGCTATGGAGAGTGCTAATTGATCATTGATAATGGAAAGGGTGTCGGAAGTAACTATTTTCGAGGCAGTTCCATTCGTCATTAGTAGGATAACGGTGGTAGGCAATGATGCTGTCCCAGCTATCAGTAGAAGAAGTATATTTATCGCCAAAAGCACACAACATTTGATGATCCATAGATTCAAATCCATCTCAGCTGTAGGCAATGTTCTCTAACATACCCAACCAACTACAGGACCTGGCAGGTTGCTGTTGACATATATTTAGTAATAAAACAGAAGAAGAAGGGTTTGCAGACATTAGCGAGCATTGAAAGCATAAAAGGTACAAGTACTGGAGCCTCACTGAGAACAATGATTGGCACACCTCATAACACAAGTGTTGCGCAAATCCCAGCGCTTACTGGGACTCCTCGGTCTCCTCTCTCTTGGCGTATCTGACAACGTCAAAGCTTCTTTGCTTCAAGCTGGTCAAGGTGTACTTGGACTCCGAGGCCTCGTCAGCCACCACTCTCTGTCTGGCGTCGGCCTCCACGAACAATTGCACGCCAGGCTTCAAGAACTTCTCGAACGCAGACACCTGGTTCTCGTTGAACACAGACACGTTGAACCAATCGGTGGTTCTGTCTTCTTCGTTGGGCGAGTATCTGTTGACCGCGAGCGAGTAGTTAATGAACTTGACGCCGTCTTTGGTCTCCTTGAAGTTGACGGAGCCCACGGTTCCAAGAAGCTGGACTCTGGCGAACGAGGGTCTGACGATTGAGCTGGAAAGGGTACGGATTTGTCTAAGCATGGTGATGGCAGCGAGTGTGGTTGTCAAATAACCCTGCAAAAAGGCACACGCGTGGAGGGGCAAATGCACCGTACACTACCGGGTGGTGTTACACCACCTGGGGCGCGTGTGCACGTGACGGGGGCGCGCACGCCCCTGTCATACAAATCCAGGGATGTGCGATAAGATACACACCAGATACTCCTTATCAGACGTTTGATAGCAAGGATCCATCGACAGGCGTTACAGTATGTACGGACAGGAAGGGTGCTGTGTGGTTCGTCGCCAGTCAATTGGCCCATCGGCGCCTCCCAGATGCCCCGAACCCTTTGCCACCCTGGGGCTGTAAGGAGCTGGGGATGACTAAGGAACCGCCCTTGCCACCCTGACATCGCAAGAAGCGTACCGCTGAAGGCTTCATCGACACTTGACAGTACTAACCACAGATATGAGATCGCAATTCAAAGACGAACACCCATTTGGTACGTGTGACGGAACTCGTGTTTGAGCTTACTAACCCCCAGAAAAGAGAAAGGCAGAAGCCACCCGGATCTCCGAGAGATTCAGCGATAGAGTTCCCGTCATCTGCGAGAAGGTGGAGAACTCAGACATACCCGAGATCGACAAGCGCAAGTACTTGGTGCCTGTGGACTTGTCGGTGGGCCAGTTTGTGTACGTGATCAGAAAACGCATCAAGCTCCCCAGCGAGAAGGCCATTTTCATCTTTGTCAACGACATCTTGCCCCCCACCGCGGCGTTGATCAGCACCATCTACGAGGAACACAAGGACGAGGACGGTTTCTTGTATGTGTTGTACTCGGGAGAAAACACCTTTGGCCAGGTGGACCTTTCGGAGCTCGACTTCACCGACTTGGACGGCTACACCGGGCCATGAGCCAGCTCGACTGGTCCCAACGCAAGCCCACAATCAGGATTGTGGATTTCTCTTGCTTTTTTTATTGCCGGTGGTGGCATTATGATTCATGGTATGCAGCAGTATAGTTGATAATTGATTAGTAACTAATGAGCTGTAGTGAGCTTGACTCTACTTTGACTTTGTGGAGACATGGAGGATGTAGGGCTTCGGCGTGAGCGTCTTGAGAGACGCCAACGGGATACGGGACTCAGCCGTTTGGAATAGCCGTAGGGACCGCTGGCGAGTTCCAACACCAAAGCGGATCCCAGCAGGTCTTACCCAAGTAGATGTGTGGATTGGCGGTACAAGCACCAGCAGAGTCACCACAAATGAGTTCACACGAGAACTGGTCGACTCAAACAGGAAAGTGCCCGATCTGGCGATTGTGCCCTGGTCGAATGGAACGGCTAACGGTTGGGCCAATAGTAAAGGCCTTAAATCAAATGACATTTGCTGTACACCCCAGGGTGGGGAGCCAGTACGAGTGACGGGGAGCAGCAGTTGAAGTCAAAAAGAGAGCAAGATGAACGGGCAAACAGGGGCCAATCGCGAGCCGGTGGGTTATTGCAGGTGGTTGTTACAGTTGTTGCCGTGAGTTGTTCCAGGCACGAGAGCGACCGCTACAGCCCACACACCACCACCACTACCACCACCACCACCACTTCTCTGTCCTTGTAGCTCACTGCAGCGGATTTAGCAGCACGACCCAGCCAAGCCCACCAACAACTGCACCAGAATGCACGCCAGAAGTGCTTCCAAAAGTCTATGTGCAGAAAAACGTTAGAGAATCCCGAGCACCAAAGGCCCCTATCCCGAGGCGGGTTAGCTGCAGGCTGACGGATTAGTGGGCCCATGAAACGGGAGTATGGTGCTAGCCAAGTATTCACTGCGTCGGCTTCAAACCGTGCTGTTACCACAACAATCCTGAAATCGCTTGCCAATGGTAAACCCCACCCTGGCAACGATTGCAAATCACAGCTCGCGCCAAAAATCGCACCTCACGCACTGCTTGGCACCTGTGCAAAAACGCGGTGAGAAGCCGGATTTGCAGTCGGACCAAAACAGTCAACAATGCCTGGTTTTGGGGTGGAAACACCCACAGATGAGGGGACTGGGGATGGCCGACGCAAAACACGCTCTACACTGGTGCTGCCGGGGTGGGATCGGCCCCATGCTAGTTGTTGCCTGTTCCATCCCGATTCTAAACATCCGCTCGTGCTTGGTGTGTGCAACTCCGTTCTGTAACAGGCAATAGGCAGCGGCTTCCCCTGCCCATCTGCAGATGTGCTCCACCTTCTCGTACTTGGTGCATGTCCTAATCCAGTAACTTGCGTCTGGTGCACCAGATGCACCAACAGCACAAGAAATGACCCCCACCCACCATCAGATTTGCAGTATAAATACACCCGCTTGCCCTCAGTTCTGGACGCCAGTCTCATCTCCACTCTCCTTATACCCCCACCGTCGTCGCTCGCTATGAAGTTCTCCTCCGCTCTCACCACCTCCGCTTTCGCATCCATGGCCATGGCTGGTGCCATCTCCAACAGCACAGTCGTGGTCACCCACGTCACTGTCACTGGCTACACCACCTACTGCCCAGAACCCACCCAGGTCGTCATCACCAAGTGTGCCGAACACGTTTGTGCCCCAACCACCATCACTGTCACTGAAGCCAAGACCGTGATCGTCGAGGAACCATGTCTCGTTCCAGCCACTTACACCTCTCACGTCGCTGCTCCAACCACCGATGCTCCTGCTGTTGCTCCTCCAGCCACTTCCAGTGCTGTCAAGACCAACGCTGCCGAGGTCCACACCTGGGACAACGGTGCTTCCATGAACGTTGCCGGTGTTGCTGCTTTCGTGGGTGTTGCCCTCGCCTTAGTCTAAGTTCCTAGCCCAGCTTTATGATTCTTCAGCCTGGGCCTGGCGTATTGCTGGCTCCTCGGCTCCGATATGTATGTTCTACGATAACCAAACAATTGACGATTCTTTCGCATAAATTCCTGTAAATGATGTAGGCCCTTGCTTAACCCAGGAGTGTGTCCGGATGGAATTTCCAGTATTGCGATGGGGTACTGCAGTCAGGTTACTCTACTACTTCAAATTAATAAGAAGATTCTTCACTATTATAATAGGTACATCACTTATTCTAAGCTAGAAAAACCTGGAATATTGCCAGACTGGACTTTCTAGACATATCTGTATGGATCATCTCATGATGTAAAATTTCACTCTCAAAAATTAAACATTTTGGAGATATTTGACAATATTTTACAGAAACATAATCGGGCTTGCCCAATAAAATACAAGTCACGTGACCCACACTGCCAATATGGACTTCAATTTTTCTGCCTAGTTAAGCACCTCCATAACCAGCCTATGCTCTGACGCCAGTCAACCGTGCATTATGTCCATCTTTTCAGACGAAATCGAACCATCGAAGCTACCACAGTCGTCCCGCTTCTTCAACCAAACAACTTTACCAGATTTACGGACCTTCTTGCTCACAAAGAACAATAAGCCGCTTGCATTCAATGGACAGCATTCCAATATAACGTATAACCCCTACAACTTTCCCCAACTGAAGACCAAAGCTAACTTCCCGTTGGACTTCTTTCACTTGCCCAACAAAATCCACCTCACTGGGTTGCCAAATAGCGAGAATCCAGAGCCTGAGAGCATACCGTCCTACAAGCTAGATGACAACCAAGCCAAAGATCCCATTAGGTTTTTTGAAAGCGTTGCAGAAGAAGCCAGGAATTATGGGGCCATAAAAGTGAAGATTCCTGTAGTCCAGGATAATCTTTTACGATCTAACTTCCAAATCAACTCCGACTTGTTTTGGTTTCAAAGTAACAAGTTGTTGAACAATAGCCACCAAGATGAGTTAAAGAACCGCTTACAGTTTCACTCGGAGCTCATAAGGTTTCACATGAGCGATGAAAAGGAACCAGATCAACAGAGTACCCAGGATGAACAGATAACTCGAGATGCTACGACTGACATACCAACGGACTCACAATGTGAGAAAGAAAGTACCGAAAGTGTTCAGATACCCGATTTAAACGCCTCAGTTTCCGAGAAGAGCTTTAATGGTTCAGAGATTCTGTTGTCCAATGTGCCAGTCATAGATGGCGTAGAAACTCCAGATGCCCCCCTTCACGATCTTACGAAATCTTCCCTTGCAGCTGCTGAATCAGCCTTAAATAATACCGATGCTGCAGATCCAAATGTTCAACTCAGTGTTGCCACAAATGGCGATGAGTTGCAAACAGCAGGTATTGAAATCGCTGATTCCCAAGCCACTGAAGCCGATCAAACAGAGAAAAATGTGCCAAATGTATCATTTCTCTTGGATAGGAATACGTCTATAAATAGTCTCTTGAACTCACCCTCAGTTCAGCCTTCGGATTCGCAAGAGACTACTGCAGAAAGTACGCAACCTTTAACTGCTCCATCACATCCAGAAAATTCATCTGGGCTGAAGACAATCAAATCTGAGTCAAGTTCGGAATTGGATTCAGCTACGCCCTTGGGGTCAAACCAGAATCTCAATTTGGACTCCCCTAATCTACTGAAAGAGTCCAAAAAACTCTCAAAAAAGAAGCAAATTCCATCATTCTTAATGAAGCTACCAATGATTGATAAGCGTCCAATAGATTTATATAAGCTTTTCCGTTCCGTGGTTATCAGAGGTGGCTTTGTCGAGGTTATTAACAAAAAATTATGGGCACAGATAGGACGAGAGTTGGGATATAAAGGAAAAATCATGACCAGTTTGAGTAGCTCTCTTAAGTCTTCCTATCAGAGGATATTATACCCTTTCGAAGTGCAATTAGGTCAAAGAAAATTTGGACTTGCTGGATTGGATACCCCAGACCAGGGCAATGAAGAGGATCGCAATCCAGCTCACACTGTGAAAGTGGAGGATGAAGTTGATTACAAAGAGGAGCCCAATATTAATGGCAAAAGAGAAATTAACCAAATGAGCACGGAATCTAGAAAACGGAGAAATCCATTAATTTTAGGTTCAGGGATTGAATTTCAAAGATCAGTTCAACTTAAGGGGTCGAAAGGTTTCCTAGTGAATACACCCCATTTGATTGATATAAAGCCACCAATATCTTTCACTATTAAAGATGAAGATAATATTTCTACAAAGAAAGGAAAAAAGGGGCAAGAAATAACTGAGTCACCAATTTTGCCACAGAATCAACTTAACCATTCCTTATCCAACATGCTTAACAGTCCATCAAATAGTTATCAAGATGAATCAGGCTTAAAAGCAGTGCCTAAAATTGCATCTATCTACTCGATGCGTCAATTTATGGAAAAGGACTTGAAGTTTCAAGAGTTCATAGTTCAGCATAATGCGTCATCTTTCAATAAGATGTCTGCAAATTTCCCTAGCTTCTATCATTTCAATGAACCAAATATGCCAATTCCGGAGAGAAACTTCATCAAGTTTGATAAGTATGAAGAACTATATTGGAAATTCGTACTGAACGAGGATTCCAATCATCCGTTGTTAAAGGATGGACTTGAATTGGAGCATGGCGAAAATCTTCTTAGTTTGATCCACGGATCTGGATTCGTGAAAATTGGTGATGATTTGATGAATTATAAGAATAATTTGAACAATCTTAATATCAATGCTTCGAGCAATAAGATCATCAACACGGCCAACAATAAGATAATTAACACGTTTGTTCCAAACACGAATACTCAGGTTAGTTCTAATAGCTACCCTACTGGAAGTAATCCAATTTCGTCAACTACAACCCCAGCGAATGATGTTGATCTGTTCAATACTGACTATTACATATCCAATATTCTTCAATCAGCAATGAACCCTTGGAATTTGCACAATCTCCCAGTACTTCCAAACTCCCTATTTGGTGCTTTATCTGAGAATGATATCAACAATCAGGATTTAACCAACTCTAGGATTAACATTGGTATGACCTTCAGTACACAGAATTGGAAATGTGAAGATCATTTCACACAACTTATAAACTACCATTTTTTTGGTGCCTTCAAGAAGTGGTATTTCATTCCTGAACTGGAGTTTGAGAAGTTTGAAGCCTTGATTCTAGAGGTAAATGAAAGCAACAAAGATAGAGTTAGTATCAACAATGACAATTGGGCCATTGAAGAGTTGTTGGAACTAATTGGAAACAATGAGGGCTCTGAAATTAGGGGGTTGGAGTATGATACTTTAGTGAACTCTTTGGAAAACATGATAAATCCCTTCCAAGATGAACGATTGCCTCATTCCAATGTCGAATTCCAGAAATTGATAAGTGCAAATAGCAAAAAAATCAGATTCAACCAGGACTTTTTAATAACACCTCAGATGTTAAGAGAAAGAGGCATTAAATACTCGACTACCATTCAAAAGCCTGGTGAATTTGTCGTGAAGTCATCCAAAACATATTCATTAGCTCTCTCATTCGGATTGAACTTCAGCGAAGAAGTCAATTTTGCCACCCAAACCTGGCTACCTTATGCCACTGAAGCAGAACAATGGTTAGCAAAACAGTCCATACTACCAAATTTCCTGACATTCAAATTATTAGTAAATTTGATTCAATTATATGATTCAGGTAAAAGCATTGGATTTAATTCCCTGATTTACTCAAAAGTGGGATCATTCTACGAGGAGATGTACCGAAATGAGCTAGAAATTCGATTTAAAATTAGGAAGCTCAAGATTAAGGAGATGATTATCGATAGTGAAAATACTTGTGACTCTATTTCCGATGATAATTTTGTGAATGCATTTCCATCCAAAATTGTTTTGACCGACCGTTCCACAAGTCAATCCTTCATTTTGGCACCTTCTACGTTCATTAAACTTCATGATGAAAAGATAATCCCTTTTGAGAAATTTAAAATAGAATTTCATTTGTTCTACTCAGATGATAAGTTGAGAAATTTTTCAAGAATATTGAATGGATATTCTATTGATTATGAGCAGTGGACTCAGAAGTACGAAGAATTAATGACTGAGAATACTGACCTTGCGCTTAAGGTGTACAAGGGCCTTCTTAATGATGGAGAGAGAATCTATTCTGCTATATCTTCGGCCAATTTTTTAATCGGAGGAAGCTCAGAGGAAGATAAAAAGAGAATCAATGAATTGAATAAGTTTAAGAATCATATTGAGAACTTAAAATTGTTCATTGAAGACTCAAACAAGTTTATTGACGAGTGTCAGAATTTGTTAGCCATAAAACACCATCAAAGAATAAGGTCAGGGAATGAATTTCAGTCGTCGAAGGGATTGGAGGATTTAGTCAAATTAGTAGACCGGATTCCAACACTTAACTTTTCTTGCATAGAAATAGATCAAATCCTTGAGTTCAAGTCAGAAATCGAGAATTTTGATAAGGCGTCTAGAATGTTATTGTCGAAGAAGAACAGATCTTTGAAGGAATTTGATGACTTGATTGATTTAGGTGAAAGTTTCGGTATTGAAATCCCATCATTGAAATTCTTGATCAGAATTAGAGATCGTCTCAAGTGGTTGTCTAGGTTTAACCTCATAGAAAAAGGAGACGACCCCTTCAGTGACAAGAAGGAAATTTTCACATTGCAACATCTTCAGGATTTCTTTGACACCGGATTGAAAGTTCTCTCTGAAGTGGACCTTCCTAAAATTATCGAGCTCGAGAAAATTCTCAAGAGTAGTTTGAATTTCAACAAGGAGTTAGATCGCTTTTTACAATACGAATCAGCAGATCAATTGAATCTTGACCAGCTCCAGAAGTTTGTTGCAAAGTTTCAGGGTGAAAGACTTTTCTTAGGGCTTGAAACGTACAACGAACTTTCCAAGGTACATTTGAATTCTAAGTTGATCACTCAATACATTGAATTCAAAGAGCAAAAGTACTCGAAGTACTCGTACTCAGATTTGAGGACTTTGCAGAGCAGCTTAGTTGAAAACGAAATTCGATTTAATCCTCAAGAGATTGTGCACAAATTATACTCAACAGAGCAATGGGTGTATAGACTTTGGGAAGAGGTTAGAAATAAGAAAGTTGTTACCACTTTGAGTAAAGAGATGGACCTCAAGCATCTAAACCCAAAGTTCACCTTAGAGGGAAGACTCATCGAAAAGTTTTACCAGTTTTTGTATAAAAATGAGTTTAACTTTGCTGTGGAAGATACACACGAAATTTCCTCAGCATACCTCATGAAATTTGTTGATCCTGAGAGTGAAATTGCACCTACTTATTATTGCAATTGTCGTGAGTATGAATTTGGCACGATGATTGAGTGTGATAAGTGTAATGAATGGTATCACATTGTATGTGTTAATGAAGGTGAAGAACATCAAGGTAACGATGATGAGAGCTACACTTGTCCTGTGTGTCAATTGATTGAGTCAAATAGCACAACAGATGAGTATCTTAGAGGAAAGGTCACTTGGAATCGCGTCAAAGAGATGGTGGACGAGGGCAGAGGTTTGAAGGTCTACCCAGCGAATGAGTTAAACTCGTTAGAAGAGGTTTACTTGGGCTTCACCAAGCATTATGAGGATGTGAGAAAGAAAATTGAAGAAGCAAAGAGGGATCCAAGATCGTCGGAATTGAGGCTCGATCTTTTTAAGTTTTTCCTCAGGAAGTTGTATGGTAGTGGAATTTTATTCCAGGACTTGTTGGAAGAGGTTGTGAATTTAGTGAGAGAAGAGGAGCGTAAGATTGCTATGCAACAACCCGTGCCACAGCCCGCAGATGTCGAGGTACCATTGCACGAAGTGAATGGTAATCATATGGCACTGTCTAGCTCTATTGACAAACAGCAAATTACCACCGGCCAAACAGTCATAGGTGTCCAAGATGCAACTGCCCCAATAGACAGAACAAGCGCAGAACCGCCAATTTCGGCCCCACAGCTCCCCAATGACATTCAGCAAACACCAGCATCAGTTTTGGAAGCTCAATCTGTGTTACCAATCCGCAATACCGACCCATCGGTTTCTGCTTCACCAGACCAGCCAGGACAGAGCCAGCAAGTGCAAATTGAGCTGGATGTGACTGAACCAGCCGTTGATCCCGCTCTAGCTACCTCAGGCACCATGCAGGGCCAGTCCCAATCTGCTGTTGTACTGCCTCCAGTAGTTTTACCTGCTAGGGCTGAGCCAGCTGTTTTTCCAGCGTCCGATCTCCCTCCGTTGGAGTCTACAATAGACCAGTTAATTCAAGCTACCCACAGTCCTGTTGACAATCTGAATCAGAGCACATCGGAGTCTGGCCAGAACTAGTATGTATTGACGTGGGAGACTAATATACCAAATAAATATTGATAGAAGCATTGTAAATTCGCAAAACGTATCGTAGTCAAATTAGGGCCTTTTATCACCATTCTTCCACCTGTGGCCTTTACAATTTGGCTCTTGACCACATATTTATCGTATCATACGGAACCACTTCGCCCCACATCCGTTGCAGCTGCTAGTCTTGGTTCAATATTCCCTTGGTTGGTGAACAAGCCTCTACTTTTGTTCCATAAGACGCGAGGTCCCCACATAATCGGCCAGATACGCACTGCATATATACGCGTAACCATCATAAACGTACCCACCATGACGACAGACACCCTTATAGATAGCATAATAGACACATGTTGGGGCAGGATTAGGGGCAAGGAAAGCATCTACGTGACGCAAGTCATGGGACTTATCCGAGAAATCGAGAACGAGCTCCAAATCTCATCGCTCTTCGTGGCTTCCGAGATCCATCTCTTGGACCAGTTGATACGAAGCAACCCACAGATGAAGCTCTACAAACAAGAAGTCAAGGAGTTGCTCATACGGCTTGTGAAGTACGCCAACTTCGAGGAATTCTTGAGAGAAAGATTTGGGCTCAGTCCAGTGGAGATTAGGCTCAGAACTGCGAAGACCCCTTCCAGGTTTGAGTCTAGAAAGCCAGACCCAAGCTTGAGAAGCTTTATTACAGGCTCGAGACACACGAAGGAATACACCAAACCAGTTTCTCCGCCATATTCCCCACCCTTGAAGAGTTTTTCACAGCGATCTGACAGCGATCGAATCTATACCTCAATAAATTCTAAGGACGACAGAATCGAGGCATTGAAAAGTGAAATAACAAGCTTACAGAGATATGTGACGTCCTTGGAAAACCAAATCAGGAACCAGCCAGATTCCTCGTCAAGAAGAACGCTAGACAGGGAAAGGACCATAAAGAACTTGGATAAATTATGCTACGATTACCAGAGGGAGTTAAAGGCATCCAAGAAGCGAGACGAAACAAACAAGCAGTATATAAGCCAGATGGTAGACAGCATAAATCAACAGGAAAAATTGATAGAAATGCTCAAGGTCAAATTGGATCTTAAACTGGTCTCTACTAGCTTCAAGGCAGACGGAGAGGAACAAAACAAATTCAGGGACTTCATGGTTAACTTGCCATTTTTCAAGCAATACTATGCGTACTTCAAATATAAAGAGGAGTCTAAAAGCATTGGCTTGCTTTTCTTGAATGGGTTGACCTTGGTACTCTCTGCCTTCATAGTGATTAACATTTTGCAAGTGGTGTTGTATTTAATTCTTTGGGTTTTTGGATCTTCCGATTCTATTTATGTGTATGATGATTATGGGAGTTGGTTTAGTACCAAGAGTACATTCGTGTGGTGGAAAGAGTTTGAAATTGTAGAATATTGGGTTTATAGAATTGGAGAGTGGTTTGAAGTCTAATTTAGTCTAGAAACAGAGCTAATAAGTATGGATTAGTAGTCAAAAGTTTCAAAAGAGAAAACATCTATATTGTCTTATCATTAATGAATTCAAATCATTGTACATCTCTGACGAAGAGACTCTAGCTAAACTGTAGACTTTTATCAACCAGGAACCGGGAAAGTATATATGACTTTATTAATTTTCTGTATGCACTCTCTCAATTGAGTCAAAAGCAAACATTTATGATTTAGGTAAGATTCGGCCAAGTACAATTTTTGTAAAATGATATTATTAAAATATACGCTTCAATAGCTTTATAGTGAAAGATTATATTAATATATACATGAATACACACGTACTCCAATATAACCATTCAGAGGAAGAAATAAAGGAGTTATAAAAACCAAAAAAAACCCAACCGAATCTATCAATACATTTAGTTCATTTGCTTAACCAAAGCGTTGATGAATTCTTCTCTGTTACCGGTGTCACCACCTTGGATGAAGTGTTGGAATTTTCTAGTTCTGAAACCACCGTTAGGGTTAGACAACTTGAATGGCCACAAGAAGTTGTTAGCTTGCTTGAAGTTTGGACCAACAGTGTAGATTTCGTGGATCAAGTCTTCAACAGACAAGATGTTGTAAGCCTTCAAGTTAGCTTCAATGATGGAGTTGTCAGACAAAGCAATTCTTTGCTTGTTGACCTTACCGTAACCTCTCTTGTAGACCAAGTGTCTGATGGTAGCCAAGGATGGGTAACCGTAAGCAATGTATGGTTCAGCCAACTTGATCAATTCAGCGGTGGCCTTGGTCAACTTGACGAAAACACCGGCGTTGATTTGGGTCAATCTCAACAATTGCAAGACCTTTCTTGGCTTAGGTGGGATCTTCATGATACCCTTGATTCTGATGATGAAAACCAACTTTGGTTGAGCATCAACGTAGTAAGAACCAGCAGCCTTGGCATCTCTCTTGGCAGTGATGACAGCACGGGCAGCTTCAGCGTACTCCTTTTCGTAAGCAGCGTTTCTGTCGTGGATAGCCTTTCTCTTTTCCTTGGTGGCCTAATTTGTTAGTAATTGCAACATGCAACAAACATGACGATTTTCTCAGTCCCGAAAGATGGTTAACGATAGACAACATGGCCGTAGCTAGTCATATACTGTGGTAGAATTTCATCTTCAAAAACCTTCATGCTGGTTTCGGTATACATACGGATTGACGAGCAACCTTGGCGGCAGCACGTTCTTCGGCAATCTTTTGTTGAGCCTTTTCCTTCTTGATGAGGGTTTCTGGTTTTAAGGTACTAGAATGTTAGTAGGGACTAGGCAGACCTAGCAACACAATATGCTCCTCTGGGACAGTAAGGTAGGACATGCAGTGGTATGAGATCCGGAAAGGTTCATCATTGGATATGGAACTGAACCGCCAGTTCATTCCATTCCCCACTCACGTCCTAATTAATACTCAGAGGAAAACAGATGTATCAGGCATTGGCTAATAACGAAGATAAATGAATATTCAATTCGGCTGCAAGACAATCTGAAATTCCCACGGCATTTAGGCGACTAGAAGGACTAGCCTAAGAGGTGGCTCAACCACCTGTATATTCACAATCGTCATCATCAGACTAGCGACACAGTTGTTACTGCATATCGTGTTGTCAGTGATGTAGGGCACACATACGTAGCCATCTTGATGAGTGTTGGTGAAATTATTCTGGAGGGGAAATTAATGCACCTTTATAGGGTGCGAGCATACGATGAGACAAATTTTTCACTCGCGGCAAGAAGGTTACCCGGATGCAGACGGTTGCACACGTGACATACACATGGGCTAGGGCTGCGACCCTAGCTAGGAGTCCAGCATGGCATGGCACCGTTAGGACGGGTATTTTAAGTGAAGGGAACGTGACAGTAGTCTCAGTCCTTCGGAAATTTCCCATACATGGGTGACCTGTCCCGGTCCTCTTTCAATGCAAATGGTTCGTAGAATTTCCTCCGAGCACCCATCTGTACGCTGTGAAGGACCACCAGCGTGGTATCACCCACCAGCCCCTTTTCGTCTCTAGTCACCATTGCCAGAAACGAGATGAATACTAATTTAGCGGATGCATCTACATGCTCGTATTTTTCTATAGGACCACCAGGCAACAACGGTCGCTAATAGCCCGAGGAGGGCCTGGACAGCCACATATTAGCTATCATGAAACAAGGGCGGCGTTTGTATGGATCTCCTTAGGGTACCAACACCCCGATTTTTTACTATTTGGACCCTTATCTTTGGGTCCAGGCCAGATAAGTTCCGCATTTCTTATCAGTTCCTAAATAGGAAACAGTTCTGTTCACACTGGAGGGACGGAACTTCCCCCAGGACAGAGCCGGAAATAGCCAAGAGCACTGCTTATTGGATCTGGATCGGCTTTTAGTATATAACTGGCGCATATCCGACGTAATCTACCAGCAGTACCTTTCGTGATGACTCTCAGCCCGGTGCTCTCTCGAGAACAAATCATCGAGCAAGTCACCTCCAACAAGCTGTACTTCAATAATGCGTTCAACGTGGAGGAGCCCCAAATCAACGCCCTTTTGGCCCACGATGACGAAGAGCTTTTGGCCCAGATCGGGTACAAACCGGAGTTGAAGCGTCGGTTCTCCAAGATCCAGGCCTTTGGCGTGGCGTTCTCGATCATGGGCTTGTTGCCCAGTATTGCGTCCATTTTTGCCCAGGGGATCATAGCAGGCCCTGCAGGGTTATTGTGGGGTTGGGTAATCAGCAGTGCCTTGATCTTTTGCATTGGTATATCCATGTCTGAAAACGGGTCTTCGCAGCCTACCTCCGGAGGCTTGTACTACTGGACCAACTACTATGCACCACCCAGAGCAAAGACCTTGCTCTCGTTCTTGATCGGAAACACCAACTCCATTGCGCTCATTGGAGGATTATGTTCGGTCGACTACGGATTTGCACAGGAGCTATTGGCTGCAGTGGTGGTTGCAAAAGATGGTGATTTTGACATCACTCCCGCGAAACTCTACGGGATTTTTGCAGCTTGCGTGTTCAGCCATATCATCATCACCTGTCTCTCCTCGAGAAACTGTGCTTATCTACAGACCACGTCGATCTACGTCAATCTTGCCTTGATCGTATTGTTCTTGATTGCCTTGCCCATCGGAGCCAGTGGCAATTTTAGGTCTGGAAAGTTTGTATTCACCGAGTTCGATAGTATCTCCGAGTGGCCTGTTGGCTGGACCCAGTTGAGTGCCGCTTGGTTGCCTGCAATTTGGACCATTGGAGCGTTTGACTCGGTGATCCACGTCAGCGAGGAGGTCAAGTCGGCCGAAGGAACGATTCCGTTTGGGATTTTGGGCTCCATTGGTATGTGCTGGGGCCTCGGAACCATCATCATAATCATGACATTATTCTGCATGCAAACCAACGATATCGAAAATCACTATTTGCAGACCAAATTCGGCTTTCCCATGGCCCAAATAATTTTTGATTGTCTCGGAAAGAAATGGACCATTGCCTTTATGGCACTCATGGCATTTGCCCAGTTTCTCATGGGGGCCTCCATTTTGACCGCCATTTCTCGTCAGATTTGGGCCTTTGCCAGAGACAACGGACTTCCATTCTCCAGATACATCAAGAAGGTGAACAAGAAGCTTTCGGTGCCCATCAATGCAGTGTGGTTTGGCGGAATCGTGGCCATTATTATCGGATTGTTGGTGTTGATCGGAAGCGTGGCTGCGAATGCATTGTTCACTTTGTACATCGCAGGAAACTACGTGGCCTGGGGAACCCCTACGTTCTTGAGATTAACTTACGGAAAGCACAAATTCAAGCCAGGAAAGTTTTATTTGGGACCGGTCTGGAGTCCCATTATTGGGTGGATCTCCACCATTTTTATTGTGTTCACATTTTTCATGGTGCTCTTTCCAGCCACCAAGAATGTCGATTCAGGCAATATGAATTACACCTGTGTCATAACACCCAGTGTGTGGATCTTGTCTTTAATATACTACTACGTCTATGCTCATAAGGTCTATCATGGGCCATGCAAGACAGTCGAAGTGGATGGCGAGTCTTACGACGAGATTCTAGAAGGGGTACACATAGAAGAACAAGCAATCGAAGGTAAAGAAAAGTGGTAACAATAATGCCTGGTAGTTAGCGTGTCAGAATATTAATAAAAGCTAGTGTGCGATAAGTTGTACACCTATTGTCGTTGTGATTAAATATTAAAGGCTAGCGTACGATTATTTGAATTCCTCTTGTCCGTATGAGGTGAATTCCAAAAAAATCAGGCATGCGTTGTGATACCTTTTTATAATTCTACGAGGTAGCGCAAACAAGGTCATATAATCTATTACAAAAATCCAATAAGTTTAAGATCATGGAGATTTGAGTAACTTCCATTATAAATCACACATAGTTTCTAGGGGATCATAAAGTGAGGTAGTAAAGATGATCTAATATCCGAAAGTGTAGTCACCTTGGATCCATCTGTTGACCATATCAAGAGAGTTAGCTGGTTGGTCAAATGGAACCATGTGACCAGCGTCGTAGATTCTCAAGAAGGTAAACTTCTTGTAGTTCTTAACTTCACCAGCCAAAGTCTTGTTTTGGGTGTACCATGGTTGCAAGGAAGCCTTCTCGAACTCTTCGTGGCCTGAATATTCCAAAGCATCAGACCAAGCATGGTTTCCTAACCAGTTACAGATGAAATCCTTGTCACCAGCATAGATCAACACAGGAATATCCTTTTCTAACAATTCAGCAACATACTGTTGGAATGGCAAGGCTTCGTCACCGGCCTTGATAAAGTTGAAAAAGACCTTGTCATCACAGGATGAGAAAATGTCAACGTTGGCACCAACAGCTTCTTTGACAAACTCGGAGTTCAAGTATTCATCAATCCAGTTCATGGCAGTGTAACACACACCATTGTCATCCTCACACTTCTTTCTGATGTCGTACACGTTCAAGCCAGTTTCAGCGTACGCTTGTTCCAATCTGCCACAGTACAATTGTGCTGGCACACAAGTAAGAGCATTTTGGAACTTGTAACACAAACTGGTTAAAGCGGCACATTTGGGGTAATCCTTCTCCATTTGGTCACATTTTTCTTCAGGGAGAACAGCCTTGTAACCACCCTCACCACAAGCCATAGGCTTGTAGCTTGCGGATTGAATCAAAGAGTCAGTGATTCCATTACCGATCAAAACCGAGGTCAACTCAAATGATCTGTCAGCATTGTTGAGAATTTCAGTAGCAAAACTAGGAATATAATGTCCAGCATAAGATTCACCGGCAATGTGGAAGTCATTTCTAATGAACTGAGGGAACTTTTGGAAAAACAACTCCAAGAAAATGTAGACATCTTTAGCGGCAGCTGCAGTGGTGGAAATTGATTCACCGCCTGTGTAAGAGTAGCCAACACCGACTGGCTGATCTAAGAAGATAACAGAAGCGTTGTTATTCCAAGAGTATGGGTTGAACTCTGGTTGAATGGTGGCGTTGATGCTGGAAGGGCCCAATTCGAAGAATAATCCAGTAGCAGAAGAGCAGCCTGGCCCACCGTTAAGCCACAAGATAACAGGGTCATTCTCTGGGTCGTTTCTGGACTCGAAGAACCAGTAGAAGAAGTGCTTGTCCAACGAAAGCACATCTAAGTAGCCAGTATACTGCTTGACAGAGTCCAAACCGAGAACTTCAGGGTGGTTTTCCTTAACTCTCAAGATGTGGTCAGAATGGGCATTGTTCTGGATGGTGTCGAATCCAGCAAATAGTTGTTTGGCCTTATTGAACTTGTTGTTCATGTCCTTGGAGCCAAGCGTCTTGCGTTCCCAGTCAGCAATAGCCTTTCTGATGGCATTGGGTGACATGCTTCTCTGAAGGTGTTCCCAAGCACTGGAAACTTCCTCAAACTCGAGGCCTGGGCCCTTCAACTTCAGCAAGGGCAGGTATTCATTGTCATACACCTTGATAATGTCCTCAGCTGGGGTTTCACTGCCCAGATAGCCGCGGAAGAGCAGAGGCACAAATTGGTCGACCTGATTCCAGAAGGAAAGGGCATTGATGGAGTTGGCTGCGGCAAGTGCACCGACAAGGGAATTGATCTTCATGGTGCAGTAAAAGAACCTATGGAGTAGATTCTAGTAGGGAGCGAAGGGCTGGATATGGAGCCGTTCGTTTGGGGGCTTTGGGACATTGTCGCGACAGATGTCGCAGCGATAAGGGAGGCCAGGGCTCAAGACATATACCCTCGAGGTTTCCCGACCATACGCTTTGATTGGCTTATTAACTGACATGTTCATTGATTCTACTTGGTGCCACACCAGAGGCAGATAAGTGACAATTTTGTCTCTACGGCCTGACTTTAATCGCACTATAACTGATATTAAGTATTGTAGAAGAGAGCATCCGAGTAGGGACTTACAGTAGCCAACAGTCACCGAGCGATTCTACCCATGAAGTGGACTGCTATATCTGGCCCGAAATTTGATATATAGCGTTAAAAATCATATTGCCATAATGACACCACCTGTAACCTACACAAATCCTCACAGCACCAGATTGCCATGAAATTCCTTCATTAAATAGATACATTTCATAAGAAGTCTCCTAAGATTACATCTGTACTAATAGTTTACGTTTCATCAAATTTATAATATTAAAGCGATTTACATTAATCTTTTTTACCAAGACCGGAAACCACGATATTTTCCACGAGAATTGAACTGTTGTCATCGCTGACCTCTTTACCATTAGAGTCATGCTTGCTGTCCCATTCTTCGAGTTCTTCAACTGGAACTTTAACAACTGTATGTCCTCTTTCCCCATTTTCCAAGGTGTAGTGTAAGTTTCTGTGTGCATACTTACCAAGTCTTGGTAAAACAAAGGCCCAGATGTAGTAGTAGAAGAAGCACAATAACAAAATACCGATACTGGTAAAAGCATAGGTGGCATAGAAGAAGGAGACATCGGAACCATTCAAGGACTTACCAGGTGGTGGGACGAAAGACATAGCAATAACGAACACCCCATACAATATGATAATAATGATGATCGACAATGGTGTTTTGAATCCTTCGAAGCCGAGGCCAGCTGCCTTTCTTTGTCTTCTGACTAACAACAATCCAATAACCAATAATAAATTGAAAATGTATCCAGAAAACGATCCAATGTCAACGACGAAATTATAAGCATCACCCGCTGGAGGAGCGACCAAGACAATGAAATTAACAATGAAGATGGCGACAATTGGCAAAATTGGAGTTCCCCAAGGTTTAGTTGTAACCCAATAGCTAGAGTATGGTAAGACACCTTGTCTTCCACATTCTCTCAAAGCTCTTGATTGACCAACAACAACGGCGAGAAGATGACCCAAGGCAGAAAGAGCGACGAAAACATCGAGTGCCTTGGTGGCAGCTTTGGTCCCGAACACCTTCGTAAAGAAGAGGGAGGAGATTAAAGGACCGGCCTTTTTGATTTGCTGGATGTCATTAATTCCGGCGTAGAATGCAGTGATAATCAAGAGATACATTGCAAAAATGGAAAGCATAATAGCAGGAAGGAAGTATTTGAAGATATTTTTGGTTTGTTTAGGGTTAGATTCACCGGCAACGTTGAAAAGATATTGTGTTCCTCCATATGAGAAGGATACCTTGAGGATTGCACTGGCAATGGCATTACCATCTGAAGTGACAGTTCCCTCCCAAGAATTTTGAAAGATTTGAGTTGGGTTCTTGACTCTAGTATGGCCACCAAGGACGACAAGTCCAGTAATGGCAATGAAGAGAATAAACACAACTTTGACAAATCCGATAAAGTTGGAAACTTTGAGAGCGAGTCTCGAGTTCACAATTCCCAATGCGGAGACAAATACCAACACAGCAATACCAACACCTCTTTGTTCCCAAGCAGTGGCCTTGTGATCAGCAGCAGCTAATATGTATTGAGCAAATGCAATAGCAGAGGAGGTGGAAAAAGATAAGATGACCGTAACAGCAGCGTAGACACTCGACACCATAAACTTTGGCTTTGGGAATGCCTGTTCCAAGTACACAACCTGACCACCTGAACGACGCTTGAAGTAGGTGACAAACTCAATCCAGATAAAGATCTGGAGTACTGCAATGATGAAGCCAGCGATCCACAACACATAACTTGCACCAATCGATCCCATGGATTTGAGAACAGAAGCTGGAGTTGCGAAAATACCAGTTCCGATGACTCCATGAAGAGCCGTAAAGTAGGCAGTGAAGTAGTCGATATTATATCCCAAGGGATTGAGACCTTCTATTGGAGCACCCACAGAGAGTTGGGCATCAGAGGCCGCATCACTGGCGTCGTCTTCAACTTCTTGCTTGGTACCACCAATGAAAGGATTTAATGCTGTTCTAAGATATGTCGACATTAGTGATGGGTTGATTAACTAGACGACTCGGGTAGCATACCCTGTCCTTATATATTCGACGTTGAGCCATCATCGATCTGATGATTTGATCCCAATACTTATTGTGCTGATAATGCCACAGCGACGCAGACATCCACACTTCGAGGGAGATTTGATCGGTTTCTTAGTACAGAACCTCGATAAAAATAGAGGCTTAGATGAGCGGAGTTATTTCGAATCTGTCTTAGAGCACTACCTTCTGCTATATAGCTGCCTGACCAGTCCTACAACAAGGTGATCCCAGTTCTCCAAGATCGACTGACTACTTACGATCAGAACTGTGGGTGCAAAATGGCCCACTGACTATATCACTTCGAGCGACATGATCTTGCGACTTCGCAAGCTTGGCATTTGCTGAAAAAGGGTAATCAGTATTCGGCATGCCATGTGTCAGAGCGAATTATTTTCCGTGCTGGGCGGACAATTATGGGTGCAAAAGCCACGGTTATTTGCGATCATAATTCGCGGAACTATGATACCATTTTCGACCGAGCTCACCTGCAGGTACTACCCTGCGCTCCACAGTTGCTTGTGTCTTGAATGCGGTTAGAGATAAGAAACAAGCTAGTACCACAAGTCCTCCTCAAGAACTACTTGGCAACACGGAGAACATAGCCACAGGTTGAAAGCTGGTATTTCAGTTAACTAATATCGGGCACTCCGTAGAATTGTAGGTGTTGAAATTTTCTTGGATACAATCCACTGGTTTTGTTAAGAAGGCTTAAGGTTTTCGCCGCCGGGCCGGATAACTTTTCCCAGGAAAGTTCCGTTTTTAATACACAGCCTTAATTTAAGGCTGTTGATGGCTGAAGATTATTGACTTAATTAATTGCCAAGGTTTCGTCATGCCGATTCTTTCCGCGGTCAGGGCTAATGTACGGCATTTTTTTACACACCTTGGCTCCAATAAAAGAATGAATTAACCTTCTCTGCAAATCATAAATGAGGTATATCAAATCATACTCTTATGTAGCTAAACATAGCATTTCTGATCGATCCAACACATATGGTATTTTGACAGAAACACTTGACGCAGTGGAGACTTTTAGGGGCCCCAAGGCTTTGAATGTATTCGCGAGAAACTTGGTAGAGGACACCAGGCACGTAGGCACGCAATCTTCGCTTAAAGCCCATAGAAAATAATCTTGGTCTGTTCATTCTCCAATAGTACTCGTAAATTTTAGCGATTTGCTTTGCGAGCCACATATTGCTACCTATCAATAACTCTATCTTGAAAGCTCTAATTGTGAGTGCTCATAATTGATCGGAGTCTACTGTACCAATGCTGCCTCTACGGCCATGCATGATGTGTGGAATGATCCATATCGAGATTAAGGTACCCAAACAAATATGTCAGCAATTGGACCCTTTTGCTTGAAAATCTTTGAAGAGTATCTTGAAAGCAGAAGCAAGGTTAACGGTGGCTTTTTTGAAAAACTACTCCTTGATCACACCCTCGCATCGCGGAATTGGTAACTATACAAGGCGATCTCTTGGTTCGAGAAACGTAGACTTTAGTCAAGCTCAGAATTCCGTTCTTAAAATTGTGGAAAGGTCAACGAAATCCGCACATGGAGTAACGATGTGAACAATTCCAATGTAATCTATTAGCGGAATCCCCACCTAACTCTATTCGCTGAAACCTAAAACAGTGTAAATTCAGACTATTAAACTTAATTTAGGGATTCCGGACTAGCGGCAAATACACATTTCTATTTTACTCCATTCTCATGCTGCCAGTGTTCCCTGGAGATTGTTTCCCTTACTCTCTTATCTGATGCTGCGACATTTCACGACATATATCGAGAGAGCATGTCACAAAATGTCGTGCGAACAAATATCGAAAATTAAAACTTCCACCACTCATAACAACACCACTAACTATGAGTAACGGTTTGTTGCCTATTTCGGTCGCATCCAGGACCATCACCAACCTTTCTGGTGAGCCTAACGGGTATGGAACTCCCGCCTATAATGGGTTTATGTATCCTAACAACATTGGCCATAACCACCGTGGAGTTGAAGAAGTTCAAAGAATCATCATGTCTTTGAAATCCGGAATCGAAAGTGAAGTAAAATGGTCCTTGAGTACGTTAACACGTGTATCTGTTCATCCAGTCATTATGTTGGAAGACTTGCCATTTGTTGGTAACGAACTCATCAAGTTCTTTATCCGTCCATTCCACTGGATTCTTGAGCAAAAGCCAAATAAAGTCAATCAAACAGCCATTTCCTTCAGTTTGGATTCTTTACTCACACTTCGTAACCTCTCACAAGACCTTTCAAATCAACAGTGGTTATCTCAAATCAAACCTTTGAAGAAGCATATTATTGAAGTATTAAGATTTTTGTTAAATTGGTTCTATGTCGAGTCCCATCAAATACACTCCCTAAAAGTTTATGAAAATCAATTCAAGGAAGCATTGGGTTACTTGCTTGACTTGCTCGAGCCATTAAGTTGTTACTATATTGATAACACCAAGAACGATCCATTATTCAATTTACTATTGAATTTTTCAACCATAACAAACGACAAAGCTGTCTTCGTCAGTATAATAAAAACATTGTCACATTTATTGATTATCCGTGAAAAGGCAACGGATGGAAATGACACGAATGGAGAAGACGATAGCCCAGCCAGAACTCCAAATAACTGTATCGACTCAATTAAAGATACACATCTTGAGTCGATTGTCAATCAATTGCTTATCAACGATAATGATTTGGCTTTCACAGTGTTGGAATTCTTGAAGCAATACTTAACTTCCGAAGCATTACATCCAGAACATCCAAGCTCCGTCAAGGACTCGCAAAATCTCAGGTTAGAATATCTTCTTCAAATAAATTCGTCGAAGTCTAACTTCAACACATTGGTGAAGCAGCTTCCTTTGTTGACGGTTTCCAACTTACCATTAAACGACGTGTCGAGCATAAGGCCCATTTCCCAATTAACTTTGACCAAGAGATCGCACTTTTCAGGAGTTCCATCTACTTTGCCTGATTTACCACCAGAGTTATACAGCTTAATAGTCAGATTCCCAGAGCCATTAAGAGCAACCACTTGGTTGCGTTGCTGCTACGAGCCATTTACTAACCAAGTATCCAACAACCCTGAATCCACTGATGTTGTTCCAGGAGAAGTTACTCAAATTTCTCTTTGGAAAGCGTACGAGAAACAATTTCAAGAGATCTGGGATTCGGCAGACGGCAAGCAGCATCCTGAATACAAGGCATTGTTGCCTGCGGTGGATTTCATTAAGAATGTGTCACATGCCTTTCCTAACTCGGAAGCTATGGTGGTAGCACTTGAACCACCAACCGATCCACCAAAGAAGAAATTCATAATAAAAGGCATTCAGCCACGTCAATTTGCAGTCAACATTGATGTGGGAAATTATGAAGCTTTGAAACCTATCCCTGTCAGTTCTATAAATCCAAGCGAGAACTACAAGCTTCCTATCGGCCATGTTGAGCCCGAAAAGTTTGATCATGCTCTCAACAGCTTGTCCGAGAGCATTCTTTCATCCAATATAACCAAGTCCCTGGAGGCAGTTACGCCAATTAACCTTACTGCTTGTGAATTGCTTGACTACATAATTGATGAGGTTCTCGAAACCAGGGAAAACTCCACCGAAGAAAATATCTTCAGATTGTACAATAGCCATTGGCTCCCAGATACCGTTTACTCCAACCCATCTTTAGTTGAAGGTGGCTTGATCAACCCTAAATGGTTGAAGTATTTAATCTAGTGTTTGTAATGCCCTTTATATTCCCTGTAAAATTAGAGTTGATTATTTGGATGTAGTTCTAAGGCTAGTATGAGCTTGAGTAGATTGGGCGTGTATCAAGTAGGAGAGAATCTGGGGCTGGGGTACGGCACACGGGGTTTGCATTTTCACGTGAGCATATGCACGTGAATTGCTACCGCATCATCAAAAATCTTGAACAGATAATCATCCCACTACATCAATAATGGCTGATAAACTTCCCTTCAGCGTGCGTGCTACCGACGTCGTCCACCGTGTGACTGTTCTCGGATTAGTTGGTATCTGTGTGGTCGGTATTGGTAGTATTACTTTCAATATTTGGGCCAACTCCGACTATGGATTGAACAAGAATAAGTTGACTTTCCAAAAGGCAGACTACGAGGAGGCACGTAAGAAGTCCGACGAATAAGCATGTCAAATACAACTACTTCATCTTCCAGAACTTTCCATCACCAAGTGATGCTGTACATAGGATAATACATGATATACAAGAAGACAAGTAGAACATAAGGGTGGCTACTAGGGAGTGCTAGTACGTCAAGTAGGAATGCTAGAATATCGGGGTATTGAACGACTCTTGACATAGTGAGTTCCAGGAAATATTCGTTGAGAAACTGCTCTAACTAATAAAGCAGTGCTCAAAGCTCTTGTAGCTCACATACAGAGAGCTCTCTAGCTGGGGTTCGGGTCAACTAGCAAAGTGCGCTGATAGATGTTCTGCTGGTCGTGTCGGATTTGGGTTCAAATCAAGCAAAACCAATACAACTTTTTGCTTTTCTTGTTCTTTGCGTTTTCGTCTTTGATGATTTTCTTCCCTAAGATCAAATATCAATTCAACCTTTTCTTCTTAATGTTCTTAGAGTTTTCGTCTCGGGTAGATCTCTTTCTCAACTTCTTTTTGGAGTGGGTCAAGCCTTGCTGCTCAAGATACCGTAATCCTTCGAGATTGAACTTGGTAGAAGCATCGATGTTCAAGGGATTCAAGATTACAATATCGTAGTTGTAGTGGAATTCAGACCCACAGTTTGGACATTCACTTTTTACGGGCTCCTTGCCAACCTTGAGAGATTTGCCCAACTCTTGGAGCACCTTGTATGATAATAGACACCCACAAGGACGAAGGTATGCGTAGGTGAAGTTTCTAGTGTTTCCTTCTTTCGTAACAGGACATATGAGTACTGGTGAGCCTTCTTGCTCTCCCCAGGTGATTTTTATGTCCACAACATCATTCAATGATTTGAGCTGAGGCTGGCCAGTTTTACCCAACTGGTTTTCCGAGCTTTTACCACTTTCATCCTTGCGTTTAGATTTATGTTCCAAGATGTGCTCTAATGCCTTCTCTTTGAGGTATAGTTGACCCTTCCAGTCGCCTACCACTGGTCCTTGATCCAACGGAAGCGACGAGATTCCGCACGTAACAAGTAAGGTACTTTCATTGTCCTCGCCGGTTTTGGGTGCACTGTCATTGAGTGAATGCAAGGAGATCAAGTCCTTCCTCTTCGCTATGGTTCCTCCATCGTTTCCCATGTTAGGCCTGGTGGGAGATCTCCAGATGGAGCTCCAGTATAAGTCACGATACCGATGATCACGTGACCTCGCATGGAAATAAACCTCCAGAAGACTGAGTAGAACTATCCATTTTTCAGAGCTGACACAAGTTTAATCAACATTACCATGGCTGCTCCGCAACAACAGATAGACTTGACCAAGCTTCAACCACAGCAGCTTGTGGAAGTCCGCAAGCAGATAGACCAAGAGATCCAGCATTTTACCCAATCGCTTCAAGCACTTCAAACCGCACAGGCCAAGCTCAGGGACTGTGTCGCAAGTATTGACAACTTGGAGAAGAGCCAAGATGGAACAGGCTCCAAGGACTTGTTGGTCCCCTTGACTAGCTCGTTGTACCTTCCAGGTCAGGTGGTGAAGAAGAACGAATACTTGGTGGACATAGGGACGGGCTATTTCGTGGAAAAGAACGCACCCGATGCTAAAAAGGTGTACGACGTGAAAATCGTCAAATTGAGTGAAGATGGTGCCAAATTGAAGGATATCTTGATGAGCAAGAATGAGATGTTGAATAGAGTTAACATGGTCTTGAGGGACAAGATGGTGGAGTACGAAGCCCAACAGAAGAATTAGGAAGATGGATTTCTACACGGAGCCCATTGGGTTAAAGCAACCCAATTGGCATAAAGCATCTGGTGACTTATCGAGCGTCCTAGATGAGTGAATCACCTTGCTTATCGTTCCTACATTGTATAGATCGTCATGTCATTAAGGTATGGAGTATCGGTTCCAGAGCAATGATGATAGGGTATCAGCCTCTGAATTCAGCAAAGTAGGCTATGATTAATCGTATTGCTTGTTGTAAATAAATGGTTCCAGGAAAACCCTCTTCAAATCTCGTATCTTGGTTGAACCCAACCCACCAATGCTAACCAAATCCTCCCCTCCACTGCTTTGTAGAACGATATTTTTCACGGACTTGCAGTTGGCCAAGAGATTCGAAACGTCTGTCTTATTTATCAGGCGTATTCCTGTCATTGCTTCGACCACGTTGGAGTTGTAATCTACTGCCTTTATCCCCTTAATGCCCTGGGTCTTCGAGGGCACGTTGTCCTGCTGCTTTGCAAAAACAATGTAGTTACCAGCCTCCTCAAAAGACCACGCGAGGACTAGCGTCAAGTCATTTTTAATGCAGAGGTCCAGAAGGCTCCGAAGGATTTCCTGATGGGAATCGATATCAACCACAGTCAATAAAATCCGCAACGAGCGGTCGTTTCGGGTGTTGCTGGAGGAGGCACCCTTATTAATCTTCTTAAGTCTTTGCCAAATGTATTCTGGTCTCAATTTATGGTACTTGAGCGAAAGGAATAGAAATTGAAGGCCAGGATTAATGTAGTAGTCTGAGAGAATGGTGGAGTCAAACTTCCAGGGGGTTACCTTCATCAAAGACTCTTTCAAAAGCGGGTTTCCTGTTTGTGATTTGTTGATTAGGATCTCGGAAGGAGCCACAAATCTACCAGCAGGCCTGGCTACTGGGCCAGTAGTATTAGCACGCACTGGAGCTGTTGAAGGTGCTTTGACTTGTGCTGTTGGTTCGTGTAATGTTCTTCTCACGTAGGTAATTTGAGGACTTTCGGTCAATTCTGGCCTAGCAGAAACCTCTGTCGAAGCTGGTTCTATCCTAGTTCTCTTTTCGGGCCTTTCGATGGTTGTTTGCCTCTCAGTGGTAGTGCTGGAAGTTGGCTCATTCGACGAGGCTGACTCGTTTTGCGCTGAAGTCACTTCTCCACCATACTGCTCCCTCATCCGCTTGACACCAGCCAAGATGCTGGCGAACGAGGTGGAGTCTGTCTTGGGCGTTTCGTGGTTCGGGCCACCCATGGTGAATACTGGAAGGAATTGATTTTGCGATTGGTAAGCTTGAACATTAATATTACGTAAGACATAAGCAAGCAATGGGGCACTATGACGTGAATACGAGAAATCATTTGGGGCGGCCCTTGCATGTCACACCCGTTGAAGCGGTGGCCCGGAAATACCCCCTTTGTCAATGTACACAAGATTTAGTCATAATTCCGTTTTTCCGATTTACCAAAAATCAGTCATAATGACTATTTGTGTGGGGCACCTGTACCGGGCCGGTTTCGGCGCCGAATAACTGCAAAATGGACCCTATAAAGAAGCAGTTGTTTGCACCCAAGCAGCTGATACCAGGCAAGTAAAGCATACTTATCTGCACTGAGTGTACTATAATTACGGATTATTGCTACAATGGCCACATATTCTGACAAAACGTTCAATGCCAGCCACTACGAGAGTGCTAGGCCCTCCTACCCTCAATCTCTCTACGATGAATTAATCAAATATCACGGTGACCAGGCTAAGGAGTTAGCCATAGATATTGGATGCGGCTCAGGCTTCGTTGCTTTCAAGCTTACTGACTATTTCACTGAGGTCATTGGTACTGACCCTTCAACGGTGATGATACAACAATGCCAACAAGATGCACGGGCAGGAAAGGGAATAACGTTTAAGGAGGGCACTGGGGAAAGCCTCCCAGTGCAATCCTCCGTTGCTGACATGATCACTGGCGCTGAATGCTGTCATTGGGTAGACCACAATAGATTCTTCAAGGAAGCCGCAAGAGTACTCAAACCTCACGGAACGCTTGCCTACTGGTTCTACAAGGATCCAATCTTCATTGGCCACCCTAAGGCCAACAAGATCTATCATAACTATACCTGGAGATCCTCTCTCGAAGATAATCCCGATGATGAGTTCGAAAGATGGATGGGTGCATACTACGAACAGCCAGGCCACAATTTCTTGGGCACCTTGACCAAAGAGATCGAAGTACCTGAGGAGCTCTTTTACGACACCACCAGAGTGGAATATTTGGTGGACGAAAATGGTGATCCAAAGGGAATTAAGGACTCGCCTTTGATGATCAAGAAAACCATAACCATCGCCACCTTCTTGGAGTACGTCAAGAGTTGGAGTGCTTATCATGCGTGGATGAAGGACCATGGCCGCAAGTATGACGTCGCTGAGAGGTTTGTGGACGAATTGAAGACGGAGATGGGGTGGACGGACGATACCAAGGTGGACGTTGTGTGGGACACCATGTACACGTTTGCGAAACGGAGAGCCTGAACGTGTTTTGTGAGGCCATACATTATAAAATATGCAAAATTGACAATGCTAATTCATATTAAGAGTGTAACTATCAAAACCCTTTTAACTGAATTATCTGTGTTAGAGATAACAAGCTATCAAGCTAAGACTAGATATGCTAAGTAAACCCTTACTCTAATAAAAGAGTAAGAAGAAACCTGTAGTGGTTGCGAAAATCGAACAAGTGACGATGTGTGCAAGACAAAAAATCTAGGAAATTTTAGGTATCTACTTCCCCGGCTGGCAGGAAGTGGCCAGTTGAATCACCCTAAGTTGAAACAAATCGAGTAGCTGAACTAGACTTGAAGAAAAAGCAGGAAATTGGCTGAATTAGATATAGGGAAACTATCTGAATGAGAAAAGGGGCCAACTCGTTGAGTCATACCCGGAAAAGCACAGCACACATCCGTACTACAACTCTAGAAATCTATTGAACCAGCACTAAGTACAGGACAGATAAGCCTCAACAATTAGTGGACCAGATCGATCTATTCGTAAATCAGCCGCACGGTAAGCTGTGAATTCTTTCTAAGAAGATGCTACTCCATGCTTCTGGATCCTTCCAGTATCATGCAGTTCACACTGGACCACACCTGGCCCACCCTCTTGGGAAACATCCGTACTTTGCTAATGGGACAGTTTCTGATCCATTACTAAAATCTTGAAACCAGCGCGATTTGTAAGCGCAAATACTCCACATTTACAGCACCAGTAATAGTTGATACTTCACCTTCGCTCGAGCGTATTTTCACAGCCCATTTCCTTCTACTGAGTTCTAGACCCAACTTCCTGCCTTCTAGAACTAGCAGGTCACTGGTGCTGCTAATTTGCAGCCTATCAGCGCCTGGCCATCACTAAGCACCATGCGGCTGCAGACACCCGCACGTGACCTGACTAAGGTTTACTAACTATTTACATCTGTTTAATAACGTTCACACCCAGCAACATACACCATTGGAGCTGACTATATATATGTGTCGATTGTTCAGGGTATTGCTTCTAACCACCCTTTTTTCAATAGTTCTATCATCTTCTCCAATGCCTGCTTTACGAACAGTCAAGAACATCATCCATGCCCTCGAAAAAGCCGAAGGAGTAGGCGCCCATGTCCGTCGTTCCATTGGCGTAAGAGCTGCCAGAAACTTCACTCCGTTCTTAATGCTCGACCACTTCGCCAGCGGAGGTCCAGGTGGTTTTCCACAACATCCTCACTCTGGCCAAGAAACCATCACCTACATCATGAAGGGGGCCATGGCCCATGAGGACTTCACAGGCTCCAAGGGAATTCTCTACTCGGGAGACCTCCAGTTCATGACGGCTGGAAAAGGTGTGGTGCACTCTGAAATGCCCATTCCCAACGAGGATGGCTCGCCAACCGTTGGTTTGCAATTGTGGGTCGATTTGCCAGAACACTTGAAGGACGTCGAGCCACGCTACAGGGACTTGAGAGCGTGGGAGATTCCTGAGGTGGTGCAGCAAGACGGAAGGCTTAGAATCAAGGTCATCTCGGGCAAGGGCTACGGCATCGAGTCCATCAAGGAGTTGGCCTACACTCCAGTCAACTACTACCACTACCAGATGAAACCCGGGTCCCACTTCAGACAGGAGCTCCAGAACGACTTCAACTACTTCTTGTACGTGTTGAAGGGAAACAGCTTGGTGCTTAACAACGATACTCAGGCCAAGCAACACCACAACCTCTTCTTTGATGTTGATGGCGATGCTGTGGAGGGCGTCAACCCTGAGTCCGGAGAGGACGTCGAGTTCGTTATAATCGGAGGCCAGAAGTTGGACCAGGAAATCGTCCAAAACGGTCCATTTGTGGCCACCTCTAAAGATGGTATTAAGAAGGCATTTGTTGACTACCAATATGCTCAAAACGGATTCGAGAACCTCCGGTCATGGAAGTCATTGATCAGCAATGGAGTCTCCGAGGAAATGATCCAGGGCCCATTGGATGGAAACTTGGAAAAGAGAGAGCAAACCAAGAACGCATACTTAGCCAAGCATAAAAACCATGAAAATGATGAGTTGTGAAGGTTCGGTCACCGTGTCAGCGAAATGGGTTTCCAGCAAATAAATAATTCACGCCCTGTTTAATTCTCGTGTATCATACCATTAAAATAGTTATTATTTACTGTGGATTAGTCATTAGTAACGACTTGCCTGTTTTATATATTGTAAAATGAATAACCAGTGTTCTACCAAGAACTTAAACCTCCAGTAAAGTAAATTAATTATTCCACCATTTAGTGATTATTGGGTTTAACGATGCTCCAGTGCTACTAATAATGAGTGCTCGATTGTAGTTGATAAAAGCTGGAGACAATGCAAATCCCAAAGTTCAAATACTAAAGTTGCCAGACATTGACGAATTACACCCAAACCTCATATGGACAATTGTGGTTCGAGCTTGCTCATGGTTTTCAATTGGTCCTTAACAATGTTTAGACTAGGAAATCGGGTGCAAAAATATATCCATGTTTATTTCTTATATGAGAACATACACATCTATCTCTACCAAGGTAAAATAAAAAAGCATGTGAATCTTTCACTTATATTTTGTAGATAATAATCAAATAATTCACAATTATAGAAGGTTTTCAGTTTCACTCATCAATCGTGAGAGTTATTTTGGTGATATATTATCCCAAAAATCAAGGGCCAAAGCTCATGTCTAATAACGAAGTCAGAACACCCAGAACACCCAGAACTTCACCTTATCCTACACCACTTGGAGCATAGACATCCAAACTCAGAAGTCACATTTCATTACCCCCGGTAGTGCACGTACCGACTCCATATCACATACGCGGTTCAACGCGTTGCTCATCTAACTCCACCACCATGACCATGGATGCCTCTCTGTCAGAAGTGGAGCATTTGTCGTCCCAGCTCTTCAAGGAAGAGCTTCCAGTTACCTACCACACTTTATCCAGAAATTTGGGAATACATACCACAAGTGCAAAGACCATTTTGAGCGAGTTCTATGACAAGAACAAGGACAAGGTGTCTGCCTCATTTATCATAACAGGAAAGTCGGAAACTGGACCATTGATCAAGCTCTCGGCAAGCGAGACCAAGTTGGTAGAAGATATCAAGAAGTTCCTGTCTGTCAACACCGTCCACGTCTACTGTTTGACACCCAAACAAAATGAGTACACCACTTACTCCATTGCATTTGAAGAATTAAAGTTTCCCACCGTGTTCGACAAAGCCCAGGACTACTACAAGAATGGGATGATCCGTGGTCCAGAAGTGAAGGAGATGGTACGACCTTCTGCTGTCGCACCAGTCCGCGAAGCAATCAAGTCAGAACCAGCGAGTAGAGCAACCACCACCCCAGCTACTTCGAAGCCAAAGGTCAAGAGTGCTGGTCTAACCTCGGGATACGTGTCGAGAAAACAGGCCGCGAAGCCAGCAACTACGTTGTCCAACTATAAGTCCAGAAAGGAAGAGAATACAGCCACAAAGAGACAAGCGGAAAGTACAGGTGCGTACCAGTACAAGTCGAGGAAAACAGAGGCCAAGACCCCCAAGGAGCGAGTCATAGTGTCGTCTGTGGACGATGGGGATGTGGCGATCGAGGACTCGCCAGCTCAGAAAGCAGACTCCGAAGCTCTTGCCAAAATGTTTGATGATTTCAGTGACTTCGAAGAAGACGAAGCGGAAGCAGCAGCCGAGAAAGGCGAACCAGATGAACAGATATCTGCTCCGGAGCCAGAGATCGAGGAGACCAAACCCAGTACCGTGGAGGAGATGTTTGTACCAGAAGAAGAGGAAGTCGAAGAAAATCCTAGTAGTGAATCGCTTGCAGCTTCCGAGCCTCCCAAGGAGGATACTGTGGATGATGATGGGTTTGTGGTGACATACAGAAAACCCAAGGCCAACCAAAAAACTGCACCTGTCAAGACTGCCACGCGGCCCAAGCCCAAGCCCAAGCCACAAGCCTCCAAGGCTGCGAAGGGCGACGGGAAAAAGAAGCAGGCCTCGTTGATGAGCTTCTTCTCCAAGTAAAGGAAGAAAACGAGGCTTTTACCCCACACATCATAAGCCGCCTGATTAATGGAGGAGGCTTGGAACAGGCAATGTAAATATTGTCTGAGAGTCTTTGTTACAGGTGACACCTGCGGTGACAGCTCTGGTCCCCTAGTCACATATTCTCCCGCATAGGGGACCCTTCTTCTAGTATATACAGGTAACCCTAGGACTTCCTAGAATGGAGAAAAAGAAAGGAGTAAATGCCTACAAACGAATATCGCCAAGGGAATGGATTTGTCCAATCTCCTCACTGTACCAGCATCGTCGTAAACAGTCCCAGCTTCATAACCTTGTAACAAATAGTGCAAGAGTATAGTAGGTGACAGAGGTAGGGCGAGTGGGAGCCCAGCAATGCAAGTCGTATAATCCATATTGGAATCGGCTTAACTTATTCAGGATAACAACAGAGCCGTCCACACACCAGAACCGTGGTGTTATTTCCTGTTCTAGGAACCAAGACTTTCTGAAAACCTGGAGTTATGTTCGGGTGGGATGGGGGAGGGTGTGTGCAGGAATGACAGAAAAGGAAGGTGGCAAATTTCCTGATTCGGAAAGATAGTGTCTCGAGCTCCCAAACAGGCAATGGAGCCCTCCGAATTACTATTCCCAATAGGGTAATTTTGGGCTTGCAACCGAAGATGCAAAAATGGTCAGAAAAAGCACCAATTGGTATGTCAAACTCAATGGCTCTATTTAAACGCCCCGTTTCCCCATGCTGTAACAATCCATCCATCGATTCACTCTTTTGTCGTTCGTTAAACATGAAGTTGTCTCAATCTGCCGTCTTTGCTGTCTTAGCATTCTCCGCTGCTGTCAGCGCTGCCCCAGCCAACGCTGCCACCTACGAGACCTCGCTTGAGGTCAGAGAAGCTGCTCCTGACTTGAACGAGTTGATTGCCCGTATCGACGCCATCAACGTCAAGAGAGATGACATGTCCGAGGCTGAGATCGCCAAGAGAGACTACAAGATTGTCACCGATGTTTTGTCTGCCATCAACAACACCAACTTGGCTCCACAAATTATTCACTACTTGGCCACCAACCCAACTTTCCAGCCAATTGTCATCAGAACCATTGTTGCTGTGTTGGAATCCAACGCCATCAACTTGACCTCGTTGTTCAGAGCCTTGGACCAATCTAACTTGATTGGCCAAGTTCTTCAACAACTTATCTCCGACTGTTCCCTTTACGTGTCGCTTTTCAACACTGCTAAGCAAATCATCGGTAACTTGGCCAACCAGGTCAAGAATGCCATCCTGGGTGGTAAGGCTAAGAGACAATTCTTGGCTGACCAATTGCAAACCCGTGACCTCTCTGCTGAAAACTTTGTTGACTCTATTGACAAGAGAGACATCAACGTGGACAACCAAATTGTCGTGAATTTGTTGGATTCATTGGCCAAGTCTGGTTTGGCCACCTCTGTTGTCAAGTCCATCATCACCGACTCCTCTTACATTCCATTCGGTGTTAACTTGATCAAGACTGTCTTGCAAAGCAAGGCCTTGCCAACTGCTCAACTTATCGATGCCCTTAAGAACTCCGACTTGGTTCCAGACTTGTTGAAGCAAATCTTGAGTGTCGACACCTTCAAGACCGTGGCTGTCAACGCCTTCGCTGCATTCGCTGGTAAGTGTGCCAACGGTGGTGGTTCTACCACCCCACCATCTACTGGCGGCTCCGGTTCCGGTTCTGGTTCTGGTTCTGGTTCTGGCTCTGGCTCCACCAAGCCACCTGCTGGCAACCCATGTAAGAGAAGAAGAAAGAGATCCAACTACTAATCGTGCTTGACACTGCAGGGCAGTGACAACTTCATCCTTCACGATTTTATACCACCTGTATACTTATGATTTTATTTAAAATAAACTAATTGTCTGAAAGAAGTAGAGTATTTTGGGAGCGACAACAGCCGTCACCTGATCGTAAATAGCTGTTAATGCTAATTACATATTCAATATTCACTTAAACACTTTCCTACGACGAGGAGGAAGTAAGTGGGGAGAAACCAGATGATCAAGACGCACTAGACAAGAATAGGAATAAGAGGAAATGCAGGAAATGTGGTTGGAAAAAGAAGGAGATTTGCCGTCTATTGAGCACACCTGTCTACAATTAGCCGTCAATTAGTTGTCTACAAGAAACTACAATTAGATGTCGAGAATAGAAAGTCATTTAGGGTACGACATTTAGCTGTCCCAGATGTCAATAGCTGTCTTCAATTACCTAGTAGTAGATGCCATTAATCCTTCCTATGTCTAGTATGAGCTAGCCTACAATTATCTACAACTTGCTGTCATTTAGCTGCATGCTATTGTTTCACTTCATGCGCTCTCAACAACAACATCCATGCTACAACAACAATGTGTCGATCAGCTGCTCACAACACCTACAGGCCGTTGATTTGGCGGGGAGTTGTTTTTGTGGTTTTGTGGAGTTAGCACACCGTTCTGGGCCCGGGATTGAGTGTGCGAGCCTAAATTTCACCAACCGTGAATCAGGCGCCAGTTTCACCAGGCATGGTGGCTGAAAACCGACACGAACACGCGTGCTGAGGCAGGCCAGAGGGAGGAAACGCACAGCAAAGTCCTTTAAGGTTTCCAAACACTGATTTAGTTTACGTTGATGAGAATCGCTGCCATCACGTGCGAAACGTCTCGAAACGGTCAACAATAAGTTCTCGTGCAGATGTCGGCAGGACGTCCTTCCAGCATATGCGGTAGTCACGTCACTGTCACTGTCAGACAGCGTTAAACGAACTTGTGAATGTTCTCAGTAAACAGTCTCGGGAAACGTCCATTTCCCTCTCCACAACTAGACGGTCGGGTTTATTCCGCCTGAGCCCATCGCCCTGCCCTGCACCGAACCGCCCCGCCACGGCCTCCGTCTGGCCCTTCCTGCTGGTGACAGCCTCGCTCGTCACCCGATCTGGCCAAAACTAAACATACGCGCGCACGTGACATCCTCGCTTCAAACATCGTCGTACTCCCTGCAGACATTAGCCAGTTATTATTGTTGAGATCTCCAGTTGCACAACAGTCCACTCTCAGGCCCACACCCACCCACTCCCATTCATTCGTTGACACCGCAGCCGGCCTTCTCAGACTGACACCCACCAGGTTCTTTCGTTTAGTCAGTCTATGAAAGAAGAGAAAAACCGTCCTCCACAAGAGCCCAAGGAGCTCCAGCAGGCCCAGCACGGTGCCCAGGAGTCCCAGCAGGCCCAGCAGGGAGCTCAGGAGTCGTTGCAGCCCCACTTGGCCGTGGGACTGCCGCTGAGCCTGTCGCAAGCGTCTGGCTCCACCCCCACCAATCCACTCAATGCTCCCATCCCAGGCACTCCGCAGTCCCACTCGTCTGGGCTGAATTCTGGCGAGCAAGAGCTCACTTCGCCATCCAAATCGATCCGCAACTTCTTTCGTAACCGTGCATCGGCATACTCCATTGAAAGCATCAGCGAAGAGCCAGAACTTGCTCGCAACAAGGCCAAGAAGAACTCGTTCATTTCGTTGGGCAGCGAGTTGGCTCCGTCACGTTCGCCAGCCAAGTCCATCTCGGGTGGAATCAACTCGTTGATCCAGCTCAAGTTCGCCAAATCGCGTTCTTCCATCACTTCTTCTGCCTCAGTTCCTCCAGACCCCAATACTCCAGATAAACCCACCACTATCGACGATTTCGCCGACACTTCGTCGTCGGAGCTGTCAAAGCAAGATGGCTACGACTCGGAGTCCATAAACTCCATTCTCGACGAGTACGAGGCCCGCGAGTCCAAGGCATTCACTCCTGAACAGACGACCCCAACCCCCCACAATTTCGTGTTTCGTGAAGAGTTCGACGAGTCGGACTCCACCAAGGCCTCGTTGCAGAAACGGAGCTCTGTCAAGACAATCGAGTCCATTGGATCTGCCGCAAATATTCTCCATCCCAGACCACCTCCCTTGACATCAGTGGCTAGTTTCAACAGACCCAGACCATCTATCGACGTGGCCCTTTCCAACTCGTATTCCGACAGCATTCCCACCCCAACCAGCGGAAAAAGAACATCTGGCTCGTCCTCGAACGACAGCTACCTCATGAGTGCTCCCAACAGCGCAACCAGTGCGAAGTTCAGGTTCCACAACGATAAAATCGAGCCCATCATGAGAACCAACGACCCTCGCAGAGTCAAAGATAGAGCCAAGGTCATCAGTGCATCTTCGAACGTCGACGTCAACCGTTCCTCTTTAATGACAAACATGTCGGACCCAGACATAGACGTCAAATACCCCGAGCCAGACGTCACTCCCAGCCAGACCCCGTTGAGAAGACCCCAAAAGACAAACACAGACAGCAACCCAGGGTCCTCGGACTCCAACCCTCCTCACTCCATCCAGAGCGATCCCATCGAGTTCCAGGACTCTCCAGAAACCCAGGGAAGTAATGCCGTGAAAAAGGACGAGCACAGGCTTTCCGAGGTCAGGTTTGCTGACGATACTGGTGAAGAAGTGGCTGAAGTCGACGAAACCGCATTAAAAGAGAACACAACAGCTTACAGACTGCTGTTAATCAATTCCGACGAAACAGCACTCAAGAATAGCTCCACCATGAGCGACGACACGAAGAGGGAGACGTTCCGGTCCTCATTGTCCTCAGGTGAGCTTTTGAACACCTTGGAGAATTACTACGACAAGAAGCCTGGAAACGCTTCTGGAAGCGGCAGTAGTGTGAACCAGCTTGCCAACAAGAGCTTCGCACCCCAAGCGTCGTCCACCTTGAGATACAGTCTGGATTACCCTAGAGGAGAGATCGCCAACCTCACTGCTGGACTTGATTCTAACACGGAATTGCCAGTGATGTTGTACAAGGTCCAAGACAAGGACTACGACGAAGGAAACCAGAGATGGTCTGTGTATGAGCACAAGAGGGCTTCTGATAACCAGCAGCATAAACCCCAGAAAAGCAGCGACAGCGACAGCGACCACGGCCTGGCAAAGTTTCCCCCATCTGCACCCCAAAAGTTGTATGCTACTGGGGGAAGATCAGACAGTGCACAGACCTTCAAGAGTGCTTTCTCACAATTTCCTATGACCACCTCCAACTTGCCACCTGTTCCTGTTCCATCCATCCCCAGGTCGGGATCTAACCAGGACTACATTGACCAGAACTTCAACGCACACATAGGCGATTTCAGAAGAGACCGTCCTAGATCGGTTTCCAACAAACCGTCCCTTGGTTCGTTGAGGTCTCCAGCACCTCCTCCTCCTGCCAAGATGAGAGACCAACCCGAAAGAATCTTTGGAGACAAGGAGGATGGTTCGTCTTCCAAGTCCTCCAAGGACTCGTTTGATTTGGACGAAATAGAGAAGCAGATTCAAGACATCCATCAGCAAGAACCACATCAAAAACACTCGCATTACCTGGTCGGATACTTCGTCGCCATGATGGTATTGGGCCTAATCGTTCCCCCAATATACTTCTTGGTGTCGCTAGGGGTGTTCGATAGCACCAACACCACTCAGCAATATTACCCGGGCCTTGCTAACGGACGAGGACTGGTCAAACGGTTTTCAAAGACTCAAAAACTCGTCAGTTTGGCATTGGGAATATTCTGGTTTGTGGTGGTGTTAGCGATGATCGGAATCGGGATCGGACTTGGAGTTACCCGAGAGAGTTGAGAATGTCCCACACAGACAGTAAACACCCACGAACGGTGTACGATACCCACGACTTCACTTCTCTCTCTGTCCTTGGCCTCCCGCAACTGACACAATTTTCAAAGCTTTATTTCTAGTGAGCTCATTTTCTTTTCGGTTCGCCCTTATACCCATTAGCTGGTCACCAGCTTCATGCATTAATTTCGCCCGTTATCCCGTTGAGTTGCAATCTGGCTGATAATTTCCTGTATAGTAATAAACACCAGCAACTTCATGCATATTAGATTGAAGTGTGTAGAATTTTCACCACCGTGCCTATGGAAGATACAATGAAGGGTTAATCACTTTTGTAGAAGCGTTGGTGAACCAGCATTAGAGGGAGGATCCTACATCTGTCCTATCCGTTTTCACAAAGCTCGTCGCTTAATTGAAATTAGAGACCGAATGGCGAATGAAAGCTCTATAACATTACCACAGGGTTGTGCCAGGCTATTTTCTATACTTCTTGAAAACCTCCGGTATTCGCTGAACAAGCAAGTATGGAGCCAGAAAAGAACGAACATAGTGAAAAATCTTATGACTGGGATCAAAAAGACGGCCCCAAAGTGAGCGATGTTGGACGTAAATAGTGCTGATACATTCAATCATGAAATCTAGTACACGTAGTTCTGGTTACAACAAGCGTACAGCCCTTGGGCTTTAAACAATCTGGTGGCCTCAGAACCTACCCTTCCTAATAGCTAATCTGGCTATAATGACGTGCATTCAATATCTGTAGTTCAATGGAAGGTTACGTGCTCCGTGTGCACTTGATATAATGCTCGACTTCTGTACGGGGTAAATCGATGTGGAGCCACCAGAACATCATAATGACGGAAACATTCAAAATACCTACTATTTAAACCTTATTAATGGATTTACAGGTGTGTCGTTGCCCTTTGTTACTGATCATGGACTTGGAGCCAATTGGATTAATTAGCTTTCATATTATATGGCCCAACAAGGTCGAACCGATCTATACAATGCTGTGCGAGAGATGCACGATTTCTTCCGCTGAAACATCCGGCACACTAAAACGTATAGGCTCCTAAAAGTTCAGCAATCAATAGAATGTGTGAATAGACTACTGAGCGATATTAAATTTTACAAAGGATAGCCCACAGATAATCCCTTTTTCGAAATTGATTTATACTGTGGAGAGTTTGCATTAATAGGCCTTAGCAATTAGTAATTGTGATTACTAGACTATTGTAGCAAAAAAAATTATCTCGCATCAATAGATTATCTTGCTTAATAGACCAATAGTAGCATACAATTGCAATTACTAGAATTACTTGACTAATAGCCAATTACAGCAGCTAGTAGAAGTACCACACTTATTGTAGCACCAAGACCAGGGGCCCAAGATATCCTGATATTTTCCACCCAATGGTGGCAGTTCCACGCCAACGCCCCCATCCGCACTGCCCATATGCCTTCACCAGCCGATACTGGGTCGTGTGATCTCGCAAAAGCCTGACCAATATTCGTGGGGCCAATCTGGAGAAGCAACACACCACCAGCAACAGCCACGAATCGCCTGTTTCACCTGCTGAACCCACCACCATCCAGGGATTCCCATTATACCTCCCCGTGCACCTTGTTAGATTGGATTCACCCGCCTCTTACGGATTCTATCACCATAGTTCACTAGCACCGATAAGCTGAACCCATCAGTCCTCTCGTGGAACCAGATCTGACGATCAGCCAAAGACAAAAACCAGAAGTCCGTGCAAAAACGGGCTCGCTAGCTCCAATACAACACACATATCTGCATATTCGCCTGTTATGGGAAACGTGCCAGCCAAAGAAGGCAGAAGCAGGGCCTACAGCTACTCCACCACCCACTCGGTGAACTCAGACGTCACTGGGTTCATTGCACGCACAGGAGTGTCAGCCTCGGGATCTGGATCCCGAAGAAACACCCTTCCGACCTCCTACGGCTCCAGCTCGCTCTTGGACCCCAAGAAGTCCAAGCGCAAGGAGGAGAAGGACAAGCTCCGCGAGAGCCACTACCTCAACTTGGTGGTACGGTACGATGAGAATGTCGACGGAGGCTTTCTCGCTCCCCACGGTACCTACAAGTCCAATCTTGACTTCAGCACCGAGGTGGTCAGAGACCTCATTGTGAAGCGTCAGCTCTCGCCGTTCTACACTCCGTTGCAGGATTTCGACGACAACTGGACCGATGAAGAGCTACTCATCTTGCTATCGCAGTTGCCATTGCACAGCATCGAGACAGCGTTCTCCGACCAGGAGGAGGAAGACGACATCGACAACCACAAGATCCACAAGTCGGCCAACTACTACAGAAGACAGGAGCAGAAACTCAACTTGAAGGCTCTCATCGAGCGGGTCAAGAACATCCAGAAGGACGAGGAGAACCGGTTTTTTGAGCAGAAGTTGTTGGCCAAAGCCCCTGCTGAGGAGATGTCCCGGGTGTCCCCCGAGCTTCCCAGCAAATCGTTGTTGCTCAGACTCTACCGCGACGCTACAGAATGTCCCATCTGCTTCTTGTACTACCCAAGAAACCTCAACGTGTCCAGATGTTGCGTGCAGCCCATCTGTACCGAGTGTTTCGTGCAAATCAAACGGTTGGACCCCCACTCCCCCCACGACGATCCATCTAACCAGCAGGGCTCCGAGGCGTTGCCACACACATTGATCTCCGAGGCTGCAAGCTGTCCTTATTGTGCCCTGCCCGATTTTGGTGTGACCTACGACGCTCCAATTGACATCAACACGGGCATTGGAGGAAGCATGAAGGCAGGACAGTTCACAGGACCGATCGAAAGTATTCCTGAGGACTCCGAGGCGGTGATATCGTCATCTCCTGGGTCCAACGAATTTGCAGTGCAGGAAATGGTTGCTGTGAAGAAGCCTGTCAGTGCAGGCAAGAGAAGAAAATCCTTGGCAGCCGATGCTGCAGGAGTGATTACTATCGATATCATTAGACCAGATTGGGAGCAGAAACTCACATCTGCGCGCAACAAGTTGGCCAGAAAGGCAGCCACAGCCAGTGCTATCCATGCATCCAACTTGCTCATTCAAGGAGACGAGGAGCCCAGACAGGGGCGCAGAAGAGCCACCACCAACGGGTCCAGCTCGCACTTGAGGTCAGCAGAGGAGCGCATGATCGAGGAAGCGTTGCGGTTGTCGTTGTTGGACGAGGAGGAAAGGCAGAGAAAGGCCGAGTTCGAGGAGAGAAAGAAGAAGGAACAGGAAGGAAAAGTTTGAGGGCTCCAGCAGAGAACGAAGAGAGTTCAAACCGAGGAAAACGATCCTCGGAGCCGAGCGGTCTAGGCCAACTTCCAGCCAAAAGAGAAAGATGGCGATTGTTCCGAAAAAGTGACGAGCATTCACCAGAGATTGCTGTCGCCTCGTTCTGTGGCCAAGCCCGCACTGGGCCGCTTCTGCGGCCCACCAGTTGTGTGTAGCCTTTATACGAACTTACGCATCACTAACGTCGACTGTAGTCTGGCACTTTGACCTCAACGGCAGAAACGTGTCACGGCACCCTAGACTGAAAATGCACTCTTTTCAATCTAGTAAAATGACTTCTAATCTGTCCCAAAGGGGGAAGAGGACCACCTCAACGCTACGTCACCTGTCTACGCGTCAAGCACAAACTAGCGCTCCACGCGTAAGCACGGAGTCATGGACATGTACGCATCGCTTGCGAGCCCAACGTCTTTTAGCCAGAGTTGCTCAAGCAACCCACAACCGAAGGAGTGCGATGAGATGCACCAGAATCGCAGGGATCTAGGAACACCAAGGGATGCTGTGACAGAACCAGAGGAGTCAGGAATGCTGTAGCTCGCAGCCTGCCCTAGGCTCTGGGCCCACCATTGGGTGCACCCCCCCGCCCTCAACTCGGTTGGCGGATAAAAGTAACTTTTAGCGTGCTAGTCAGGCACGATGGCATGCCCAAGTTTATTTTGCCTGCAATGGCGGTAGGCATTTGCCGATATGTCCAATGTCTGGAAATATCGCTCGCCTGTGGGAAATTACCTGCGGAGGGGGCAGGCGACACAAACTGGGGCGCAGACTCTCAATGTGGGTGGTGCATGTGGTGGATTAGGAAAGAGCGTACAGGACAATAGGAGCAACAACAACACGACAATCGATCAGTGACAATTGGCACAATTGCAGTTGCGGGTGGCGGCTGTTGTGGCCGGTAATGCCAAACCTTGTTGCGCCTGGCCTGAGATGCCTAGGGTGTCCCACCCTTGCAGTCACGAGAAGGAATGCAACATAATAACCGTTACACTCTAAAGGCGTGGCACATATATACGGCGTGCCTGCGTACGCGGCAAGAAAATAATTTCCAGGAGCGAGCAGACACCGCAGAAAGGCCCACGGAATGGGTCCAGACAGCAGCCGAGAGCCTCCCTCCCCAAAGCGGACCGCTCATCCTCTCACTGCCACCACCATGGGCTCACCCGCCAGGCCTCGGCTATTGCTCTAATCTGCTATTGTTGATCCTTGCATTATTATCCTGCGCGGCCACTATTATTTTCTGGCGTTAAATTATCCCAGTTCACGAAAGTTAATTAATATTGTCTAGCTATCAACTTACATAAGCGTACATGTAGCAAACCACTCTTATTGGCGGGCCATATCAGGTGGTTTAACATTCGAGGCGCATCTCTAGACTCTATAACTCTGGGTCATCGGCGCTGTTCAGGTTTCACCTTCTCTGTCTGAAACCAACCGCTGACTAGGCCTTGGGCTCGGTGATTCATATACAATTGGCATTCCCCCACCCACTTCCACCACATTTGCTATCCTTCCGACTCCACGAATATCCTCCACGTCCCAACCAACTGGCCTACCGTCTACCACACTCTCAGTCTACTACCGTGCCAACGACTAAGCCACAACCCCAGATACCCGAACCGATACGTGCCGATATCCCCTGTTTCCCCATAATACCCCCTACCTCCCTGTTTGTACTATCATCACCAACCCTCTGGCCATTGTCACCATTTACATCAAATGCCTGCCATCACGTCCGTCCGCGAAATTCAAAACGATTCCTTCATAATATCCGAGGCCAATGCGCTCCCCACCAAACGACTATTCGACTTCAATTCGTTCAAGCTCCGCGAGTCCACAAAATTGGCCAAAGAATTCGAGTTGTCCAATACCATCAACAATGAGCTCATATTCAAGGTCAAAATGGTGGGTGTCAACTACCAGACAGACTTCCAGACCCTCAAGCGAATCCAGCATTTGAGCCACGCCCAACCACCAGCAGAAGCTGTCTCTGCCCTTGTTCCTGGAAACAAAATCATCGGCAAGATTCACGCCACAACCACCCACCCATCGCTCAATAGCTTCAAAGAATCGTCTGCATCGCTCAACGCGAAATACCTCCTCTTCCCCTACACCAACTGCATCAACCAGAACAGAAGCTCCATGTGCACCAACTGCCAAAAGCTCGTGGAATTGCCCTTGTCCTACAAATCGTACAAATTTCATCACAAGTATCCATGTAAGGAAAACCTCATCTACGGCACCACCATCGATGGAGGCCTCCAGGACTTCCTCAAGGTACCGAACCCCGACCAGACCCTCATCAGAATACCGCTGTACGTGAGTCTGCACGACAGCTGTTTCATTTTGGACATCATGCTCCCATTTTACTCGTTCATCAAGGACAACTTGATGGATAATATCGCTGGAAAAACCGTCAGCAGCGATGACGCCAACTTTGGAGGTATACTTATCGTGCTCAATGATATCAGCAAGGAAATCAACGATATTCTTATCGTGATAAAGCACTTTCAAATCGACCAGAAAAGCGTCAGCTTCCTCGACAGACGGAAGATCGAAAAAATGCCGGAAGCTGAACGCCTCAACTACAAAGGCAAGTTCAGCCAGGTCTTCTTGTTCCACATCAGCGACGAGACCATCAAATTTGCTACCTACTCGTGCAACTCGCCTGGCCTCGAATCCACCAAATCACGTTACAATATTGTTCTCTTTGACCAGCACAACCCCGAGTCACTCGGAAGGAACAAATTCTTGAACAAGCTTCACAATGATAAAACTTTCCACCAGTTCAAACTAAGCTACAAGGATAGGATAAATGCCGAAGAATTGTTGAAAATAATATCCAGTTTGAACCGTAAGCTCAAGAAATCAGAACCAAAGGAGTGTTCCAGTTTGACACTGAATGACCACCCTAACCGTCCTTCGATAGGATCGATAGAATCTAATGGTTCGACCTTCTCAGGTCACACTTCTGCTCATTCAGATAGCACTTCATCGACGACGGTGTCTTCAAAAGCCGAAGAAAAGCCGGTCAAGAACCTTCGCTTCAGAGATGAAGAATCCATCATTGATGAAAGCACCATACGCAAGGTGCAGTCGTCTCCACGCCATTATTCGTGGCTCTGGTATGACAAGGATTATGATTTGTGCAACGAGTACGAGCAATCCGACGACGAAGAAGACCCTTACCGTGATAGTTTCTCGAAGAAAAACCACAGTGTCAAGCAGGTCAACCGATTGATTAAGAATCCAAAACACTTGACGAGGGTATGCTATGCCAACCGCTCGAAACCTATTAAGTTGAATGCCTTGGTCTTTTCATGATGTGTCACGAACTCTTATTTCCCCGTCATATTTATTAATTAATCTCTCATGTCTAATGTTAACTACAGCCTCTATTTCATTATTGTCTTAATATTTTCTTATGCCCTTACGCTTGTATATATAATGTATGGTGTGATATTATGCCTATTTATGTAGTATGTGAAATTATCATATTACTGAGGTTCTACAATATACTATAAACAGATCGGTCAGTAGAACCTTGGATAATCATAGTAAAAATGAACTAGTATGCTTTTAACTTGAGGCGTCGTGGTCGTTTAAACCCAACTCTCTTAAGGTGTCGGTCAAGACGCTTCTTAATTTGTACAAGTTGACAATTCTTAGTTTTTCGTTCTTCAAATGGGCATTGTCTGACGCTTGACCACAAGGGATTTGAGCAGCAGGAGCATCAAAGCACTTTTCCAAGAACCTAATAGAAGGAATGGAGCCACCTTCTCTAATGAATAAGGGCTCGACACCCCAGTTATCCTTGATCTTTTCGTAGAGAACCTTGTAAACTTGGTTGGTAGGATTTCCCAACCAAGGCTCCGCTTCGTGGAAGATATTGACCAGCAAATGGTTGTCGGATTTCAACTTTTTAAATTTAGCCTCAAGAAACTCAACCAAAGATTGTTTGATGCTCTCAAGATTCTGATTAGGAACTATCCTAATCGAAATGGTAGCCTTGGTAACCTGAGGAATCACCGTATTATTATTAGGACCCGATACTTGGATTTTGTGGACAGTTAGGGATGGATTTCTCCATTTTGCCATCAAAGATTGAAGATCGTGATTGTTAATATTTTTGTCTAGAGCAGTCTTTTCTATGTCTTGATATAACTGCACTTCCTTAGCTGTTAATGGGAGAACATCGTCGTAAAAACCCTCTAGTTGAATTTTCTCTGTTTCTGGATCAACTAGTTGACTTAGAATTTGTATCAAATCCATAGTAGGTTCCTTCAGGATACCACCATCTACACCAGAATGACGATCTGGCTTATCTGACCGCACTGTCACCGATGCATTAATCACACCTCTCAACCCATAATTGAGACATGGGGTCTCGTCGTCAAGCCAGTAGGAATTTGAGAGCATCACCCAGTCGATTTCACCGATGAGAGATTTGTGTTCATTAATTACCTTTTGGAATCCAATCGATCCACACTCTTCTTCCCCTTCAATTATGAACACAACGTCAGTGGAGAGCTGGTTACTGTGGTATAACTCAGCTACTGCGTAGATTGCAGCCAAAGTAGGACCCTTATTATCAGAAACACCACGAGCATAAAGGTTCCCATCTTTAGCAGTAAGAACAAACGGATCAGTGGACCAGTCTGTGGCCTCACTGTTGGTGGCATCAACCACATCGTAATGGGCGTACCAAAGAACACGCGGATTGAGTCCGTTTCCGTTAGCATTGCCCTTAAAGCAAGCATATACGATGGGGTTTCCGTTCGTCACTGGTAAGAGTTTGGTATGATGGGCACCGACTCCAGTAAACAAGTTGCCAAGGAATTGAGCACAATGACGGGAATCTTCCAAGTAGAGTGATGGAAATTTTGATATCGTCTTGAACGAAGTGAACTTATGAAGTGCTTTCAATAGATGCTCGTTCGACAATAAGGAAGCAAACTCTTTGCTAGGGGTCGATTTGGACAATGTACATTCAATAGAATTCGAGTTTTTTGCACCAATGTTTGAAATTTCCCAAAGACACAAAGCTTTGTGGCCACCTGAGAGAAGATATGTTGCTCCCAGCTCATCAGAAAATATACTGACGGCTAAGACGGCACCCATCTCTTCTTTGTGATCATAATTGAACAGGTGCACGTTTTGTGGGTCATCTTCCAAAGTGATAACAGTCCGAGTTCTTGGAATATCGTTTGCAGCGATTTCCCTGTTGTTTCCTTTATCTTCTTCACTAGACCACGTAGAAGTAGCCTGTCCTTTTATTGTAAATTTGACCAACCCGCCTAAATTAGATGCTTTAAAAATGCAATCATTATAAATTCCAAGACTGAGAACTTCATCATAGCTCAACTTGGTACTGGTCGCTTCAGGATCCTTGAAATGGAAGGATCTTACCAATTGGAATGTGCTCAAGTCCCAAACATTGATGCTAGAATCACTGAGCCCAACATATAATAAATAGTCCTGGATAGACATCGACAAAATCGACTCTTGATTTTCTAAGGATTTGATTTTAAAAAGCTTGGTCTTTCCAGTTTCTTGGTTGACGGAGATAGACCAAACGTTGATTATACCGTCACCTCCACAGGTAATCAAATATGGTCCTCTGTTATCTCCGGTTATTGAATTGAGTTTTGGAGTATAAATACTCATGCAATAGACATAACCATTGTGAGCAAACCGAATGAGGTCTTCATTACTCACTTCAAAGATCTTGGCCGAAAACTGACCTTCAGGCGTCGAACTTGAATTCTTTCTGAGTAATTGGTGCTTGGACTGAAGCGTGTTGATTGAACCTCCTGGTCCCTTTGAGTCAAAGAATTTGTCGTAACGGAAGTGTGGAAGACGTTCAATGGATGAATACAGCGGAGCTGGAGCGGCATTCTTTGCTGGTAAAAGACACAATTTGCACCATAAAACAGAGGCGTTTTGTGCACCAATAAATAACACAGACACAGACTCACACCATGCAATGGAGAAAATGTCACCTATGTCTACCAACGAGTAGAACACGTGAGTGCAATGAATGAGTTCCGAAGCTGAGTTAGTTTCAGATTGCGTCGATGCATCCACATTGGAGAGGTCCCAAACCTTGACCAACGAGTCTGAACCTGCACTGAAGAGGAAGTTTTCATCTTCAGAGATGTCCAAGCATAATACGGACGATGGGTGGTCGTGAGGCGACGTGGACGCTTCGTACTTCAACGCGAAGTCGACCATGTCATAAACCAAGATCTTGGAGTCCTGGGTGCCGCAGAAAAGGAGCTTTTTCTTAGGGGCAGGAATCACACAGAGAATCGACCTTGAATGGGACCATTTGTGGACAAGTTTGGGTGAGCCAGAGATATCTCTATCACTGGGAGCAGTGGTTCCCGTGGATCCCGACGAGATGGACAATGGCGATGTGGAGAACGGGTAGGGGGCTGCCAATTCTGGCTCGTCCAGGCTGAGGTCTGCAGCCGTCAAGTTAGATGGATTGAGTCTGATGGGAGTGCTTGACGAGGGACGGGAGTTGATAGGGTCTGGCGTGGAAGTGTAGTTTATTGGAAGCGAACGGTACGGCTTCAGCACGTACTCACCTTCGTGGATGATACCACGGCTGTAGCGACTGGGATGTGGAGGAGTTTGGGCCATTCTTGGACGCTCTGGATTCAGTATGTCGTTGGCCAAAAACACGAAAATGGAGTGAGTGATGAGCAGAAACTAAGCGACTTCGTCTGTAGACTGGAAAACTGGCTACTTCGTGTACTGTGGAGGCTGGACTGCTTCTGGAGTGGTTTCTAGACAGGGTCACGTAGGCTGGAAAGAGCAAATCTGACAGGCACAGATGGGCAGGAAATGGGCTAAAATCGCAAGGAAAAGCCCGAAGTCAGCGACAGGTACACAGATGCTCAGAGACGAGTGTTTAGGGTGCAGCTGGTCAAAGGTGGAGATGGAGTAGTGAGGCTTCCATCCGCCACAGTATCCACAAGTCTTATCGTCGCGTGAGGATAGTCACGTGACAACATCTGTGAACATCACGTGTGGAGGAGCCAGGGCAGCTACGAGGGCGCTGACAGAGGGAGGGAGGCGGCAGGAGGCGCTGGGGCGTGAGATGGGGTGTGAGATGGGTCTACTATCACTGGATTATGGGTGCAAAACAGCCCGAACCGTTCAATCTGCCGTCTTCGAGCAGGTCGAAGAATATGCCAATCCACGTGACATGGAGTGGTTGAGTCTTGAAGAATGACTCCATCAACAGTATACAGGCATGGCCAGATCAGAGGATACGTCAATTAACGCACACAAAGCCCACGGGAGCTAAGCCAGGATTTTTTGCATCGGCTTTATTGCGGGCAGAAACAGAAATGGTGGCTGCTGTCAGAAGCATCGGTGGTCAGATAGATTACGTATAGCTTGTAGTTTCATACAGTATGGATAGTATGGATTTCCAACTACTGATCCTCGTACCCATCAAAGTGCACAAAAGCTGATATTGATGGAATTGCACGAGTTCAGACGTTCGAAGTCGAGAAAATGCCCATCCAAAATTTGGCTAATAAACCTTGTCAAGCAGACAAATTTACGGATGGTGAGAGGAGGTAGACTTGGTGATACGTCAATCAGAATTGTTGGTCACATTACACCATTGTGACGACAAAGGCTCGTTGTCTTCACCACCACCACCTTAAACGGATACCTTACCCCAAATACATGAAACTCTGGCCATATAGCGCTTCAAACTGGTACAGGAGCATATCAACTCGTTTTGTGGTGCACGATGGCCTTGCCAACTGCCCGCCCCAATGGTGCATGAAAGTAAAAATCCCATTTCAAAAATCAAATTTGAAAGCTGACTAAAGATGAGTAAAATCTACACCAGTACCTGTAGCAAATGCAACAATCCAGGCACTCACAGATGGGCTGGTTGCGTTGTTACGGTCTCAATCCAACTAACGCTTCCTCCATATACCCCAGAGCAGAAAAGAGCACAAAATGAAATGCTGCGATGCTTGATGAACAGCTATTATTTTCGAGCGGAATACGACGATCCTACTTCAGTCTACATGTAGCTCACAAATGAGGCGATGAGCCACCTGTTCTGGGTGTATTGCCTGATGTTTCCTGGTGTAGTGAAGTACGGATGTTTTCGCCATATGTCCAGATAAAACTGACAATTCTCGTTCAGAACACCTCCAGAGTGCAAAATTCCGTGGTTGGCCATTTGGTGCATGCCCAGAAGTTTGAATTCCCTTTTGGTCGCACGACCCAGTTAGGGATGAAGTTAATCTGGGCCGATTCTCGCTTAATGCATGGCTTAGCAGATTGGCTGTTTTCTAGCGGAAACTGCCAACTGTTGGCACTCCTCCATGGCCTGGGATGGCCTTCGACCCCGTAGTCTCCTGTACCCCAGGTCCCAGGTCCCTCACGCGTTGCTGGGGCCACCCGTAGGAGATAACGGGGTTCGGAGAAGGCGAAGCAGTTAGGTCACGTGACGTATGCGATGAACGCAATTTGTTCCCCGACCCCACGTGGGCCCCATGCGCCATGCAAAAGAAATTTTTAAGGTGGGTTCCCTATAAAGCTTAACATCACACGAGGACTTACCACTTTCTTAAGGTCACACGATCGTTAAGCTCTTCAGGAATCTGTCAAAACGCAGGGATTGCAAAGGGTTCACTTGACATACGCAGCCAGCGCAAACTTGACCATCCATGAAGTTCGCTCATTCCATCAAGTTCAACGCGGTGCCAGAGTGGCAGGACAACTATGTCAACTACACCGGCTTGAAGAAGCAGATATACAAGCTTCAACAGGACCAGTTGGCGGTTTCAGAGCCAAATGACGGTTCTTACGACTTGCAGCAAGTAAACCCCACCACGGTTAGTGAGCTTGTTGAGAGTTACAAATTCAACAAGAAAAAGGAGAACAAACAAGTAACTGAGCACAAGGCCAGGGATGAAGAGGAGGCCATCCAGGGAACCAGTCGCTTTAGATCGAAGATGTTGAGAAAGTTCAAAAAGAACCAAGAAGACAACTTCGATGAGGTCAGTGCCACCCCCACTCCCGACGAAAAGCTGAGCTCGGTTGAGTTCACCAGCGTGGACGTCGAAAACTCTACCATCGTTTCTTTTGGCAACGACGACGAAGAAACAGACACTGAAAGTCGTGGGGACTACTCCAACCCAGAATCTTCTGAGTTTGATCCCCTCAAAGTATTTGCCAAGAAGCTTTTGATTGAATTACAAAGAATCACCGATTTCTATACCGGCAAGGAAAAAGATCTTCTCACCGAGTATGACAACTTGATGCAGGACTTGAAGGCCCACAACGTCCACATTGATGAAGTTTTCAAGTTCACTCAGGCCTACAACTACGACAACCCGGAGATTGTAGCTAACGACGAACACCACCAATATAACGTCAAGTCTACCCTCTCGAGAACCACCACCAATGCCTCTGTGTTTGACCATATCAACCACTTGGATAACGACTACGACAAGGACTTGGAGAAGCAAGACTACAAGGTCGCTGAGGAGGATGACGATGACGATGACGATGATGATGACGACGACGAAGAAGACGAGTACAACCAACAGGCCACGGCTCTTCTCAACCACACCGACTTCAACGTCAAGCAGCAGGTGAAGATCACGCTTAAGAGAAAGTCTGGTGCGCTTTTCATCGCCCTTTCCGAGCTCAAGTCGTTCATCGAGTTGAACCGCATTGGTTTCACCAAGATTTGTAAAAAGTTCGACAAGACTTGTAACTACGCCATCAAGTCCGACTTCATCAACAACTACTTGCCTGCACACTCGCGGGTGTTCGTCCCAGAAACCCTCAAGAACTTGGACTTCTGTCTAGACGAGCTTGTCAAAGTGTACGCATTCTTGTCAGGAAAATTGGGTGCAAAAACCACCTCCCAGGACTTAGACTACATTCGTGCTGAGCTCAAGTCCCGTCTCCGTGATCATATCGTGTGGGAGCGTAACACCGTCTGGAAGGATCTCTTGTCGTTGGAGAAGCGTTCGTACAATCTCAATGTGGATGCTGTCCAGTCCAAGAAGATGGGCGATGAATCCGTCCACGATTCCATGTTGCACATCAGAATGCGTCAGCTTCAGGTAGGTAAGTTCTCTGTGATGGTCCCAGCATCCTTTGTTTCATGGCAGATCGTCAAGTTGGTGGTCACTGCCATTGTTTTCGCCATCTTGATCTCTGTAAAGACCTTCAACGACCCCCAGCAGGGCCGTTGTCTTGCTGTGTTGGTGGCACTGGCCATGTTATGGGCTTCTGAAGCGTTGCCTTTATACACCACAGCTATGCTTGTTCCGCTTCTTGTCGTCACCTGTCGTGTGCTTAAGAACACCGATGGGTCTGAAATGAAAGCCGTTGATGCCTCCAAGTTCATCCTCTCTGCCATGTGGGGTTCGGTTATCATGATTTTGATCGGAGGTTTCACCTTGGCTGCTGCTTTGTCCAAGTATAACGTCGCCAAAGTGTTGTCTTCATACATTCTTGCATTTGCGGGCACCAAACCTCGGAACGTGTTGCTTTCCATTATGGCAGTGTCGCTCTTCTTGGCCATGTGGATTTCCAACGTGGCTGCTCCTGTGCTTTGCTTTTCGTTGATCCAGCCAGTGTTGAGAACTTTGCCTACTGACTCGCCCATGGCCAAGGCTTTGGTTCTTGGAATTGCGTTGGCGTCCAACGTAGCTGGTATGGCTTCTCCTATTGCATCTCCTCAGAACGTCATTGCCATCGAGGCCATGGACCCCAACCCAGGATGGGGCAAGTGGTTTGCCGTGGCCTTGCCTGTGTCAATCATTTCGTTGTTGGGAATCTGGGGTGAGTTGATCCTCACGTTCAACATCTCCAAGGTCAAGATCAAGGCCTACAAGCCCATCAAGGAAAAGTTCACCAGCAAGCAAATCTTCGTGTCTTCTGTCACCATCACCACCATTATCTTGTGGTGTGTCATGACCCAGATCGAACTGACTTTTGGGGAATCGGGAATTATTTCTATCATTCCTATCGTGTTGTTCTTTGGATCGGGTCTCTTGAAGACTGACGACTTGAACAATTTCCCTTGGAACATCGTGTGGCTTGCAATGGGTGGTCTTGCCCTTGGAAGAGCCGTCTCTTCGTCGGGGTTGCTTGCCACCATTGCCAAAGCCTTGCAGAAGAAAATCATGGACTTCAATGTCTTTGTCATTTTGATCATTTTTGGTGCTCTTATTCTTGTTGTGGCTACCTTCGTGAGTCACACCGTTGCAGCCTTGATCATCATTCCATTGGTCAAGGAAGTCGGTGAGACCTTGCCTACTCCACATCCATTGATCTTGGTCATGGGTACTGCCTTGATTGCCTCCTCAGCCATGGGTTTGCCAACGTCTGGATTCCCCAACGTGACAGCCATCAGTATGACAGACGAGGTAGGCAAGCCGTACCTTACGGTGAACACCTTCATCACTCGTGGTGTTCCAGCATCCATCATTGCCTATATTGTGGTTGTCACTGTAGGTTATGGTATCATGAGTGCCTTGAACTTTTAAAATTAGAGAGTGTTGTGTACAATATTATAGAATGAATGCATGAGGAAACTAGCATTTGTAGGAGATGGTAGAGCTTCAGAACTTGTGGATGATCTAACAGAAGAACATGATTCAAAAAATTAATTTACTGACATTGCTAGGAATTTCTGAAGGTTTAAGAAATCTTCACATTCATATTTAATAGGAACCAGACAGGAGTAATTTACTCTTAGCATTCATGTTTGAAATGATTTTCTAAAAGATGTAGAAATCTCCACATTTATAGAAAGCCCAGACTGGGGCTCAAAAATATTACATTCGTTTTTCATAGGAACTTCTGATTAAAGACTCAATGTAATAATTATCACATTCATATCCACTGATCATACCCATTGGATGAATGGAGTGAGGTACCATAGGACTTATCCGTCAGATCGGCAGCAGACTGGAACTGTCCTAAAAGGGTATCCTTACAGATCCAATACCATACGGCCAAACGGGTGCCAAGACCGTGCCGAGATTGTTTCTATTGAGAGAGATTCTCTTGGACCGGAGTAGTCAAGTAATTTCTTGCGCCATGACTGGATTGTCTTGGCTTATCTCCATATTGAGCTAGGATAGAGTATCCAATTTAGCAGCAGCAATATTATAGCTATTTTCAGCAGAATTATTGTGTCCCTATTGGAACCATAGCCCCTAGTAATACCAAGTCTCTGAAGTAGCATACGCAATCACTAGTAACTAGTGACTTACAGTGGCTTGCGCCTGGTTCATTATAATCGTTTTATTCTACAATAGAATTGAATAGTACATAAAAGGAATTAAACCAACTTGGGTATAAGCGAATAAATAGGTCGCAAATGCAGTTGTGGATGCCACTGGATCGTGGAACTGGCCATCGATCGGATCCCTCTAGTGTTGGGTATCAGCTTAGTTTTTCTGAGGCCCGAAAAGGTTTTCTTGGACCTGTTTGTAGACTCCAGAATCGTCCATTTGCTTGAAGAACAATGCCAAGTATGGAGAGTAGGTAGGGTTGGTCAACATCACTTGGACTCCATCGGCAAGGATCTTCTTCTTCTTGGCCAACGAGTAGTATTTGTTGAGGTCGATCTTGTCGAGAACACCACTGTCGTATACAGCAGGGGCGATGTTGCTGGCAATGACTCCAAGGTTAGGGTTGTTAAGCACTTCCAAGGTGATGGGAGCGATGACTCCACTGTTGTTGAGCGCCACAAATGTGTTGTCGATGGTGCTGGTGAAGATTTGCGATTGGACCACGGTTCCGATGATATTGTTGAGGAAAGCAGCTGCAGAGCCAGCATACTGGTTGCTGGAATTTCCTGCTCTCTTGACGAGCTCGTCTCCGCCAAACACAACCTGGCTCTTCAAGGTGGGGCCAACAGTGTTGGGCACCTTGGCCTTGGTGTTGACAATGACGTCGTGCAAGTATTTCCAGGTCAACTTCTGGCCATTTCCAAGATCGACCAAGATCTTGGCCACGGATGGCTGTGCACAGAGCAACTTGCCACTCCACACGGCTAAATCGTGTCTGTTGGTCTCGTTGACGAGGAGCAGGTTGAGGGTGGAGTGCACCAATCCCGAGCGATCCAAGCTGTCCAACAACTGGGTAACATTCACTGGGAGGTTGCTTTCGCCGTTCTCCAATGCCGAGATGTTGGTGCCGTTGATCACGTTGATAAGCGTCTGGGAAATGGTGTTCATCAACGCAGGCGAGCCTGCAACTTCATCGATGGTGTTACTGATGAGTCCAGACTTGGACACTGCCGTTAAGATGGCTTCTATTGACAGGGCACCGTCTCTTTTGGTGAGAGAGTCCTCACTGACGTAGTCGTTGACGAGGTCGAGGATATAGGAGTATTCAGACGGAAACACTTCGATCTGGTCGGAGGCTGGCTCGAGGGCAGACACAAAGGAGGCCATCGTTGCAAGCGACGACACGAGCACTTTTGCGAACTTCATTATGGGTATGACTGGGGTGTGGGTAACGAGTGATGGGTTGAAGAGTGAAACTGGCGGAAGCAGGGCTAGTTATATTGTGGGTATTCTGGGGAAAGTGTGCAGGCCGTCGATGGGAATTTCCCGATTGGGAATAGGTGCGATTGCCGCATTAGGAAAGCTGGGCAGGGAGGAAAGGGTGGGTAGTTTGGGTGCTACGGGTAACGCGAGCGGGCGCAGTGGAGTGTAGCGTGGGTGTAGCGGTGCTGGGTGTCCCAGGACCCCTGGACGTCTCTGGGGGCCCTCACCAGTGCCGCCCAGAGGACACCTCCAGGTGTCTCGGTCACGTGACGTCCCGTTTAGGCAACAATTACACTTCCCGATCAGGCATCCGCACAATTTCCCTTCTCGGTAAGCAGAAGTTGCAAAATCTAGTCCACCTTCCTAATGCGTCCGGCCCTGCATCCCTCCCCATAGCCCTGCTTCCACTGTCGTTCCATATAAAGCCCGACGACCCCTCCTCGCCTACTCTGCTTTTGCTCACGTTTCCCATCCGTTCAATGAAGCTCTCCCTGTTCTTTTCAGCGACATTTTTGGCGGCCTCCTTGGCCAGTGCTGTGCCCCATGCCTTGCCAGTGGAAAACACCCAGTTTGAAATCGACACCTTCTTTAATGGTTTGGTCGAAAACAAGTTGGCACATCCCGACTTCGTCCATCTCCAGACGCTCTCCAAGAGAGCATCCAACTCCACTCTGGGCGGACTTGTGTCCAGTTTGATCTCGCAAGATAGCATTTCTGGCATCGTCAGAGCTGTCAACAGATCTGGCATCATCTTCTCGCTTCTCGACGACTTTGCTGGCCATCCTGACAGAATCGAAAAGCTCGCCAATATCACAGGCAACCTCATCAAAAGCCAGGGCTCCAGTAACAGTTCTGGTCCCTCGCTCTTTTCGTTGGAAAAGTTGACCAATTCCGTCAACCTCACCGAGTTGATTGGTATAGTCCAGGGCTCGGGCCTCCTCCAGTCTGTCGCTGACGGCGTTCTCTTGGACGAGGACTACAGACCTGTGCTCGTGAACCTCACCCACCGCATCTTGGAGTCCAACAAGAATGTGATTCTTTTTGCCATCGACACCATTTTCGCCAAAAGCGAGGGCAACCAAAAGAGAGCTGATTCCTCTTATGGCGGCAGTTTGGGCCAGTTTGCCTCTAACTTGGCCTACTCGTTCTTGGGCTCGTCTCTCTTCTCCACAGGCCTCGAGAACATCTTGGGCGCCTTGAACGACACCGGCGTAGCTGTCTATGTGGTCAAGCGTGCCATTGCCAACGAGTCATACCAGAACATGACTGCCCAGTTTGCCACTGACTTGTACGCGACTGGCGCCATCAACATCGACCCCTCCAGCTTGAACATCACTGGCTTACTCGACTCAGCACTTGCTGACCCTTCGCTCATCACCAACGTGCTCAACTCCGTGCTCAGTGGTGCTGGCAACAGCAGCTCCAGCTCAGACTCGCTCTTCTCCTCGCTTGGTAAGTACTCTGGTGCTCTCCAGGCCATCATCAGTGACCTCGAAGACACTGGCATTTTCCAGGAGTTGAACGACTACGTGTTCCCCTCGTCGTCATCGTCTGCACCCGCCCCTACTTCTAGCGCCAGATCCAACCTTAGAGTCAACGCCAAGGCTGCTTCCAACTCGACCACTAGTGGTGGTTCGAGCGCCAGCTCCTCCAGGGCCGCCTCCTCGTCCAACGGAGTTGCTGGTCCTTTGAGAGCCGACTCTGCCTTGATGGTGTTCTTCCAGTCGGTTGTTTTGGGAGGTTTGTTCTTGATATAAGCCCCCAGAGAGACACCACCACCCCAGAGCATGATGGCAGGAATTCGACGTGTTCAGTCGACCGCCATCCGTCGGTGGAGTCCTCACAGCGTCGGCGGAGTTCTAGTCAGCCATCCGTTGGAGTTGCATTCGACGACCACAAAACTTCTGCAATACGCTGGAAAACATTTACACTACCGGCTTGCACTCCACCAATATTGGAGTTCTTGACCTGAAAATCCCATCACGACATTGAATGTCCCCAATACCACGCTGAGGTCGCTAGCCCAGCACGAACCTGCGGGTTTTGTATACTATGGCGTAGCCAGTATCATTTACTTCTACTACCCATTTTTGCCTTCTTTACTTATCTCGTTGCTTCTTCTTTCGGTCGCTTAATGCATATTGACATAGAATCCGTAATTGTTCAAACTAAATTGTCTCTTTGAGTGTACACAGAATCCATAATTACCTATTAAATGATCTGTACGTGAGCTTAGAATTCATAAACTACTTCCTTAGTGGTCTCTATACGAGAACATAGATCCGTCAAATACTTCAGACTAAACTGTCTAAATGTATAAAATACTCCAAATTAATCTCAAAGGAGACTTCAAATTAAATGGGCTCTAAATGCGTAAAAATTCTCAAAAAGAGTTAATTTGATCGAATCGATAGTCACCCAAAAGGAGTAAGTTCTGGTTCTTCAAGACTATGGACATACCTAGACTATCAGCAAGCTGATGCTACCAGCTTAGCGATTGCTAACATAGTTGTTTATATGCTGCCAGTTAAGACTAGGTCCTTTCGTCATGGGAGAGCATGTTAGCCTGGTTTGATGGATTTTCTAGAGTGAAGTGTTGGCAGAATTGTCCCAAAATTAGCAGACTAGCAGCGCCGAAAGTCAAAGTTAGAGAATCTCCAGAGCCAGCGAAGTGTTTCTACGCAGGCGATTGAAGTGCAGATTTTAAACTGTTTCCTTGATATTGCCAAATTCACCTGCCACGGCTTATCTATCACGTGACACCGCTTGCTGTTTATCACCTGCAAAAATGGACCCTTCTTCATCATTCCAATTAAGCCAGTCAGAATGGCAAACTCCGACTTATCTCTGCCCAGCCCCACTCAGGTCGTACCAGAGTCCTCGAAAGAGACTACTCGGCCGATTCTGACCTCCAACCAACCACTGCTGGCTTCGCAAGACGAAGACACTCCCATTGACCACCACCCTACAGAGCCACACCCACAGCTCACGCTAGTGCACTCCAACTCGTCTGAGCAGTCCATTGCACATGTCCTCTCTGCGAGCTGGCCATCTTTTGGCAACCACAGGGCCAATTCCTTTGCCAACGGAACAGAAGGTGCCAACCATCCAGAACATCCGAGCTCCAACGACTACCCAGACGCCAATGCGCCTTTGCTCTCACGTTCACAGCCCACGTCCAGGCGTGCAAGTGTGATCTCCACAAATTTGAATAAATTCACCCAGAACTACATCATAGCAGCCGCCAAATGGGCGTATTCACCTATGTCGAAGAAACGAAAGACTAAGGTTGTGAACGAAAACGAGTACGTGATCGAGTACTCGGTGTTCAAGCCAGTGGGCAGCCTTCCACCAGTCAGCGGCGAAGAGGAATTGAGACAGCACTGGAAATTAATTCTCGAGTGGAACAATCAAGGGTATGCTAAGGAAGAATCTTCGGGACTCCAATGCCCTGAAAATTACACCACCAAGCAGGAATTTGACCAGTTGGTACATCAGGTGACACAGAGCATTGTAAATAAAGAACTACAGCCCGAACGCATATCCCAGGGGTCTTCCGGAAGTTATTTCCTCTACGCAAGAAAAACCATAGAATCAGATGTCGAGACTTCATACAAGGTGGGAATATTCAAGCCTAAGGACGAAGAGCCGTACGGTCCATTATCCCCAAAATGGACCAAATGGCTACATAGAACTTTCTTTCCTTGTTTTTTTGGAAGATCTTGCTTGATTCCAAACTTGGGGTATATCAGCGAGGCAGCTGCTTCCATTTTGGACAGACAGTTACTTTCAAATATCGTGCCATATACTGGAACCATTCACCTATCCTCCTCTTCGTTCTTCTACCGGTTCTGGGATAAATCCAAGCTTCCCCCCAAAATTGGGTCGTTTCAATTGTTCTTGAACGGATACATGGAAGCAGAAAAGTGGTTTCGGTTATATCCTATCCCCCCGGAGGAAGAGCTCTTGCGCTCTCTGGAAATTCGGGTGGGTGTGGACGAAGAGTTGCACGAGAATTTCTTAAATCCTCGGTTTGTGTGGTCACACGAGGTTGTGCAGCAATTCCGTGAGGAGTTAGAGAAGCTAGTCATTCTCGACTATATCATGAGAAATACTGATAGAGGCTTGGATAACTGGATGATAAAATTGGTATGGAGAACTACCCACGAAGGAAAGGCATATCGAAAATTAAACCCAGTCATCAAGATAGGAGCAATAGACTCGGGACTAGCATTTCCCTGGAAGCATCCTGACGAGTGGAGATCATTTCCTTTTGGATGGTTATTTCTTCCCTTAACCATCATAGGACAGCCTTTCTCCATGAAAACAAGGAACCATTTCTTGCCGTTGCTCACATCCAAGTATTGGTGGGAACAGACAGTGGTGAAATTACGCGAGGTCTTTGAAATCGACAACGACTTTAAAGAAAGGATGTGGCTCAAGCAGTTGGCTGTTTTGAAGGGTCAAGCATTCAATGTGGTCGAAATCTTGAAGCTTAGTCATGCTGGGCCCTTGGAGCTAACTAGAAGTGAACATTTGCTCGTCTGGGACGATACGATGTACATTCCCAAGCTGCTTAACGATGTGTATATAACACGGGCCATGGAATCGAGCATCTATGATTTGGGAAGCAAGAACTATCGATCCACCAGAAACGAGGATGATAGTGTCGATCCCATTGACTCCTTGAACTCCAATTACTTGCAAAATGGCTATTCTCCAAAGACATATACTGGACATACAACTCCTTCTACACCTTTGCTTGCAGCCAAAAGTAAAAAGCCGTCTGTTCCAAACATGAGCAGGATTCAAGAAGACGGCGAAGAGCCTAGTGGATATGATTACAACTTGACTTGCACGGATGATCGAGGCGAGGAAGAAGGCAACCGAAAGGTGATCATAGAGAGATTGGAAAAGGTCGAGAGCAAACCTCCATTCTTTACCTGGTGCTGAATAAAAGGGTATTCAAATAGAACGAGTTTCCTTGAACCATTTTAAATATTCATCTTTAGAGGTATACATCGACTTATACTTGTGGTGCATGTGCTGGCACCATGGAACCACCAAGCCTATAAGTGACCCATTGCCTAAAAAAATAGATTTTATTGAGTTGATAATTCATAATAGAGGTATTTTGTCTAAAAATTCTAGGTGAATTCGAGTTGGCATCGTAAAACATCATGCTATTAGGCTTCGAAGCACAATTTGAATAAAAGTATTTCAAATTCATTGAGTCAAGGTCGAACCGTGTCAAGAAGCCATAGTAAATCACCAAGCACAAGATTCTTACGTTATTAAAGGGCCCTCAAGAAGTAAATAAAGTCATAGTGAATTTTGTCTAATGGTGACTGGCGTACTTTTCCTCAAAAATGGCCTCGTAGCCATCACTGTTGCCCTTGAAGTCCTCCTCATTCAACACAAAGTCCTTGCGCTGCTCCTTGATGCTGAACTGCTTGATCTTCATCATGGAATACAACGTGTTGAGGATAGGCACTGCCACTCCGTTTTTTTGCGCTATTCTGACGGGGTTTCCCAACACGGTCTCCACCTCCGTCAACTGGCCGTTGTGCACGTCTGTCAACATTGAGGGACGGTAGAAAAGCCCATCGCCAATGTGGATAAGCTTGTCCAATAACGCCTCAGGCACATCGTAGCCTTCGCTTTTGGCAATGGCCATGATTTCCCTCATTGCTGGCTCGATGAGAGCACTGTTGGCTCCTGTGATCTGGCACCTGCACGCATCAACACCAGTCAAGCCTGCAATGATGTTGAAGGTGGCATTGTACAACAACTTGTTCCATCTCTGCTGGCGAACATCAGCATCAGGCAAGATCAGGTTGAAGCCCTCGTTGTGGTAGATGTCGATAATCTCGTCGAGCGCCTTCTGGGAGTCTGGATGCGACTGGCTCTTGTCGAAGTCTCCCACGAACACCTGTTCCAACGCCTTGTGCTGGATGAGGTTGGGGGAGTTGGTGGATCCGATGAGACTTATGCCACTGAGGATCAAGTTGTGGGGAAATGCCTTGTGCATGGGCTTCTCGATGTCGATTCCGTTCTGGAGAAGGAGGATGGTGGTGTTTTCCGACACTGCTGGACGGATAATGTCTTCACATGTCACTCTGGAGTCCGGCACGTTTTTGGTGCAGAGAAAGATGTAGTCGAAGGGTCCGTACTGGGTGCGTGCAGTCTCCACCGATGGAGCAACCTGGGAAGGAATCCAGTTCCTGACGGTGCCGTAGTTGACGGAGTCGATGTTCAAGCCCTGGGTTGATACTCGTTGGTAGTCTGAACGGACCACTAAGGTGACTTCTGATTTGGCTCTTTTGGTGAGAGAGTAGGCACAGATAACGCCTACACCACCTGAGCCGACGATAAGCACTTTGGGGGCCATTGTGGTTGTGGAAATGTATCAGAGGTTCAGTTATGTGAGAGCTGGAAATCTTCAGCAGATCGTTTTATCGCGAAAATCGGAAATGACACATCGATAAGCTGCGGACGCACGTCAGAGACATGACGTTGATATGCTGCGAAGGTCGGAAGAAAATGAAATCGATAAGTTGTAAGAGGGCCAGAATTGGAAAATCACAAGCGGGATGTATGGGAAGTGAAGGCAAGGGTAGGGAGCAGAGGTATTGGTGGACGTAACAATCTCTATAAATTAATAATTGTGGTTATAGGATAATTACCGATTTGACTGAACTAGTGCTGGTCAATTACCAATTTGACTGATACTACTATAGTGACACAAGGCTAAGCTCGTATTACATATACCCCATTACTAAGGGAGCTGGTAGCAGTATCGGTGACTTCGGACAGCAGTCGTGAAGTACACAGATCCACAGGTTGTGGGCTACTTACGGATTTAAGCAGTTAATTTTTCACAAAAAAATACTAAACAGCGACGGGCAGGAGCCCTGGCGGGATTTGTGAAAAACTCCTATGATTATATTATGTTCAACTATAGCATCAAACTCGAGAATATCCCTAAATCGATCTCCTCGTTTCAAACTTTTGCTTAAATATTTTATTTTCAAATGCGTTGGAAGCGTAGTCGACCAAAGGAAAACGCCTAGGAGACTAATTTCGTAACTTGCCAAATTCGAGCTGAAACAAGGTAGCCTTTGAAATAGAAAAGTATTGGTATCCAGTTTGGTTATCCAGTGTCATAATGGGTCTCAAAGGCTAACCTAAAATCCTATGAAATGGAGATAAAATGAAAAGTCAAATTAAAAATAGATAGACTTGCTCTCCTCGTGTACTTACTTCTATAGTCGGTACTTCAATTGTGATCCCTTTTTCTCTGATTGGAAAAGTGGAGCATAAAAGTTCGGAGCTATAAATTTGCACCCAAAAAACATCCGTACTTCACTAATCAAGCAACTTAACAGAAACAGATATTCAAAAAAGTACAGAAGAGATATACTGACTGCTGAGGTTTGTGAATTCTTCTTTGTTTCCATACGACATCTGTCCCACAAATAGAATGCAAAATATCCAACTTGTGTAAGATCACTCAATAATAGTACACAAGTACATAGCTATGTGTAAATGTGTACTAAACAGACTATCATCTGCTTTGGACTGTGTATTAGCTTGGAGACGAAGTTTCTGCCACTTACAACCTCTGTTGCAATATCTTTGTGAATTATTTTTTACGATTTTAGCACAAATTCTGAAGAGCCTAAGAGAGACGATGTTCTTTGGCTCCAACGTGCATACTTCATTAACTGAAACGATTTCATTTAGGGATCCGGACCTTGGCTCACATTACATGAATTCCATTTTGTGAAGTAATGCATTTCATAATTGAACTTTTCTATTCAATGAACGGTTTAAAATCTTTGCTGTTCCATTACAATAGGCATATAGCTAACAAGATATACTTCGCATCAGCAAATTACGAGTGTTCCAAAAATTTGATTTACACAGGGCCCGTATCTATTTGAATAGTTCTTTCCGTGAGTTGCCCATTAAATTGATTAAAAGAAATAAAGTAAAAGTTTTAATTGATTCTATTCTAACTTACATTAATGACATATATACAATAGTTCTGCTCTTTCCAGCTTGAGCTAACCTCAGTGGACCATTTCTTTGGGCAGGTACTCGCCAGGGCCATCGTAGGCAAAAAAGTCTCTGGACTGCACCACTCTCAATTCAAAGTATTTCATGGTGTCACCGTCGTTGATTTTGCCCTGTACAGGTCCGTTGTTTCCCGTGGCCTTGGCTGCGGCCTCCAATCCTTGGCGATGGGTCAAGAGCAAGGTTTTCCTCATTATGGTCAAAACCTGATTTACTGCGAGTACCAAGGCATCTTCCGCATTGTTGGAGAGCAACGTCACCAACTTGTCCAACAAAAGCGCTGAAAACAAGTCGCCCACGCCTGTGAAGTACGACTTGATGACAGGCACCTCAAATGTGCGGATAACCAGCTTTCTTCCCGGCACAGATGTGGACACTGCGCAACCTATCACCGACGAGTTGCCTAGCATGGTGCCATCCAAGGACGTGATGACCACGTACGGCACCGAGTACTCGTGGTGAAGTGTCTGGATAGCTGTGGCCAACAGCTCCTGGGTGTCGATCTTGTAACCTACGAGGAGCTCGAGCTCAAACTGGTTGGGGGTGATTATATCCACTAATTTGCGTGAAAGAACCCGTTTGTTCTGCTCGATACAGTTCTGCTCCACGTAGAGGTAGTTGTTGTCGCCCATGACGGGGTCAAGGAGGTAGAGAGGCGTGGACAAGCCGTGGTGGAGGCCCGATGGGTGCTGCTGACTATTGGCCTTCATTTCACCTATGTAGTCGTGCACTATGCCGATAAGAGTCGCGTTGGGGATGTAGCCGGTGATGACTGCTCCGTAGTGACCCTTTGAGGGCAGAGACTCTCGTTGCAGCACGAGTTGGTCGAGAATCAGCTTGAGCTCTTCGGGATCGGCAGCCAGGCCACGGACCGAGCCGTAGCCCGTGTGGTTGGAGAAGTTGACGGTGTTGATGTTGTCGACGTCCCAACCCTGCGCCTGGAGAGGGAAGATGGCGGCTTTGCCGCCCACGTAGCCGTGGGCGACGTGGGACTGGATGGAGAGTACCGTCTTCATGATGGTGGAGTATGATCACGTGGCGGCGCCCGTGAAATGGTAGAGGGTAGTGCGCAGGCCAATGCAACCATCCTGCAGGCTCCGCAGGCTCCGCAGGCTCCGCAGGCTCTGCGCAGCAGTGGGGAAGTGCCCCGAGGCTGCGGCTGACGTGAGCAAATATCGACTCATTGGCCCCTGCGAATCCAGAAATCGGGCGTCACGTGCGGCCCCTATTGGGCGTGGCGGTGCGCCCACCAGCTGCCAGGGATGGCGCAACTGGGCCCTTGACGGTAGACGACTCAGGATCCATCGGCACTATTCCTGGCGCAGCCTTGTAGAGGTTGCATGGCATGCATGCCATCTACGCAGTGTGCGCTGATACCACTAGCGTCGGCACTGCACCCGCTGATACCACTAGCGTCGGCACTGCACCCGCTGATACCACCAGCGTCGGCACTGCACCCGCTGATACCGACTGCACTGCACCGGCTAGCACCGACCGCACCCAGCTGCATGCCCCTATAACTGTGAGACAATGCATGTGAACTAGTAGTCACTCGCAGCAGACGAACCTGGACCACAGACCGGTCGTGCGCAGGCTGAATCAGGGCATGCTCGACACTGCCTGGGGTGGCGTTTCGCGGCGTGGCAGGGTTCACAGGCCTGGGTGCCCCGAGTGTTCTCCGCGCTGGACACGGATGGGAGCACAAGTGCATGTGGGTATTTCCCCCGTTGTCGCCAACCCTAACTGTGAAACAATCAGACACGAAACCTGTAACACCTCCTGGCAAACTTGCGGTCCCTCCTTTTGCAGATAATGCATGGCAATATTAATTATCCAGTTCTTGGAATCTTCCATGCACGCGGTGCTCGGTGCAATGTTTATGAGTTATTATTAGTGATTGTCCGCGTTACTGAGGACCCGCGACATTTACCCGCCCCTACCTTGAAAATTGCACCCCCCTCACCAGTGCGCTGTCCTCTATTTAAACCTGTGGATTTCTCACCACTTCCACCCCTCACTACCAAAGGTCTTCAAATAATGTCTACCGAAGTCACTGTTGATACCGACGCCACCTTCAAGTCTACGCTTCCTCCCAGAAAGAGAGCCAAGACCAAGGAGGAAAAGGAACAACGTCGTGTCGAACGAATTCTCCGTAACAGACGTGCTGCCCACGCTTCCAGAGAGAAGAAGAGAAAGCACGTGGAGTATTTGGAGTCCTATGTGGTCCAGCTTGAAAAGAACTTAGCGACCTTGCAAGACAACTTTGATGCCGTTCATAAGTTGCTTCCAGCCAAGCAGCAGGCGTCGTTGAGCTTGGCCGCCTTACAGGACTTGAAGGAGTTGAAGGATAAGATCCACTCCAACTTGACCACAGGATCAAAGAAGTCCGAGAACGAGGAGGAAGATGACGAGGACGACGAGTCCTTCTCGTCCACCCCTCAGCAAAAAAAAAGAAAGTTGAGTGAAAGCACCGACTCGTTGTCGGTCAAGGACGAAAAGAGCACCTACTACAACTATCTTTCGCCTGTGTCGATCAATTCACCCGTCAACTCGCCCATCGACTTGACGTTGACCAAGAACCACTCGGGTGTGTCCACCGAAGACCCAACCCCCTTCATTAAGTTGGAGCCAACTAACGTGTATGATTCAATGGGGCAAAATTCAGCAGCAATTTTGTCAACCCAATCGGACTATATGTCGGATTTTCATCCTCAGGAACTAATTGTGTCCTAACCGAGTTCGTTGACCGTTCTCTGCTTGTCCACTGGTGAACAAAGCAATATTTCAAGAAATGTATATTAATCAAGACTATCTCGTCAGGCGATGACTTATTCTTGATTAATATACGTGGAATCTCTTGATGTACTGCTTGTCATGTCCCTCTGGATTTATAGCATCGAAGCAACAGTCTTGATTTCGGCTACTACACAATAATTCCACGTATACTCTATTGGGTTGTTTATACAACCATTCCATCCTGGTCTGCAGCACCAATCATGCACGATTTCTTGGACTCCTTCCCAACCGATAGGGATGGCTTCACGGAACAACCAAAGTCTTTAGTTCCTGGTAACACTCAACAATCTTTCAACAACAATTCGGTTGATGACTTATTATTATCTCATTATTCTGAAGTTGAAGAGTTGAACGACTTCTCCTCACCTGACTCTACCTCGTTCATTTTGGATAACCAACATTCCAAGTTTGAATTACAACATCAGGATCAAGAACATCAAGATGTCAATTTGACCATTGATGAGTTCTTGGAATTTTGATACCTCTCGTGGGTTGGGTTACATAAATAAATTTTACTGGTGTTTATATGGGTTTACTAATTGTGTGTGATTGTCACAAGAAAAATCAAAAATCAAAAAAAAAACTATGGCTATGTCTCGTTCGGTTCAGTTCTACTAATAATGTTTATCAATCTGATCATACTGAAAAAAATCGCAAAATCAAAAAAAAAAATTCAAAACAAAAAAAACCTAAAAAAACAAAGCTGTTTTTTTGGTCTTTGCGTTGGTGTTGTTCAGGTATCTGACCGTTGAGTGTGTGGTTTGTGAGTGGATTGATTTTGTTTCATGACCGACTTTCTTTGCAAGAGATTCGAATATAAATGTTTACCATTTGGCGCTCCTACCCAGTGATGCGACGATTCGAATCCTTTCAAGGCACGAGGTTATTGTTCAAGAGAGCTCCAGGCACAGGTCTACACGAAAACGGAAGATGCTGGCGAGTAGCACGGACAACGAAGGCATGCGATCATGTCAGATGGAACACCGAATAGGCTATTGTTTTCCTTCAAGTTTACTTCTCTGTATATTAGATAATAAAGGTATTAGAACACAAGGCGTAGTTGATGGTAGTGGGTCACGGGCGAAAATGGGACTGCGGCACCTGCAGCCACAGCACGTGACCGCCTTACCCCTTCTATCAGGATATCTCCTTCGCCATGACGTCAAGCATCCGCGACTAGACGAACCGTAGATGCAAATTTCAGGGGGAATTACACGCCGCCATAATGTGACCCCAGCGTGCATTACCGCCGGTTAGTACAGGTGGCTCTTCTACCAGGCCCCACCCTATAAACCACCCCTCCTCCATCCAATTTCTTTCCACATCAATTACATTTGAAAATGTCTGCTAACGACTTTTATTCCCAAGGAGAACAAGGATCTTACCAACCACAACAATCCCAGCACCAAGGAGGCCAACAAGGCCAACAGGACGGTGAAAGAGGCTTGTTAGGCACAATCGCTGGTGGTGCTCTTGGTGGCATTGGTGGCTCCAAGTTGGGCGGTAACCACTCCAAGTTGGGAGGCTTGGTTGGTGCCATTGGTGGTGCCATTGGAGGCAACAAGCTCGAGGACAGATTCGAGGGTGAAGGCCACCATGGCAACCAAAACCACCATGGAAACAACCACCACGGTGGCGAAGGCCACGGTGGATTCCTCGGCAACTTGCTCGGAAAGAACGACCGTAACGACAACTATGGCGGCCAAAACGAGTACGGCAGACACGAGGGAAGAAACGACTACAACAGCGGTAGAAACGACAGCTACGGCAGTGGCAGAAACGACTTCAACAGCGGTAGAAACGACAACTATGGCGGTGGAAGAAACGAAAACTACAACAGTGGCAGAAACGACAACTACGGCAGTGGCAGAAACGACAGCTACGGCGGCGGTAGAAATGACTACAACAGCGGCAGAAACGATAACTACGGCGGCAACAACCAAGGCGGTAGATGGTAAGCACGATGTATGAATGAATTCACGTTATGAGATTACAATACTAGTAGATTCGTAGCAGATCGATCAATTTCAGTGCGGATAGGACAGGTGAGTGGATAAGACAGGTCTCCTGCCATTATTGCTGAATAGCCACCATTTAGACCCCCCACGGGGCTATTCACCTCTCCTACTGTCAATTGTCAGGATTGCTCATGCAACTGGCGCAGTGTTACAGGGTGGAATCGCAGTTAGGACAGGTGTTGGCCATTTTCGGTGCAGCATGGGCGTGACAGCGGGCAGTGCATTGAAACGCTGGTGGGACACGTCAGCGGGGATAAACAGAGGTGGAGTACTAGACACGTGACACTCAACACGTGACAAAGGTTTCGCTGCTCGCTTATGTGCAGGCTAATATAATAGGTGTATCGGACTTGATTTATTAAGCAGTGTTTAGTAGGTTGGGAGGTACACTTGAGCCGACTTCAAGTAGTCAAGCGATCCCGGCTATTTCTAGTGTAAATTACCATCTAAATTTGCCACAAACTCATCATTCAATTCTTGAATCCTTCCTTTCTGACATCATCAGCAATGTTATTTCTCCTAAATTTCTCCTGTTGTTGCACATATTATTCGAGCACTATGTGCCTTGTGTTTTCGATTGATTCACTTTCTAGTAACTCCTCTCGGCACTGAGCTACCAGTCGAGTTAGAGTGGTGTTAATTGGTCGTGTCCAGGCCAATGTCGTCATCGCCATATGTCGCATTTTGGAGTACGTTCCAACTCAACACCAGCTGGCTCCTTCTGAATCCTTCCTTTCGGGCAAGCATCAACAGCAGCTTCTAGTGTGTATCGTACTACATTCCCGTCCACTTAGTTCAGGCTTTTCCCGCTTTCGTAGTTCTTTCCCTCTATTGCAACTATTAGCTCGCGGAAACCATCCAATACTTGCACAAGTCATCAAGACTCCAGCAGAGCCACAAGTTCGTCAGAGCATCCACGCCAAGTATCGTTCCCCCTCGCAACTTCAGTCCTTTTAAGAACATCCTTATTACCACTCAGAAGAGCCCCCATCAGCAACTAGTCGTACTTCAACAGCACCAAGGTAAAGAGCTATCCCTACTATGCCACCACAAATCACGTTTATTCAGCTCACTTCCAGCACAGTCATCCCCATCAAAGTGTTTGCAAAGTCACCTGCTGCGGGGACGTCTTCGCCCCAGTCGTTGGCCATCAATTCCAAGTCTCTCATTACTCTCACCAATGCCACCAACTACCACACCAAGCTCTCCAAGAATTACCTCAACACATTGGTCGAGTCCATCCTGGATGATGTGCTCGAGACGTTGCTCCATCGTCCAGTCAAGGATATGGAAATTCGAGGGCCTATCAACAGTGCCAATAGTGCCAGAGTGGTTCGTAGAGTCAAGGTTCGAGGAGCAAGATCTCGCCATGGTAACCACGATGGAGGAGTGGCACCAGAATCGGGTGCCGAGTCGGAACGTGTTGCCAGGGTAGAAATCCCGTTGGTGCTTCTTGCCAATGTGAGAACTCGTTTCGCCAGACTCGAGGAAAATGACGCTCAGAGACTCTTCCCCAAGGGCGTGGTTTCTGACAAGCCAATTCGCCCCGACGGGACCTTGAGCTTGCTCAAGAAACAAACCACCATGGAAGACATGATCTTGATCGAAGAAGAAGAGGGCATTCCCATCGAAAGCGACTCCAAGAAAAACATCGGTTACCGAGTGGATAAACTACACATGTTCAGCAACATCAACCATTGCATCAGGGTCTTTTTGAACGCTTGAATCGCTGGCCGATTGGGTGGACCACAACAAAAACGGCCTTCATGGAGCTTGGATGGTCCCCACGCAAATCCAAGAATATAATCATGTTGCGCTGGGATCCAGCTCATAGTATAGAGGCTCCTTAAGGTGCCTGGGTAGGAATCAATCACATATTAGTAATAGCTTACATAACATTTAATTTATACTACAGGCACGACAGCCACAGGTTGCTCGTCATGTGCCCGATACGCACCGAGAGCTTTCGCTGCAGAGTCGCCACCAGCACGCCCCATCCCCCACCAGGTGCTGGAGCTGTCCCAGACACGTCACGTGCACAGAGGCACGTGCTACATTTTGCCATCCAACTTATCCTACAACCCAAACTACTATTCCAATTGCTCAACCACTCCACGCCTTACAGCAACATGATTATTCTCAGGTTTAGGTCCAAGGACGGAATGTTCCGGATCAGTGCTGATCCACAGGCAGATTTCCTTCTCGTGTTGGAGGAGCTCTTCAACAAGCTCAAGAATCAAGATCCTCAGCTGACTTATATCAGCGATAAGCCTGGACAAAAGGGCGAATTGGCCAACAGCTTGTGTGGCAAGTCGGTAGAGCTGTTGGGATTGAAGAATGGTGACATGTTGTATGTGACTGGTGGAGCCTCTGCCTCTACAGCTGCTTCCGCTGGAGGTGTTAGTGTCAGTGGAAACACCGTCAGTGGCACTGTTAGCATCGCCAACACGGTTGACATCAAGAAGCCAGATGAGCTTAAGCCTTCTGCAGGGTCTGAAGTAGATGCTGCCTATGAGAAGTCCGACGGACTCATCAAACGTCCACGATCCACATATTGTCGTCATGGTGATAAGGGTATGTGCGAGTACTGCTCGCCTCTTCCTCCATGGGACGCCAACTACAGAAAGGAAAACAGCATCAAGCACATGTCTTTTCATGCACATCTCAAGGAGTTGAACGACGCCAAAAATAACCGTAATAATGCCTCCTCATACATTCATCCGTTGGACGAGGCGAACTACAAAATCGACTTGACTTGCACAAATGGCCACAAGGCGTACCCCCGCGGTATATGCTCCAAGTGTCAGCCATCTCCTATCACGCTTCAGCTCCAGAAGTTTAGAATGGTGGACCATGTGGAGTATTCCGATTTCCATATATTGAACAAGTTCATTGATTCTTGGAGACAAACAGGGGTCCAGAGGTATGGAGTGTTGTACGGACGGTACGAAGCCTTTGACAAGGTGCCATTGGGAATTAAGGCAGTGGTGGAGGCCATCTACGAGCCCCCACAGGCGGGTGAAGCCGATGGTATTACCCTTTTGCCTTGGGAAAATCAGGAACAAATAGACTCAGTGGCCCAGCTGTTAGGAATGTATCAGGTGGGTGTTGTATTCACCGATTTGACGGACTCCGGAAATAATGATGGAACCGTGTTGTGCAAGAGGCACAAGGACAGTTACTTTTTAACGAATTTGGAGATTCTTATGGCTGCTAGAAACCAAGCTGCCCATCCTCTGACCACCCGCCATTCTTCATCAGGAAAGTACTCCTCCAAGTTCGTTACTTCAGTCATAAGTGGAGGCCTTAAGGGAGAAATCGGGCCCAGATCGTTTCAAGTTTCTGCCAGTGCCGAAGCTTTGGTGAAAGCAGAGATAATGAGTGCCTCAACACAGCCATCGAAGTTGCTTGTCAACTCCAATAACGATACCAGATACGTTCCCGATATATCTTACCTGGAAATCAACGAATACGGGTTAGAAGTGAAATCTAACGCCAAACCGGCATTTCCTGTTGATTTCTTGCTTGTATCCTTGACTGACTCGTTCCCTCTCGAGCCCAAGCCATTTTTCAACAGCTCGTCATCGTTCCCGATCGAAAATAGAGACTTCATGGGAGAATTGCAGAACTTACCACAACTCTACCTGTACCTTAATGGAGGAGCAGGAAACGGAGAGAATTTGTGCGATTTACACTTCTTGGGGTTTGTGGCCAAGACAGGAATTTTGGGCCCAGACGAGTTGCAATCTATGCTTCGGTACGTCAAGGACAGGGATGAAGGTGATTACTTGCAATTGGTGGAGAGTCCTGGTTGGATGACATTGCTTACCATTGCGGAACAGAGTAGCTAGAATTGAGTTATACAGGACGGTAGGTTGTACCCAAATGAGGAACGAGGAATTGTACTCGGATTACTGTGTGAGTTATGAAACAATGCGATTTATCCACTGGTTCTAACTTTTGGATTAATTAATTAATTAATCAATGACACGTCAGCTTAATCTCTTTATAGGAGTAGAAATTGTAAACCGAATGCATTTAGTCCATTGTTCTCGTGCTTCGTAAGATCTCAAGGGACAGTAAATTTGGTTCGGTTCAAAGTCAGCTTTTCGGTGATGAATATCCTAGACGGTACTAGAAACACTCGGAGAGAAAGGGAAGTAATCTCACTGCCGGCCAAGCTGACAACGGGTAATTTTCCTAGGGGAGAAATTTTAGATCTGTTGGAATAAGCTTCATCAGTGCCTACAGAATTTCTCGAAGACATTAGTCTGTGCCGGAGTCTTGATAAGCCCAAGATGCTTCTTTGGGACTCTAGAAGCCTTATTGGGGGTACCTCAGTGCCAATGGCATGGTATGGAGATTTAGGTTGCCCTATTTAACTTCGCAAACTGCCTTCAAATATTGATTGGTATTGCTTGAGTGATATTCTAGACTGACACTTATACTGCTATTAACTACATTGCTAGAGTTATTAACTACATTTCTGCATTAATACATACACTGCTAATTGCTAGACTAATACTGTAGACTGGACAAATACTGCCATTCCCTATTCCAGCTTGGCGTGCCGATCTGGCAATAATATGACAACTCTCCAGCCCAAACTCGCTGTCACGCTCCCAACCAGCCACTGGATCAATTTTCCGTTGTTTGCTAGGCTACGACCCAGCATGCGAAATGCCAAGGCAATCCTTTACACGGCACCGGCACCAGCAATTTCCGATGCGTGCCAGTGGGACCTTCGTGGTAATTTGAGAATCTTGGTGGTTTTCGTAGTTCTGGTGGCTTTGGTACCGCAACGGTAAATTTGGGGATCGTGGTAGGGATTATTGAAGAGCAGCTACTGTCCACCAAATTCACAGAGACAGTAGACTACAGTAATAATTCTACGGGAATGTACCAGATTTGCACCTGATCTCCAGTGTGCTCCAGGCAATCCGTGGTGGCCCTGGCCTCCTGCACCGTCCGATTGTCCGTGTTGGGACTCTTGGCCCCGGGGCCAGATTCGCACGGTGGTCTTCGCAGCAATTCCACCACCAAACCACGAGCAATTGGCCGTGGAGACCCGCAAAAACGCTCACCCCACGCCAGCGCAGGCCACACTCGATACGTCCCTATCGCTGCCTGGCGTCTGGCCCTCTCCAAGCCCCGTACGGGCCCGTGACGGCAGTTGGTGGCATATGAAAGCTCCACGTGACGGGAACCTTCTAGACGGTTCTTCCACATCTGCCCCTCCGCACGACCAGCACTGAAAAAAATTCACCATCGACATATAATTACCCTTCTTCCCATCTTTTCCTACTACCTACGCAAACATGTCCACTCCATTTGGTGTCGATTTAGGTAACGACAACACCGTTATTGCCTGTGCAAGAAACCGTGGTATTGATATCATCGTCAATGAAGTCTCCAACCGTTCCACCCCTTCGTTGATCGGGTTCGGTCCCAGAAACAGATTCATTGGTGAAAGCGGTAAGAACCAGCAAACCTCCAACTTGAAGAACTCCGTCGACAACTTGAAGAGAATCCTCGGCTTGAACTTCAACGACCCCGACTTCGAGGTCGAGAAGAAGTACTTCTCCGTTCCTTTGGTTGAAAACAAGGATGGCGGCATTAGCGCCAAGGTCCGTTTCTTGGGTGAACAACAGGAATTCACCTCCACCCAATTAGCCGCTATGTACATCAACAAGATCAAGGACATCACCTTCAAGGAGACCAAGGGTAACATCACCGACATCTGTTTGTCTGTGCCTACCTGGTACACCGAAAAGCAGCGTCGTGCTGCCTCTGACGCCTGCAGAATCGCTGGCTTGAACCCTGTCAGAATCGTCAACGAAATCACCGCTGCTGCTGTTGGTTACGGTGTCTTCAAGGCCAACGACTTGCCAGAAGACGAACCAAAGAAGGTTGCCTTTGTTGACATCGGTCACTCTTCCTACCAAGTCTCCATCGCTGCTGTCAAGAAGGGTGAATTGAAGATCTTGGGTTCCGCCTACGACAAGCACTTTGGTGGTAGAGACTTCGACTACGCCATTGCTGAGCACTTTGCTAACGAATTCAAGACCAAGTACAAGATCGACGTCCACGAAAACCCTAAGGCTTTCTACAGAGTTTTGACCGCCGCTGAAAAGTTGAAGAAGGTCTTGTCTGCTAACACCCAAGCTCCTTTCAACATTGAGTCCCTCATGAACGATATCGATGTCTCTTCCTCCTTGACCAGAGAAGAATTGGAAGAATACGTCCAACCATTGTTGGAGAGAGTTCACATTCCAATTGAAACTGCTTTGAAGGAGGCCGGTTTGAAGGCTGAAGAAATCGACTCCATTGAGGTTATTGGTGGTTGTACCAGAGTTCCATCCTTGAAGGCCAAGTTGACCGAAATCTTCGGAAAGCAATTGTCCTTCACCTTGAACCAAGACGAAGCCATTGCTAGAGGTAATGCTTTCATCTGTGCTACTCACTCCCCAACCGTTAGAGTCAGACCATTCAAGTTCGAAGACTTCAACCCTTACACCGTCTCTTACTTCTGGGACAAGCAAGAAGAAGACGAAGACCACTTGGAAGTTTTCCCAAGAGGTGGTTCTTTCCCATCTACCAAGATCATCACCTTGTTCAGAAAGGGTGACTTCGACGTCGAAGCTAGATACACCAAGAAGGAAGAACTCCCAGTTGGTACTGAGCCAATCGTTGCCAAGTGGCAATTGAAGGGTGTTGTTCCATCTGAAGGTGAAACTTCTATTGCTGCCAAGTTGAAGTTGAGAAACGACCCATCTGGTTTCTACACCATCGAAGCCGCTTACACCGTCGAAGAAAAGTTGGTCAAGGAATTGGTCGAACAAGAAGGTGAACAAGACGAAGATGCTGAACCAGAATACCGTGAGGTTAAGAAGTTGGTCAAGAAGAACGACTTGCAAATTGTCCAATCCACCGCTGCTTTGGATGAAGGCGTCAGACAACAAATGATTGAAAAGGAAAACTCCTTGGTCATGGAAGACAAGTTGGTTGCTGACACCGAAGAAAGAAAGAATGCTCTTGAAGAATACATCTACGAATTGAGAGGTAAGTTAGAGGAACAATACAAGGATTTCGCTTCTCCAGAAGAGAAGGAGAAGTTGACCGGTATGTTGGCCAAGGCTGAAGACTGGTTATACGATGACGGTTACGACTCCACCAAGGCCAAGTACATTGCTAGATACGAAGAATTGGCCTCTATTGGTAACATCATCAGAGGTCGTTATCTTGCCAAGGAAGAAGAAAAGAAACAAGCTTACAGACAAAAGCAAGAAGCTGCTCAAGCTAAGGCTATGGCTGAAAAGATGGCTGCTGCTAGAGAAGCCTCCAAGTCTGGAGACTCCAAGAAGGAGACTTCAGGTGACAACGATGGAGATGTCGATATGGATTAGGTATATAGATGCTGTAATATAAATCGGATCGAAAGTGCTGTAGAAGTGGATAACAATAAGGAAGGCCAAAAGAAAACCAATGTGCTCAACTCTGGAACCAATGATCGGTTTATGGTTACGATTGGAGGACAAATAGAGTACTTACTGGGTTTCGACCATGGCAATGGATCTGAGCTTTGTTGGTAGTGCTTTTGGACCTAACCCAAATTCACACCATTGTATAGATACAGTGTAATCACAATGCATGGTCAATGAGCCCTACCCAGCGAATCCGGGCAGTTTTGAACGGCCGGAGTCCTAGTATTAGCGAAGCTAATTAGTGCTAGTTTATACTAGCAGTAAACCCCAGTAACATCTTTCTAACCAGAATTTCCGTGATACTGTCCGAGAAAATTCATCCCAGTTAATTGTTCATTCAGGTATTCACAATTGTACTTGGGTGACTTTTCAGGTCCATCATAACACTGCTGTTCACATATTACTGTTAAATTTTACTTCAAAGTCCCGAGGATCCACCCATAGCCCGGGGTCCATGTACTGAGAATTAATTCGAGACACCATGACTAGTTTCTGAGCTAATATTACTGGCACTCTATATCATGCTAATTGGCGTGTTCCTATTTTCTCGCTGGCACTTCATCTTTCACCATCCCCACCCACCATTCTCTCCTCTTACCCACCCACCATTCTAACGGATCCGGTATCGTCTCGGTGTCTTGGCGCTGTCATACCGAGAATCCTGGCCATGTGTCAGAACTCCGAGATCTGCAAGCACCGCCAGCGGCCGCAAAAAACCCACACTTGGCCCCACCTTGCCGTCGAGGCCCAACTATCTTCATGGCATAACTCCCGTGTCCCGACACTTCCCAGCCTTCGGCCAGGCGCTCTACACGGCTCGCCCGCCGTTAACCCCGTTGCTCATCTCGCATCTCTCTGGGCTTGTAACCCGCCACGTGACGGTTCTCGCCAGCTCACCGTGCTACGCATGACGGTGGGTCGTGGTGGAGTTCAGGGGCAGCCCGGGAGTGATGGAGCCACGAGGGTAGACCACCACCACTAATCACCAGGTAGAAATGGCATTGTCATCTAGCCTCACCATACACTGCGGTAGTCTCAGCGTAGTTGTCCCAAGCGTAGTGGCCCCAGTGTAGTGTTCCCAGCGTAGTTCCCAGCGTAATTCCCAGCTAGTTTCCAGCTAGTTCCCAGCTAGTGCCCAGCGTAGTGTCCCCGTTACCCCCACTACCCCTACTGCGCTCGCTACTCCGGCGCGGGCCCGCACCCCAATCGGTACGACACCAGCTGCCGATTCGCACCAGCTGCCGAGTCGCACCCACTGGCGATTCTCACCTCGCACCACCATGAAAAACTGTGCGAAATAACCACCATCAACAGATAGAGACACAGGCTAGAGCAGGCTGTAAGTCAGTGTTACCGTATCAGGAATCGAATCGCGCCCGCGGACACCGCACCACGGCGACTGAACACCCAACTGTCCCAGTGGCGCCCCCCAAAGACCCATCCGTCTTGCACAACGCCACTAGCAGATAATAGACGCCTAGCAGAACACTTCCAGAAATCAGCCAGAAAACACCAGAAAAGCTCCATATCTGCCACCACCAGTGCCACCACCAGAGCTATGGGCACCAAATCCAACCTTTCCATCGCCATCCAGGCAGCAGACTCCAAAAACACCAAGTACGATGACTCAAAGCCCTCCACTCCAGCAGCCTCCGACCTCCTCCCACTGCTGTTCAGCTCGCTCGTCCATCCCACCAGCTCGACCGTGCACGCACTGTCATCCTCTGCCAAGACGTTCAAGCCACTGCTCACTCCCTTGAGCACCAACTTCGATCTCGGCAACAACAACTCGGACGACGACAACGACGAAGACGACGACGCCGACGACTCCGACTCTAACACTGTCAACCCTGCCGAGGAAGAGGACCTCAAGGACTACGTGCCGGGAGGCTACCATCCGTGCTTCATAGGCGAAACCTACAAGAACGGCAAGTACACCTTGGTCCGCAAGCTCGGCTGGGGCCACTTCTCGACAGTGTGGCTTGCCAGAGACAACGACAAACAGTGCCATGTGGCCATGAAGATCGTCCGTAGCGCCAAACACTACACGGAAACCGCCATCGACGAGATCAAGTTACTCGACAAGGTCACTACCTCCGACCTCCACCACCCAGGACACGAGCATGTGATCCAGTTGTTGGACACCTTCACCCACAAGGGTGTCAACGGTGTCCATGTGGTGATGGTGTTCGAGGTCCTAGGCGAAAACTTGCTCGGCTTGATCAGAAGGTACAAGCACAGGGGTATTCCCATCGTGTTTGTCAAACAGATAGCGAAACAGTTGCTCTCAGCCATGGACTTCTTGCACAGAAAGTGCGGAGTCATTCACACCGACTTGAAGCCTGAAAACGTGTTGATTGAAATCGGCGATGTCGAGCAGATCGTCAGAATGGTCGAGGAGGAAGAGCACGAGATCAAGGTCCAGAAGAGAAGAGTCAAGTCGCAAACCATGCATTCATCTAAGCCACCTCTCCTCGCAGAAGCGTCTACTCCCGAAGATGTGGCGAAATTGAACACTTCACCTTCCTTGGGCAGAAATGGAAGAAGATCTAGAAGACACACTCTCATCACTGGCTCCCAGCCTTTGCCGTCACCATTAAGGTCATTCAACAAGTCGTTTATTAACGTGTACGGATTGGCAAACTCCACCTCTAACACCCCTGTCAGAAATACGTCGTTCACAGCTGCATCTATCAGGAGCTCGATGAATATTGAGCCCACCACTCCCGTGGAGCCCGTCACAAGAACTTCTTCCGGCGTGGATATTAACGAGAAAGATACACTCAACAGTTCGCTTTCCTCAATGTCCATCTCCAACACCTACCAATCGGGTCTCGATCCTGTTTCCATCCCTGCATCCGCATCCAACGACCATGACCACTCTCACATGATGGAAAATGACATCATCAACGAGGATGAGTTGATCTCTGTTAAAATCGCCGACTTGGGCAATGCCTGCTGGACCACCCATCACTTCACCGATGAAATTCAGACTCGTCAATACAGATCTCCAGAAGTTCTTTTGGGCTATCACTGGGGCGCCCTGAGTGACCTCTGGTCGTTTGCCTGCTTGGTATTCGAGCTCCTCACTGGGGATTATTTATTTGACCCAAGAGACGGCAAGACATACACCAAAGACGACGATCATATTGCTCAAATCATCGAGTTGATTGGACCATTTCCAAGATCGATGCTCAAAGAAGCATACTACACCAGGGACTTCTTCAACTCCAGAGGGGAGCTCCATAGAATTATCAAGTTGAAGCCTTGGGCGTTGAAGGACGTCCTCATCGAAAAGTACAAGTTCAACCCCAATGATGCCATGGAGATTTCAGACTTTTTGATGCCCATGTTGACCTTACAGCCTGAATTGAGGGCTGATGCCGGAGGAATGGTGAACCATGCGTGGTTAAGCGATGCCCTCGGGTTGGAAAATGTGGTGCTTGAGAGACCAGTAGGGGGATCGGGAGAGGATATCCCCGGATGGGCCAAGGAGATAGGTCAACTGAGTACTGGCAAAAAATACTACTAAAGGTAGAAGCATCGACATTATGGTGCATCACGATGAGTTATCTACACCTGGCATACATCATACATTCATTACCAACGATATTCATTTCATTATCATAGCTCGATCATAGATATACCATAGGCAGCGGCCATAGGCTGTTGAGACTGTAATTATATATTGTACTTTAGAATGTACCTATAGAGGGAAATAAGTAGACATTTAGGAAAGAAAATGCAACATGTCAGACTAATTGTAAGAGTTGAAAATGGAGCAAGTGTCCACAATAGAATTAACATTTTTTAAGAAGCAATTTATTAAATTCATAATCGACAACTCATTGATCTCAAGTGGGAAATATCCTGAGACAAGTTTCCGATCACCCACCAATAGTCAAAGGCCGTTGGTGGACAAGCCCAATGAAGTACGATCGTAAAATATTGAATTTACAATGAGAGTGGCCGTTACTTGATTAGTACGGAATAATCGATAGATTAATTGGCTAATGAAAAACAGAATAAGATCCAATAGATTTACATGGGAGTTGGAAAATTCATAGCACAACTATCGAAGAAGAAAACAGGGGACGTGTTGATTATCAATATCTTTATTGATTTTGTATGAGATTATAGGTGGATGAAAGCTTTAACATTAATCCAAGGATCTATTTTCGTTTTAAATTAATTTTATAGAAGGAAAAATCCAACTTATATTTCAATATTCTCTATCCGTATCAGTAGCCCAATAATAAAATACATTATCAATATGTCCTCAATAAAGCACGTCAAAGAATAAGTGACAAGTGCCTAGGTATTCAGAGCTTGTCACACTTTTAAATAGTTGGAAACCGGAACTGCCTGACTTGCTCGAGCCAAGTATCCTGTTTGGACGGTGTAAAAAATCAGAGATTGTTAATAATCTTGTAGCATAAATTCATTTGAAAACCATTTTATCATGCTAAGAAGCGGTTGTTTAGGGGAAGGGGCAACCTTGGTTCTGTTCTCAAAGCGTCAAGAGAAGAGAAAGAATGTACACGATTTTTAGTGTATTTAATTTGTAAGCTCTAGATATAGCAGTCTGATGTTACACGCGTAGTTTATGAATAGTTCCTTCTACCAGAAGGTACGGAGAATAAACAGGAATGTTACACGGAGGCAGAGGCTTGATCTAAGATACTTAGTTGTATAAAATTCACCTATTTTAAGGCCTGTTATATTGCTCGGCCCTACAAGGAAATTGCTGTAGCCTCCGTATAAAATTGTAAATAATTATTAATTCAGGACCTTTACATTTTGTTATATGCATTTGCAACCTGAATTCCACTGTTATGCCTTCTCTGTCATACTCACATGAAGATTCATTCCTCCATAATCACTGCTCTGGGAACAATACGACTATTCTAAACTTATGTTAAGAAGAACAAAACTTCCTTGACTTATTCATATATACCTTCTAGCCGTCACTCTAGCATTGTGAGATACATAGTTCCAACTATACTAGCACACTATGTAATTCATACTCGTCTCGTACTTTCTCCTCCAGCACAGTATTTGCTAAACTCCATGAAGATATTCATGTCTCACTGCTCTAGCACTATGCAATACACTTCTATTTGAAATATATCTCCCTCCTCTAGCACCAAGTGCCCTACAATTAACCAAAAACATTCCCCTTACCCTACCTCTCCTGCCAGTACCTCTTCTTCGCTACTATAGAACACCTCTTCCATCATCACCCATCCTCACTCACCCTTCATACCCTCACTACCCCCGTCGATCATTCGCACCCAGCCCCACCATTTTCCACACGACCCGCACCCATATTCAACACCAGTGCCAACCTTCCTCCACCCCAAGCATGTTGCACATAGAACAGAATAACCTCCTCATCAAACAGACCCTCACAGACAGGGTGCTTCCTGCAGAGGAGGGCCTCAAGTCATTGGACAGAATCATCACCGACTTCGACTTCACCACCTACCACATCTCCACCTTGCCTGACAACAAGCAGTTGATCTTGATATCCATCTATCTCAAGTGCTGGGACGACTTGGTCAAGTACGGCGTGGTCGAGTACCTCAACAGCAAGTATGGACTGTTCGAGGGCTTGACGATCCTCCTGGGGGACCAAATCGAGCCCAGCTACAACTACTCGTTAGTGTTGGACTTGGGCCAGGTGGAGTCCCAGGCGGAGGAATTGAAGCTCGATTTGGTGGAGCAGTTGTCGTTCTTGAAGAGAAACGCCATGGCGTCTGCTTTCGAGCAGGCATTCGCCAGATACGACGAGTTGGCCGCTCACTACGCCACCAGCAATACCTACTCCGAGGAGATCCAGGCAGAATTGCAGAACGAAGAGGTGTTGGTCATCAAGTACCGTGGCTCCGACGAGTCCATCTACATCAAGCCATCCTTTGACAGAGTGACTGTGGTGTTTTCCACCGTGTTCCAGGACGAAACCGACAAGATTTTCGGAAAGGTGTTCTTGCAAGAATTCGTGGACGCCAGAAAGAGATCGGTGCAAACTGCTCCGCAAGTGTTATATTCCCATAAAGAGGCACCTTTGGACATCCAGAGTGCTGTGCAAGGCAGCAGAGATGACGAAAAGAAGGGTTACATCACTTTCGTGTTGTTCCCCAGACACTTGGTCAAGGGAGACCGGAGAGAAAACTGTATTTCGCACATTCAATTCTTCAGAAACTACTTCCATTACCACATCAAGTGCTCCAAGGCCTACATGCACAGCAGAATGAGATTCAGAGTCAAGGAGTTCTTGAAGATCTTGAATAGAGCCAAGCCAGAGAACGTTGATGAGGAGGGCAAGGTTATCGAAAACAGAAAAACTGCCAGTGGTAGAAGATTCGTTGCTTAGGGTGCTGCTTAGAATTCAGTGGTGAAGATGCCACTGGTAGAAGCTTTGTGCTTATGCTTGAAGGCACACTCGGTCACCACCCAATGACGACATTCTACGAAGTCGGTGTTCCTAGTTCATAGACTTCCATTACTATATACATGACTATTGTTTAGGCTTTAGGCTTCTTGACACCGTACTTGGATCTAGAAGTAGCTCTGTTCGCTACGCCCGCTAAATCGTAAACTCCTCTCACCAAATGGTACTTGACACCAGGAATATCTTGCACTCTTCCACCTCTGACCAACACAAGGTGATGCTCTTGCAAGTTGTGGCCCTCGCCTGGAATCAAGGCGGAAATGACGTTACCGTTGGTGAGTCTAACACGACAACACTTTCTCAAAGCCGAGTTAGGCTTCTTAGGCTTGAGAATCATCACTCTCAACACCACTCCCTTTCTGAAGGGTGCGTTCTCCAAATCTGGGGCTTTGGAGCTGTATGGTTTTCTTGGCTGGCCCTGCTTGCCGTACTTGACTTGGTTCAAGGTAGCGTATCTCTTCTGGTCCATCAAGGTGGTGATCTGGGTGGTTATTGGCACGTTTCTGGCCACGGACTGTTTGTACAAGGATGGGGCCAAGCTGGCACGTGCCAACGGGGCGAGAGAGGTTCTTAAACCCCCAATCAATGATCTGAGCATTATCAACAAACGACGACGGTTGTATATCGTGGTAGACAGTTTAAAGTGAAAATTTCAAGCCCAACGACATGCCGCGCGACACGGCGACTTTGGTGAGTGTACGACATTTCCACCATGTCGCACCAAAAACTTCTCATCCACTCAAAAATAACCGATTACCTCCACCAAATCAATACCTTAGCCATGTTCAGAAATGCATTAATGAGAGGCCTCAGAGCGCCATTGGCTGCCAGACAGTCTGCTTTGCCACGTGTGGGTGCTGTTTACGCCCCTGCCAATGTCCGTTTCTACGCCGGATTCCCAGCATTAACCAGAGATGGTGCCAAAGAAAGAATCTTGGAATTGTTGGAAGGCTACGATAAGGTTGACACCTCCAAGGAAATCACCGAACAATCGTCGTTCGTTCAAGACTTGGGCTTGGACTCCTTGGACGTTGTCGAAGTTGTCATGGAAGTCGAACACGAGTTCAACATTCAGATCCCAGACAACGAAGCCGACAACTTGAAGACCGTTGGCCAAACCCTTGACTATATTTTGGCTCAAGATGATGCATGTTAAATGGGAAGGGGAGCCGTCGAATCGTCCACATTTGGCGGTCTTGAAATCCGTCCAAACCTGGTGAAATTGTTGGTGCTGCTCGACGAGTGTCTGCAGTTCTTGCCACTGTGTTTGCAGGATTTCAACGGTGCACTGAGCTTGCAATGCAAGTGTCTGTATTTTAATAGGAATATAAAAGAAAGTTAGCCTTGAGTAGACACATTTTGGATGAGAAACATTTTAGGTAGTAAGGATGTTTTGGATATCGACATAGTGAAGATCTGGATGTGAGGAAGAATTGAACAGTCCACAGTAGCAGTACGACGCTTCCTTTACTCAAACCACACCCTTACATTCCAGAAACCTTTAATTTGATATCACGTGAGCACCATCACGTGATGGTGCTCGGCCAATGACAGGCCTAAAAATTCACATCAACAATTTTCGAATAGTCAATATAGATCTACAAAATGGTTTCAGTAAGTACTGCTGCACAAACAGAGCAATGCACGGCGTCCCGCAATTGCAACACTATCAGGTGTCTGACCATATCCTTTGCTTGAAATAAAATTTTTCCTTCACTTCAAGCCATCCAGAAGTCACCAGGCAGGAATTTCACCAACACATTAAGAACAACAAGTATGATAAATTACATCTATGGTTCCCATCAAGATGACGTCCATATCGAAGCTTGCACAAAGCTACAACTTTCTGTCGACCCACCACGCCATTGCTCATCTCTTTGCTATCATCACATACTAACCTACAGTACATTAGAGGACCAGCCTACAAGTCTGCCCAAGCTTTATCCGGTATCAACGTCGCTGCCATCAAGGCCTACCTCCCAAACTTGGCTTTTTGGGGTGCTGCTGCCGGTGCTGGTGTTGCCACTTTCACTGAAGGTGTCCCATTGTTCCAAACCACCTTCTACGAAAAGATCCCATACTTCGGTAACCACTGGATCTACAACCCAGACCCAGAAGACATCCCAATCTAAATCCACGCATACATATTGGTGTATATCTTTGGCATAATATAGTTAATTTACAAGAAATGTAATGATAAATGGATCGAGACCACTTGGTAATATTTAACAAGATCTACAGTAGGAACAGCAGCGTAGTTTGACCCACCAATTTGATGGTATATTTCAAGAACTGTTGACGAGTTCCTAGGTTAAGCACGAATTATGGACTTCGTTTCTGGTACAACTAGAGAGCCAAGTAGTTTATGTGCACCATTACCACTGTAACCAATGCCATTAGCACATCCTGGATGGAACTGTCGCCATCCTTGTTGAATCGAAGTCTTGGGGATATACTCTTCAAATGTATTGTCCGGCTTTTAAGGTATGTACCGAACTTTTTCAGTGGTAACCCTCAGTATATACTCCCTATTGATCAACTGCTCCAAACTCTCTTTCAAATCAACAATGCTAACTGGGTTTCTCTTCTCTAAGATGTCAATCGCCTTCCCAAACAACTCCGATACTGCTAACTCCTTAAATTGCTTCATAATCTTCATAAGAACACTGCTAAACTCTTCCTTTCTGTTTTTCTCGATTTCTTGCACGATTTCACCACCACGTTTTGCAGCTTTGGTTGTGGTATCTTTTGCAAGTGGTATTCTTATCCTGTATGACTTATCTGTGAATTGATAATTGTAGTTGTACATATCATCATTTCTGATCAAAATCTTGTATCTTTCAGTAGTCAAAGATGTGAGTATTCTAGTTAATAGCTTGGTTTCCATGTTCGTTTTCTGTCGTATTTGTTTGAACAGATAACTGTCTGCATCATTAAACAAAAGAATTACCACCGCTTGAAGGAGATTTACTGATAATTCTTTAACCCCCTTCTCAAACTCTCCATGGATAGTCAACTGATGTAATGAATAGTTGCTCCAGTCAAGCTTTTGGCTCTTGTGTCTTTCATTCAACTCAAGGTATTTCGTGCTGAATGAATCCAAGATGGAAGATAATTGAGAAGGAATAGCAGCTTCAGTTTCAAGTTTGGGAATATCAGGCCACTTAGATTTATCTAATACCAATGGATTGAATTCAATAACGTCACTCTCCAATATGCTAGAGTATGAATCCCGAGATGTGATAAAATCTGTGAATAAAGCATCCAAACCGTTAGAGTCGAAAGCTCCAACGAGATCCATAATTGAATCTGCCAATTGTTTCTCTTGATCAAAGTTGGAATTTCTGGCGAGTAATAATCTTCTCGAAAGATCCTTCTTGTAGGGTATAAGGAAATCCTGTTTATTGTTGATGCATTTGAATATTACTAAAACATTTGACTTGAACTCTTCGAAAGGTATATCTGAGGATGTTTTTTTCGATGATGCCTTGAAGTAATTATCACAATATTTTGCAAGTTGTAGAATGACGAAGTTGTTGTTTGGGCGTTTGTTGAAGGCATTTGTAAAAGAACTCCGCAATTCAAATTCAAACTTCTCGTTTCCATTCAAACATTCACCAACTATGCCATTAAACTTGGTAAACAAATCAACTAACTCATGAACTAAAAATTTGGGCAATTGGGTTTTGTTGGAATCAATAATTTTTAACACCTTATTGGATATCATTTGGCCCCACTCAAGTACGAAAATTGGCATCGAGTCAAGAGCAAAAGCCCGCTTGGAACTTTCGCTCCACGAATACACCAGTCTTAGCCTGTAATGATATTCGGGTTCGACAAGATAAGGTAACACTGAGCTGATAAATGTCTTGAAGTCTTCGAATATTAAGATCCAATGGAGCCTTAATATGAGGTTATTGATAGATTTACTAGAGTACCCACATTCACGGTAATACTCTTTCTCCCTGGAAGCCCTACGTACGACTATTGCCAAGTAGTCTTCCGGATTTTCCCACCATGTTACCTTCAAAGTATTGAATTGTGCAATGATCAGGTCAACGAGAACAGTATCAAGATAGGCAGTGAATGTTCGAGTGTAGTTGAACTTGAGGATTGCCTTGGTAAAATCCTTGATAAACTGTGGATATTCTTCATCCCTCTGTCGGTACTCCGCTAGAATATCTGTGTGTAGCTTTAATAATATCATTCTATACCGGTGATTATCAATAAAAACATCATTTATCAATAGATCCATACCATAATTCAAAATCTGGCTTTTGGTAGCATGGTTCAAAAGGTAGGATCGATCCAAATATAAGAATAACTTTCGAATCAACTTTAACTTTGATTCCCAGTCTTCGAAGACCACAAGGCATTTTTCGATAATAGTTTGAGAGTTGTCCCACATCGACTCAAGTATATTGGCTATCTCCAACTTGGTGTGGTCCTGGTAGTGTTTGTCTAGTTTCTCGTAGATCATCTGGGTGAGCTTAGATCGTTCATCCGATTTCAATCGACAGTGGGACTCCACGAGCGTTGTGTATGTGTGGTAGCTGCGCTTCAACGGCAAATTGGCCAAAATGAGGTCAACCAACTCAGAAAGCGTGGAGCGCGATTCTTGGATGAAAGCACCCATGGAGTCCACGAATTCCAGGTCGTCTTCGGGCTTTTGTCTCTTTTTCGAGTCGTCAATTGCTGCGGAAACAAGTGAGGTGGGCTGTTCAAGCGTATTCCTGATTGGCTCGGCGGCTGTGAAGCTGAAGGCCGACTGGGGCGCCTTTAATGGGTCCATAGTGGATCGGCGTAGGTTACTCTGGGTCGACAGTAATGTGCTTTCTTTGGCAACAGTGGTAGCAGTTCTGAGGCTGTGGTCCAGTTCTGATGATTTCAGGCTCTTGGGTGAAACAATGTGGGAGCTGTAATCAGGAAGCAGTGGTCTATGTGCCGTATGACAGACCTTTAATCAGTATTACTGCTTCTGTCAAACTCAATCAGCTTCTCTTCTGCTGGCTAGATGGTGCTTCGTTTCTTCAACTGTTGCAACAGCCGCTAACTCCACGATTTTAAGGATGATCTAGATTCTGTCTGGTGAAGGCTCTTCTGGTGCTTATCGCCAGTAATTGTGTGGCTTCCAGTTACTCGAGTCGATTGTCCTTCGCTCAGGTCGTTTGTCGGTACAATCTGCTAGGCTAATGAGGTCTTGTCTCTGATAGTATTCTCCTTAAATGATAGGAAGTCGCGCCCAGGCATGGAAATGATCAAAATCAGTCTGAGGATCAGAACAACCACGACTAGAACAGGTCTAGGAATAGGAAGGCCACGGCTAGGAACACGACTAGGAACACGACTAGGAATATCACGTACAGGCAACCACGTCTGAACATCTACATCTGAATAGTACAGTCTAGGAACAGTCCAGGAACAGTCTAGGATTAAGAAGACCACGAAATCCCCCTACAACGTCTGGCTGGTTCAGACAACACACATCAACATTGGCTACCATCTCTAACTACAAACCGTTCGCCTAGTACGGAGATAACTATCTTTTGAATCCTCATCCAACAACCAGAGCTATCTCATTCCTACCATGAAAGACGCTCCAGAACAGGTCACCGACCCCAAGCAACTCACCACCGTCTACAAGAAGAACGGATCTTTTGACAAACAGCGCAAAGTTCTCTTGGAAAACTTCAAGCAGTCAGAAACCCATGCCAACCTCCTTCTCAAGCTCAAGCTCATGGTCGAAAGCAAGGTCAAGCAGGACCCCTCCATTCTCATGAAGAACAAAGGCAAAATCGCAGCGTTGATCCAGGGAGAAATCATCAACGAGCACCTCGGAAAGAACTCGGGTGGCAGTGGTGGGCTTCTCAGTATCGTCGACAAAGACATCCAGGACAAGATCATTGACTCGCCCGATTTCCACCAGGAATTGAAAACAGAATTGAAAGATATACGAAGGGTCATGATGGGAATCAGTGATGAGGAGTACCAGAAGCAACTAGAAGAAGAGAAAGCAGAAGAGGAGAAGGAGAAGAGAGAGGCCCAGACCCTTAGCGCAGTGAGTGACTATAGCTCGTCCAGCTACAGAGTGAAGGGTTTGGGTGGCAATCACAGAATATCCAAGCCTCCACGGTTCAACTTCTCCAGTAACAGACAAAAAGAGGAAGACAAAGATGGAAAAAACGGAAAGGTTCCTTTTTTGATGTATTAAACTAGTAAAACAGGTCGTGATGGTCTACCACCGCGAACTTAGAAGGGTATAACAATAACTACTGATCGAATAAATCTCGGTGGTAATCAGCTGAACTACTCATCGGTTTCGAAAATTTCGGTAGCAATCAACATCAACTCCTCAACCACCTTGGACTTGTAACTCAAGTCTTGGGGACTCATGGAGTTGTCGTTCAAAATAGCCGGTCCCCAAATAATAGCAAGGTTTTTGGCGGTCATTCGGTTGGCGTTTTGGTTGGATGCAACCTTGTTTAAGTGGAATATCAACGCCCGCAAGGTGAAATATGCACCGTCTGGCAAATTGAACACCAAGTGGTGCAACTTTTTGGCTATGAATGTTTCGTCCAATGACTTGACGGTTTCAATGAACGACTGGTAGTATTCCTTGGTCAATAATGGCTCGGGTAAACTGGCAAAATAAATCTTTAACAATGAAGCAACACAGTAGATGTCTGCATCTAGCACGTTATTAGGATCAATATTATTTCCAATCAATAAATAATTGGTGAACTGCTGGTCAATTGAATTTTTCAAGTTCTGGACAGTGGTCTTGTTCCCGCTTGTTCTGTAGATCCCTTCGATATCCATTCCATGGCTTTCTATGACTTCAATACACCTTTTGACCACCAAGGGGACGTTGTCTATACCCGCAAACTGAATGACGTCCTCCACAGAAACACCAAATGTGGGCTGTGTGTGCTGTGTCAATTGGGTATTGAGTGTCTTGGGACCGTTCAAGTCTGAGCCAGCCTTAGTGGATGGATCCAAAGATGAGTAGGTGTAATTGGATGGAGTTACCAGCTCGTTGATGCTGCCAGCTTGAGCAGTGGAGTTTGAATAGGAAGAATCAGATAAGGGCTGCAACGAGTTTGCTGGAGGAGATAAGTTGTTGATTGTGCTGGCCTTAGGCTGAGAGTTGATGTTCTTGGGGGCACTGTTGTTCAAGAATGGTTTACCTATCTTCTGAGTCTTAGCAACTGAGGGATGCATTGTGTATTCCACCGGTACCAACGATTGGTTCTTGTGGATGTTTCCATGCTTGACAAGGTAGTCGTAAAGATCCTTCTCATTATCGATGGAAGATGCTATTGATTTCATAGAACTTTTGGACAGCTGGATGGGGCTGATCAATACTCCTGAATTCATGATTAAGGTCTCGTTCCAAGTAGCAAACTTTTGTAGTTGTACGTTCATGGCGATGTCCATTTCTAACACCAAGTTCTTCAATTTCTTGGACGAGGTTGGTCTGTGGTTCATCAAGATCTCGTCCTTCAATTTCTTGCAGGTGGTGACTTTGAGCTTATAGTCCTGGTCTGCTAAGTCCACTTTTCTCTGCAAGTCATCCTCCTGCTGCTCGACGGTCTTGTTCTTCAAGGAAAACGACTTCTTGTTGGGGTCGGACGTTTTGAGCTTCTCCAAGTCCTCGCAGAGATGGTAGTACTTTTGCTTGGCCTTTTCGGCTGCGATGATGGAGTCAATGCATTCCTTTTCCTTCTTCTTGCCCTCGTCTCTGATGAGCTTTCTGGACCTGGAAATGGTGCCGATCAACGAGCTGAGCTCGTCGTACATTACGTTCAATGCCTTGACGTACGAGCTTCCTGCACCAAACAACTTCTCGTCAAACTCGATGATCTCGTCAAGCTTGGCACTGAACGAGTCGTTCTTGAGCTTGCTGGAGCCCTTGATGGACGCACGGGCCTGGATGCCAAACTTCTTCAATTGGCCGTAGTGTTCATCTTCGATCTGGGCCTTTCTCTTGATGTATTTCGCGAATTCTTCTCCTGTGGTCAAACTTTGCTTGAGACGGTTGAGGAGTACGTCCAAGGACGAGTCGCTGTTGAGGATATTCTTGATCTTGTCTTGCTCTAACAAAGACTCTTCCGACATTGTGTATTTGTTTTTGGTGGGGATCACGGTCTGGAACAACCGTTTTTAAGGATTGACGGGGGTACAGACGGGGGGATTGGAGTTGGAAAATGGCTGGCGTGGCAATTCCTGACGTGGGACGAATGGGGCTAGGGCCTGGTGAGAGGGACGACGTGGGTGACGATGGTGAACAAGGCTTGGGTGACGGGCGAGGAGTGACACTTTTTCGTGTTCGGTGAGAGGATTTACGTAAGCTTTGGTTTGTGTTTACGTAATCTGGGGTTGGCCTGGCAAACTCTACACGGCTACGGATTGGGCAATTGGGATCTAGAACGGTGCAGCTGGGGTCATTCTGGTGGGGCTCGGGCCGCACGTGAACGACATGCCCACCGTGATTCGTACTGTGCGTTGAGATAGTAGCTGTGAACCTCGAAAGCCGGCACTAGGGCGGGTTTTTGCGCTGTGACGTAACTGTGCCGAAATGGCCAGTGATCTAATAATAGGACTGGCAAAAGCGAGTGATGCTGGACAAGTCTACAAAGCTGTCGGTACTGACTATTAGGGAGATTTCCTGAGCCATAGCTATTTCCGTGCATTGATACCTGAAATTGAATATTCGGGTTTGTTTCTGGAACAGCAACTATAGGGTGCGATGATAATAAATATAACAAATTCATTTGATATTATAAAATCGGTTATGAATGAAGTATCATGAGATAGATTACCTAATATGGATTGACTTCCATTCAGGAAATGGTAGTAAGGATGTTGTAAATGGGACAACCAGATAGAGGTACACGGTCTTGTAAATGCAAAAGAGCACTAGTAGGAACAGATACGTAGAGTAGACTGAGGTGTTTTGTTAAGCAAATGATCTCGTAGTTTATATATGACTAAAGATCTCGTGATAGGTATCCTCACAGGCTAACTACCAATTTTATTGTTTGATTCTACCATTGAATCCTGATTGGATTCTACCTCGAAGTTGCTCCTCAACTACTTGAATGATGATATCATTCTGGCTTGTTGGTCTTGAAACACCGATCAAATGCTTGGCGTTTTCTTGGGCTAACAGCTGAGAGTAAGAGCTCAGAATAATGAAAGAATCTTAATTTTCACTAGGTAATTATTTCCATTAATATTTACTTTATGTAACTGGCCAGACAATCAATGTAGTATATTGATTGCAATTAGCTCTTTTGGTCTAGAAAAAGCCACTGGCTCTTTTTTCGTCGTCGTGGCCAAAGGCCTTGATGCCCTGTTCAACGTTGGCCACCGAGAACTCCAAGTCATCGGTGGTGATCATATCCCAGAACTTGTAGATCATCATGAAGGTAAACACATTGCACAAGCTTCCGAAGAAGAGGCCGTCAATGTAGTGCTTGGCACCGTTGCAAATCTGATTGCTGAAAACATAGGTCAAGATCTGGCCAGCAACAAAGAAGAAAACCCCTAAGCCGATGGCGCCCAAGCCCCAGTAGGTCTTCAAGGCAAACACGATCAAAATGACCTGCGAAACCACGTACGCGGCCACAATGACTGCATTCAATACGTAGGTGACCACGAACAACGCCTCGGTTTTCTTGTGGTTGAGGGCGGTGTTCCAGCTCTTGAAGGTGATGATGGCAATGAGGAAGTTGGCCACGAACCATGCGAACGCAAGCAACCGCACCGTCCACATGGATCTTCTGGTGCCGTCCTCCCAGAACTGGAAGCACAAGATACCATTGTACAAGAGGGTGATGCACGCAGCACTGGAAAGGCCTATCTGTACTGCCACGAAGTAGGCGTAACTGGTGCTGGAAGGAGGACACACACCACAGTCCACGATTAACGACGACACAATAACTCCAATCATGAGGTAGGTGAAGAGGAGCATCTCAGTTCTGCCGATGGCAGTGTACTTGGCACGGACGTTGAACACCACCACCAAGGCCACGATCAAGCCTCCGATGTGGACGAATGCGTTACCGATCTGGAAGATCATGGTGTTAGCGAGCTCAACTGATCTGGCGTAACACACGGGAAGGATACCCTTGGAGAAGAAGTCGTCCTGTTTGGCAGACGCCACCACCGAGCAGAGCGGGAGGGCTGTTTTGGAGCAGATCAGATCGAACGAACCAAACGCCATGGTGAGTTAGGATGTGGCTGGCGGGTGTGGATGTGGTAGGAGGGAGAGGGACGCTAACACGGCTGGAAATGGCGGGGGAAAGCGGAAAAACGGTGGAAGCGACGAATGGCTGGCGCTGGGAAGGTGCAGCTGGTGCTGGAAGACAACGAGGGTGGGAGTAGCGAAGGAGGCTAGTGGGAACAAGACGAGTAGAGGTCTTCGGATCAGGTTAAACGCCAGGATGGGATTGGTTGGCGCACGCCAGCAGAATGTTTTGGTTTACTATTTTTACCAGGCTGTGCGGAAGGAGCAGAAGGGGTTATGGGAAGTTAGCGAGAATTCGTGGGGGTTAATGGCGGTTAGCAGAAGCTAGGGGGCTGCTGGTACCGTGCGGCTCGCTGTCGGGTCATCGTGGCAAGTCTCTTGGTTCATCCCAGCAAGACTTTAAGTCCATCTGAGGGTCTTGTGGGACTTCCAGGCAGTGCTCATTTACCGAATCGGGAAGTGTAATCACGAACGCGGCCCACATTTGGATTTTAGTATCAGTTTATTTGTATGAATATGTTTGGGTATTTGAAATTTTCGGAAGAGCTGGTAACAACATATGTCTAGTGTCACTATTGGGTGAAATACGTTACAGTAGCATTATTAGGTGAGTATACGTTACAGTAGCATTATCAGGTGAATATGCTTCACAGAAGCATTATTAGGTGAATATGTTCCAGGCATTTGATTTTTGGTACCGGAAACCATCTTACCGTAATTCTTAGGTAGTTGAAATGTTACCAGAATTAATTGGTATAGCATTTTTGGGGGAATAGAAATTTTAGCATCTGTATACCGGGAATAATCTGTTAGGAAACGTAGGAAACGTATTATCTTATAATGCTTAACATTGAATTTTACAAGGAAAAATAGTCCTAGTACTTTATTAGGTGATATGTACCCTCTAAGGTGTTTCTTCGAATATGATTTATTCTAAATTCAAGAATATGTGAGATCTGAAGGTGGAGTCTCAATACATGAAAAACAGTTTAACTGTTTATTGTACCATGACCAGAACAGCTAGAGTCTCCTGGGAAATGAGCATACATTTCTCAGTCAACCTCTAATAGAGGGTGGGTACATCCATCTGTTTTCCTAGATACCTGTGGTTAGACAAAGCCTAGATTAACTGTTGGTCGTCGGTCAACGGACTATAACTTTTACACTATGAAGCTCTCATGAACATCAATGACATTTTATCAGCCCTATGAGGAATCACTTGCTCTGGTGCTGTGTTTATTGTATACAATCAAACCGGCCCAATTGTAATATACATGCCACTTCACGTAACAGTGGGGTATGTCCTCAGTATAATTTCCGGCTGATACAGTTAATTCGCAACAAATGTGCCTGCTGGTTAGTCCCCGATAAATCCCAGTACCTAGATCCAATAATGTAGCAATCAATTTAAGATCCGTATTCAAAATTAAAATTCAAAATTACAATTGAATAGATATTTTCCGTATTCTCATTTTCCTGGATGTGGCCATCCCATCTTGGTCCCTGGTGGCTTTTGTTCCTTTTTATGGCTCACACACAGTTGCCAAATTCCTTTTTCGTCTAGACTTTTCTGTTGTTCTATTTACTCAACCTTCAGACACTTTTCACACTGACAGTAGGCTCTGAATGCGTAAATGCAAGGACCAGCACCTACTGCTTTTTTTAGACTTGCCCCTGGGAATGTTGCTTGTCAATATCCCGAAATAGCCTGCATTTCGAACTGCTTCCTAATCTATACCGCATAAACCACACACAGTCCTGAAAATAATGCCTTTTATGCCGTCTAATTACGATTGTGTATTCTGTTTTTGTCTTTAGCCTTTTCTGATCGATTGTTTATTCTTGGTGGAAAAATGTATATCACTTGGCATTAACAATTCTTTCACTTAGTTTTGATCAGTATGTTGTTAAATCCCTGAATACTCCTTCTGGGTGTTTGGTTGCTTGCTCGGGGTACCAGTTTAATCTCATTTCTTGCCTAATTGGTCGGTTTCTTAATTGCTGGTATACTGTTTTAGTCTCTTTAACCACCCATTCTGCTTGGCCGAAGAAGTGCAGTGTTGCAACTTGCTTCATAATTCGCCATTAATGGAAGGAAGCATACCACTTGCTCATGTTCTTACACTATTTTCACTGGCAATCACCCTTCTCTTACTTATCAATTGTTCGATATCTCTACTTGAAGCATGTCTGACCTCTTCGCTGAGACTGAATACTCACTAGCAGCAATCGCAACCGTTCTTCCTTCTACGCCAGCTTGGCAACGCCAATATATTCACAAATATATACAAGAAATAAAACAATAAATAATCATAACGTCTTCGCGGTGCCATCACACTTGATATGGAGGAGGCGAGTCAAACTGGATCCTCTTGTCCTTCTCCTTTTCCATTGTCAATTCGTGGAGCTTGGAATTGATCTTGGCTATATCAAGATAGTTTATGGACTTCTTATGCTGCAAGTCTCTGTCCCGGAGCTCTTTGCGGAGAGGGGAGGTGGAGATGGGCTGGCTGTTTGGAAAATTAAAGTAGCTGGTGCCCAATCCGACGCTGGTCAACAACGACGAGGTATTGGGAGCATCATATTTCTCAGATTTCACTGGCTTGAAGTCATGGACTAATTCAGGGACCTCGGCCCTGAGCGGTGGGCGTTCGGCCTTAAGTTCAGGGTATGGCTTCATGAGCTCATGATACAAATCACGCGATAATCGGATAGGTTTGGGGTGAACCACAATAGGCTCTTGCTGCACAGGCTCGTTAATAAGAGTGGAAGTATCGGAATATTCGGATTCGGTCTCGGACAGCTGTGAAGTCAGTTCCGAAACCGGTACAGATGCAACGGGTTGGGTAGAGCTGGTAGTCTTCTTCTTGCCCAACTTGACGGTTCTTCTCTTTGGCCTCACCACATTGTTGTTCTTGCTGTTGTTCACTCTATAATAACTGTTGGTTTGAATGGTGGAAATTTCACTTAAAATGGTGTCAGTCTTGGAAAAGTTCTTGTTGATCAACATCTCCACAGGAATACCGTTGCTGTTTGCAGCGGGTCCAACCTCTTCATTCAAGATCGAGTAGAGTGAGTTCGACAAGTTCGGCACATGCTTGTTCAATTTATCTAAATGAGACCTTTGAATCACGTTCTTCAACTTGGGCACGTTCAAGCTGAGAGTTTCTCTAGAATTGAATAACTTCAAGTTCTTCTGTAAGTTTTTGGAGGAGTAGACAAACGGCAAATCCGTAGGCAATTGGGTAGTTCCCAAGTTCAAGTCAGCTGCCAAGTTTATGGAGAGTTTGGAGTGGATGTCGTTGATGTTGTCCAAGGAAAGGTAGTTCAACGAGAGCTGGTGGATCAACGTGGGTAAAGTTTCTCTAAACAAGTCTCTAATTTGGTTCTCAATTTGTTTCTGCAAGAAGTTGGCCAAGACTTGCACAGTGTCGAAGGTGGAGGATACCTTAATGGAGTCCAAGGGGTCATTTCTAAACACCAAAGTCAACCCTTTAGTCTTGCTGAATACAATAATACCAATCCCACTGATCTTGATGTCACTTAATTTCAAGTCCATGGGCAAGGCAAACTGCTCGTTGGATAACCCGAACTCGGGGGTCACGAAGGTGGAATTGCCCACCTCCTTGTCCAAACTGTTGGAGTAGTAGATGTTGAGCGGGTTGGCCTGGACCTTGGTGTGGAGAGTCAAGTGGAAGTCGCCCTCGTAGTTGATTTTGAAGATGCCTCTGAATCTGTCTCTGTCCAATTCGCCGATCTCGAGGATCTCGAAGTTGGGAGCTACCTTGCCGAAGTTGAGGTCCTTGATCAGAATGCCTGAGGCAAGGATGTTGGGGGACTTGCCCAGATTCAACGCAGTGGTCAAGAGTTCTTTGGTCCAGCAGGAGAAGTTGTCGGACTCCAAGGTGTTCCAGTTTACTTGGAAAGACATGGCGGGTCAGCTGGGGTTGAGGAAGCCGGTGGAGGCAGGAATGGGACGGTTTCTGAAGTCGCTGGGGGGCAATATAAGGCACAGAACGGGAGCCCAGATGGAACAGTCACCTGATGGTTGTGCTGGAGATTTGGGGCCAGAAGAATGGCTTTTGGGCTGGATAAAAAGGGAGGGTGTAGCCGTAGACGTAGCGGGGGTGGTGGGTGTACGGAACGTGGGGTGTGAGCGACTCGGCTCTTGGTGGTGGGGATACTAACTGGAGTGTTGTGATAGAAAGATTTTTTTTGTGGCACTAGTGATCACATAGACACAAAGGGGTAGCGTCGTGTGCGGCTAATTGCCTGCGCTAAAGTGCGGTCACCCGGGAGTCTGAGACACTGAGACACCCGGGCAGAACGGAGTGGTGGTACGATATGGGAAGCATGGTGGCAGTATAGCAGATGGGTTGCGGCATGGATGTTTGGCTTGTATTCCGAGGCATCCGTTGTGGAGCTATCTGGAGCGGGCTTAAAGTGTAGATCGGATATAGCAGTCGTGGGGTGATAATTAGCCCATTTGGGGCTGGAGTTAGGAGTGGTGGGGGGGGCAATACGCGTCGAATGGGCTGGTGGAGTTAGGTGCGGAAGTAGACATGGAGGCTAGAGAAGTAGGAGGATGAGAGGAGGTATGAGAGAAGACATGAGGGAGTGTGAGAGGAGAATGGGTTCTGGTGGTGGTATTGATGATAAAGATAGTCTAAGGTAGAATAAATTAGAGCTCTCTGTAGGTGTAAATTATGCTATTGGGACGATAAATCAGAGTGCAGTGCTAATTGGCTTATCTTATCATAAGTTAGTGTGGGCTATTTGTTTTTATTTGTGCTTGTACTTGGAGTAATATCGGTGATTAATTGGCTTGTGGTAGAATAATTTAGACTGCTCTATTTGTGTTCATATGTGCTTATCTTGCATAGTTGGCTATTTGTGTTTATTCTATTTATTATATGTTTGTGCTGCTTGGAGAGAGGTAATTATTGATAGGAGTTTTGATAATATACTTCAGAAGGCTTGGTCGTAAAGCTTCAATTCTTGGGGCTTGGCAGACTATGTAATATTGCCATTTGGACCGCATGCTTGACTAGAAATAACATGTAAGCTTACTTTTGCTCGATTTACGTTTATTGGCTCCGTTCGGATGGATTTCTCGGCATCCTCATGGCCTTATGGTTATGTAATTTATTCGCACCCATACGGAAAAGGTGGGACCGCAGTCATTTTGTAGATGGAAGCTGGACTGATGCCTGCCTGCTCTTCTCGCCGCCTTGAGGGCCACCCCCGAAGTTGCTCTTTCGCATTGCTTGGACAAATTCAAGATTAATGATTAGTCACTTGAAAAATAATTCATTCAGCTTATCACCAGAAAAAACGTTTCGTAATTCTAGACTAATGAGTTTACTAGAAAAAACGTTCTAGTCTACTTCATTTTCGAATTTGTCAAATTGTTACCATTCAGAGCACACCCCGTAGTACTAATACTTGTGCACCTTGGAGGTAACAAAAATGCTCTCTCTTGTTCGGATTCAGAGGATTGGGTCCTTTTGAAGTATGGATGTTTACAGACCATAAATAATCTTAGAAACAACGCAATGCTGTCATAACAGAGCATCTGACTAAGCACCACCTGAAGGAGCCTCCGGCCTATCAGGCCATACAAGGCTAATCCCGAGTGACAGCTTTCGCGAAATGACAGTTCCAGTCACGTGACCTCCGCTATAACCACAACCGATGCCCAACATTGGCTCTCCAATGGTGTCAACGGACGGCAACATCTCCCCCAGCGTTCCACAGTCGGTGTTCTACACTTTCACCCTGACTCGGAGCGACGGAGTCCCCGTCTACTTCTCCCAGCTCCGCAACAAGGTCGTGATCGTGGTCAATGTCGCCAGCCTCTGCGGATTCACTCCCCAGTATCAAGAATTCCAACAATTGCATGAAAAGTACAAGCACCGAGGTTTGGTGATTTTGGCATTCCCGTGCAACCAGTTCGGGTCCCAGGAGCCCGAAGACGCTCTGGCAGTACAGGCGTTTGCCCACAAGCATTACGGAGTCACTTTTCCGATCATGAATAAGTTACTGGTGAATGGAGACAGGGAGTCGAAGTTATACAAGTGGTTGAAGGATGAAAAAAAGGGCGACATGGGGTTCCGAGGCGTGCGGTGGAACTTTGAGAAGTTCGTGGTCAATAAGAGAGGCCAGGTAGTGGCACGGTACCCGTCGGGAGTCACTCCGCTACAGTTCGAGTCACAATTGGTGGATTTATTAGATGAGATATAATACAATGGGTGGGGATCAAGATGCCCGGCATAATACTGGAAATGTCTCGCGGGTCTGATGCTTCGCTTCCGGACAATTGCTCCACATGGAGTGTCTAGATACCCATGAAATCCATTCTGATTAATTTTAACCAATGGAGGTTCCAGATACAAGATAGAAAATCTAGTCGTTCCGCATACGTCGCCTCACCCCGAAACAGCCTTGGCCTTCTTCTTGCCCTTGTCCTCGCCCTCTCTCTTTCTCTTCCCGTTCTCCTCCTTCTCGGTCTCTGGGTGTAGTTCCTTAGCAATACATGCCAATAATGTGGAACATCTTCTCGACAACTCGCTCGGATTTCTGCTCTGGAAGAAAAAGTCAAACTGGAACAATGGCGAATCCCGAATGGCCTCCCTAATCCGCTCGTACAAGTCAGGTCTGTCAAGCCCGAATCGGTACATTTGGATCAAAAGGAACCTGTCCTCTTCATCGCTGAACATTCTTTTGTTGGTGGATGCTGGAGGATACTTCAATACTAATTCTTGCAATGGATATTTGTAGAAAGACAACTTTCTCCTTAAGGCTTCCTTCTGTAACTTAACCTTGGTAATCTTTTCCTCGCCCAACTCAATTTGGTTGATGAACTTTTCGTACCCGTCAATATCTTGATAGTTTTTCCAGAATGCCTTGGCATAGTCTCTGACTTCATCAATAGTCTTCTCTTCAAACTCGTTCGCAATGGCCGAAATCGAATTTCTGCCGTGCTTGGCACTTACCACAATAAAGTGGGTGAAATCCCTTCTGCTCCAGCTACTATATCCTTGGCCCAAGAGCTCTTCTTTCAATGCTTTTTCTTCATCTGTCAATGGTCTGGAATTATCAATTTCTTCTTGCTCAATCTTTTGTTCTAATTCCCTCTGGGCTAAAGTATCTGGCTTCCCACTTTTCAAAATAGCCTTGTACTTGGTCTGTTTCTTGTAGTAATTCTTTTCCAACTCATGAAGCTCAAATAATTTGTTGGGGAAGAATTGATGGTCATAGATGTTCAATTGCTTGGGTGGTCTGGGGCCTGATTTTGCAGTATTGGAGGTTCCGGTTCTGTTTCCTCCGGTATTTAATACATCTTTATAGTACATATCAATCGAGTAGTTCTCCTTTCTCTCTCTTTTACCTGGGTTAATCCACGCATGTCCAATATTGGTGATGCCGGCACTGTCTTTCTTTTTGAAATTTTCTCCATTCCACTCGTAGACAGACTCATCATTAGTAAAATTCTGAAGGGCATCCAAGTTCAAGGCCGCGTACTTTTGGTTTAATTCTTGCGTCTTGTTTTCGGAAGATTTCAAAAGTTCTTCAATATCGACTTCGTCTGATTTGTCACCATCATTACCGTTGAACACGTCGCTAGCACCGAATTGAATCATATCCAATAAGTCACCCTTGTGAACAGCCTTGTTCTGGTGTCCTTCTAGAACACCACCATTTCTGCCCTGCTGAATCACCAATTGATCCAAACGTAATTTTTGGGCAGCTCTTTCCAAAACCTTCTCTTCAATCGCATTTTCTGTGATCAATCTAAAAACCTTGACTTGCTTAGTTTGACCGATTCTATGGGCTCTGTCCATAGCCTGAAGATCGGCTTGAGGGTTCCAATCTGAATCAAACAAAATAACAATATCGGCACTAGTTAAATTGATACCCAAACCACCGGCTCTGGTTGTCAACAAAAAGACAAACTTTTCACTTCCAGGCTTATTGTATTCATCAATAGCATTAATTCTATCGGAGTGTTCTGTTTGACCATCAATACGACAGTATTGGTATTCTCTGAAGAAGCAGTAATCTTCCAAAATGTCCAACATTCTACTCATTTGAGAGAAGATTAATACTCTGGAACCTTCCCTGCGGAATTTCTTCAAGAGCTTGTCAAGAATAATCATTTTTTGGGAATTGAAGACCAAATGTTCATCAGTGGTGAATGGAGGGCCAGGTTCAGCACCCTCGAATAAGTAAGGATGGTTGCAGCATTTTCTTAATTGCATAACAATATTCAACAATCTTGTCTTACTCTCTCTTTTACCATTGGCACCATTGACTGCATCGATATCCTTTTCTAAAATCTTTTGGTACCATTTTCTTTGCATATCACTCATTTTGACGTAGACATTCATTTCTTGTTTGGGCAATAACGACTTTTCAACGTCTGCCTTAATTCTTCTTAACAAGAATGGCTTTAACACCTTGTGCAACTGCGACACAATATCTTCTTGAGACTCGTCGGTTTCTTCCGAGCGGCCTCCTTGGAACCATTCGTCGAAGGACTCGTTATCAGCAAAGACATCAGGCAATATGAAGTTCAATAAAGCCCAAAGTTCCCGGAGGTTATTTTGTAATGGGGTACCGGTGATCAAAAGACGGTTCTTACTGTGGAACATTCTGATGATCTGAGATAACAAGGACTCCTCGTTCTTAATTCTGTGCGCCTCGTCGATGACAATATACTCCCAATCAAACTTCTTGAAGGTAGCCTTCTCCTTAATGACAATTTCGTACGACGCAATCACCACGTCGAAATCGCACAGCATGACTCTGTCTTGCAACAACTGTTGTCTTTGGTCCTTGTCACCCTGGATGACCAATACGTTCATTTCTGGTATCCAGCGGTTGAACTCTCTCTGCCAGTTGTCCAAAGTGGACTTTGGCGTGATGACAATGTGGGGACCGTTGATGCCCTTGATGTATCTGAGGTAACCCAAGAACGAGATTGTCTGCAAGGTTTTACCCAACCCCATTTCATCTGCCAAGATTCCCGACAAGTTGTTTTCATGCAACGCAGCCAACCAGTTCAATCCTTGGATTTGATACGGACGCAACTGGCCGTCGACGTACCCAGGACTCTCGGTGAATTCTGTGATCATTGGAGTGTCGACTTCATCCTTCAAGAGCTCGTCATCTTCCTCCTTCTCGGTTTTACGTCTTCTGGCGCCAGCTCCACTGGCACTGTTTCCCAGATTGACCTCGTCGAGGATTCTTCTGAAGAGAGGATCCTTGTTGGCCTTGGCCTCGATGAAGTGCTGGAACAACGACGTCAATCCGAGCAAATACTTGAATCTCTTGCTGGTTTTTTCGATGTCAACCACCGGTTTTTCGGTTTTGGTGAAGTACTTGGTTTTGTTGTTGGCAATGGAGAACGTGTAGGCCTGGGGAGGCTCGATCCCCGGTGTATTCTGGACGTTAGTATGGTGGGAGAATAAGTGGGCTAGCGGGAAACCTTCACCACGATGGTGCCAGCACAGGGCTGGTGGGACGCGTTGAGATGCCACGGCAATTGCGCTGTGGCTCGCGTGGTACGTACTCTCTCTGAACTCGACATCTTGTGGATGTTGTAGGCGTCGAGGATTGCTGATGAAGTTGGCTGTAAATTGATGGTAGTAGTGCGCGTAGTGAAAATCCACGTTTTGGTGTGAGCACCACTGGGAAGCTTATGGGGCAGAGAGAGATAGAGAGAGAAAGAGAAGGAGGAAAAAGGATAGCAGAAGAGGGAGGGATTCGAGATTCGATTGGCTGGACTGGCAGGACTGGCAGGATGGAACGGATTGGCTTTGGTGGCCAGAGCAAGCAGTAAATGCGGATGGGCTGAACCGAGAAGACGCGTCGTGGTTGGCAAAAAGCGAAACGAGATTTTCTGGAATAGATAATCAAGGAGGCAGATATCATGTAAAGAACGCCAGTAGCGGTGAAGATTATTTGGTAGGCACCAGTAGATATAGATATACAAGGTGAGAGATAAATATGTAACAAATTAATTAACATGAAAATCCATGAAATTCATAATTACCTGAAAATGATGTTCGACAGTAGGGCGAAGCATGGCAATGGACTGTGTCCCTGGGGTGTTTGGAAATACCTAAGTGCTGTGAAAAATCGAGAACATTAGGAGCTTTATTTTATGTAAAAAAAACATTAGATTTGAAACTGAATCGGTTAAAATATAAAACTAATTGTTGGTGGAATTCTGGTACAGTTTTGGAACTGTTTCGGTTCAAAATAAAATAAATATTGTTAGTGGGATTCTACGTATGGAGGAGCAGGACTAGCGCAGAAGGGGTGGATTCAAAGCTACTCTTCGGTCCGTGAGGAATTCTCGCCCATCCAGTGGTGAATACTCCTCTGACATCCTATCTGGGACTTCTTAGTCTGTATGATCACTGCACATAGAACTTTGATAGTGAAAGTTGTACAATCCTGGAGAAGAATATGCCTCTTCTTTACCTGATTGTTGTTTGGTGAGCTCTGCAAGCCTTGCTAGCGACTGCTACAATTGCCAAATAATTGACATTTATATTTTCTCAAATTCTCGTAAAATGGGTGCAAATTTACAATGCATGCGAAATACTTCCAATTAGGTCAGTACTAGATCAAGGGAAGCACGGATAGAGTTTCCCAAAGAAGTGAAATATGATGGGTTATTGCCATGAAGGGTATTTCTGGGCATTTGCCCAGTGAAGGATGCTTAGAAGATTGTTCATATTTGGGATCACCAGGAAGCCAAGTTTCACAGATAGCGAGTATGTAAGGCAATTGCTCATACTTGAGGTCACCATTCCCATATAGTAAAGGGATATTTTTCATAATTGGGATTACCAATCCACGTTTCCAGAGAGTAGTGGGTTTAAGTCCATCATTGAGAGGCATCCAGATAGTGAGAATGCCCCTGGTATTCATTTCCCAGTAACACCCTTAGTCAAACCCATCATTTATCTCGAACTCACCCACCCGGAACTTGGCTTCGTTGCGCTTCTCGTAGCCCTCCCTGTTGTGGTAGTCTTGAACCCTTTTCCTGACGTACTCGGTTCCGCCGATAGGCTTAGTTTCTCTGTAGAGTCCCAATCTCTTCAACAAAGGCAGGGGCGCCACCTCGATCTCGGCATTGTCTCCTGGACGCACGAAATAGAATGCACCAATCCTGGGAGCGTCGATCTGGTCTTGGGGTGGTCTCACCACCCGGTGGATGGTGGTCTTGAAGTAGCCTCCCGACCAGAAATTGAGGGTATCGCCTACGTTGCAGATGATTCCTCCCAGCACAGGCTTGACGTACTTCCACTCGCCCGTGGAGAGCTTGATCTGGAGGCCTGCCACCACCTGGTTGAACAAGAGGGTCAAGGTGCCAAAATCAGTGTGAGCACGAGACCAGATGTTTTCCACCTGGGCGTCGTCCTCAGCCGTGCGAGGCGTGTACTTGATGTAGCGAAGCGAGTCGTCGCTGGGGTCGTCGTACAAGTGTCTGGACACGAAGTAGTCCTCGTCGAGCTCGAGAATGAGCGCAAAGAGCCGGAGGAGCTTGTCAGCCACGCCAAACGCTTTGCGCGAAATGTGTTCCAACTTGCGCTGGTGGTTCTGGATGAAGTCGTTGGCGTGGTACTGAGAAAACCGGCCGTCCAGCGTGAACTTGGCGATGTTGAACGTCTCCAAGTTGTCCCTGACTTCCGTGCCGAACAACGCCTTGTTGGCAATGGGCTTGTAGCCAAAGTAGTTTCCCGAGGCAAAGTCCACCTCCACTGCGCGTTTCTGCTCCAAGGTGTAGTCGTCGAAGAAATGCTTACCATAGGCAAAGATTTCGAAGATCTCTTCCTCGGAAATGCCGCTGTTGGTGACAGCCCAGAACCCGTCGTGGCTGCTGCCATGCTTGAGGGTCTCAGCGAGCTCTTGCTTGCCACCAGGCTGGTCCCACTTGCTGAGATCGACCAATACGAGCTCTGCCCAGTCCAATTGCTGGTTTGTTTCTGGAGGCAGGATCCATGGCTGGGGTTGAGGGGTATCGACAGTCATTGGGGAGAAGTCGAGAAGTTGCAGAGAAAGAGTAGAGGGAAGAGAGAACGAGAAAGGACTACAGAGGCAGCTGTGCTTTATAGCGGGTGTGGCTGGAAGGGAGCGATTACGGAAGATGGCGGGCTTTATAGCGGGTGTGGCTGGGAACAGAAGCTTATTGAGAATCACGATACTAGGTAGATTGGATCACGACAAAGCCTGTGTAATAGCTGAAGCTGGTAGGGGGTTGGGGGCGCCACAATAAGAGCCCAGCACGTGACCCGCTAATCCGGACTAATTGGGTGCAGCATTTAGTCGAGGCAGGGATAGGGCGTACATGCAGGTGCATGATGCTGAAGCACAGACATGCCTGACGGAGAAAATACTCGGCGAAAATGTACCTACTCAATAGCATCTCCGAAACTGCGCTGGCACGTGTATGCACTGCCAAAACCATAGGCGAAACGGAAGTAGTGCCCACCACTATGGGCACAAGACTTGGCTGCAATCTAGTCACGGCGGGCCCCTAACCCGACTAGCACCTGGGTCCATTCTCCAGGGCCAAGACCCCGTCCTTCAGTGATGGGTCAGACACCTGATTCTCCCTGCTTGCTCCCCCACTCCCTGGTGCATGATTTGCGTGCAGATCCTCATGCAGATATGCCCACGTATTTTCAGACAGACGGCGATCACCCTGCTTATTATCCTCACTGGTATTATCTTGATGATCCTGTACCGTTCGGTTGTATTGGATGGCCGTTTTGGACCCATCTTCCAATTATTATCCCTGCTACCGTTACAGTTGCCTGACATCCTGTGTGGAAGCATGGAACTACTAACTCCGAGTTCCTCCTGAAGCCTCGTCTTCTGCCAGATGCGCCCCACCAGCTGTCGGACGAGTTCTTTGCGAATCTTCGATTGTGAAGCACCGAACGATCGAAGGCTGTTGGTGGACAAATCCGGCCCAGAACCAAACTCTAAAACATGGCTTGGTTGCAACAAATGTCTGGGCCCATGCCACGACACCCAGGCCAGAATTCTTGGAATCTCATACTGGATACACCCGGTATTAATTATAATAGCCGAAACTTCGCAAATGGAGGCATGTTGAACGTTAGCATATTTTTTTGTGGGTGCCTCTGAAACTACTACTTTATGTGAAACGGACGCATATTTCCGCGGCAAAACACCATACTGGGCAATAAACAGTGGTCACATTTGGGCCCGGACCGAGGTTCGTAAGCCATGCGTTTCTTTTGCTGCGATTCTTGCACTGTGTGCCTCCACGCCTGCCTTAGAACGGTTTCGGGTTAAGCGGGTTTGAGCGGATTTGGACGGAGTTCCAATGACCGGACCGGTTTGGCCAACGTCATCATCCAAGTATTACGAGGCATGAGGCATGTGTCCAGGCTTCTACAGGGAACTCGCCGCAGCACGATGCCAGCCGTATGTCCGATATTTTTGGTGTCCGATCAGACAACGTCGCAGCTGCTCGTCACTCCTCGTGTAAGCTGCACGCACTGTAGTGGTGAATCGACAGAAGCACCTGCAAGCACTGTAGGCAGCCGGGAGAACAAAGCAGATCACCGGATAGGAAAATAAGGTTCTGTAAAGAATGCATTTGATGGCTAAACTATGGCGATTTGGCTGTTGGCATGGGCTTGCTGGTGGGCTGACTTTGAGGTTGCAGCCCTTGTCTTTGTCATGCAGGCTGAGATCGAGTATTTTCGCGGAGTTGATAGAACCCCTAAAAATACATTTAGGGAATGTATTGCGTACTAGGAAATTTGGTGGAAGGGTTCGGCCTGGGCGGAATTAGCACATAATTTTGGGCGTTTATCTTACATATGCAAAGCTATGCACATTAGCCTATTTGGAGCGAGTACCTATTCTGATACCAAGCTAGCAAGCATAGGCAATCGAATTATCTAGTTCTTGGTCAGCCTGCATACCACGGAGGCGCCCGAAGTCATTTATAATTGGAAACCTTAACAAGTAGCTCGACACTCAGGGCCCGAGGTCAAAAGAAATCCGAAGTCTAGACACAGCATTAAAAAATAGTTTTAGGTACATCAGATGAATTTAAGTTAAGCCTCGCGCTCGCAACCGTCTTGGGAGCTTAGCAACTGGGTGCCTTTCCAGATGCAGCAACACCAGCTATTGCAACATCAACAATGCCCACGGGTGCAGCAGGCAGCACCATCAGCAGCACCATCAGCAGCACCAATGCATATTAAGATTTAGGGTCGTATTCGCTTGCAGGGGCCAGACTTGGCCCACCATCTTGCTTCGATGCCGGTTTTGTGGTCTACATCCTCTTAGAAAATACTCCCGTGGTATTTGTATTACTATTGTCATTACAGTTGGTCCCCAACATATGGTTGGGAACTTTACCTATTCATCCTTGGAACAATGTATCTTGTAAAGAAGTCAAAAATGAGTCTAATCACTTTGAACGTCTTCTCCGTTTCTTGCCACAATCCTCTTCCTCCTCCTCCTCCTCTATTCTCTCCCTCTTCTTAAGATTAAACTTGCTGCTTGCATTTGCATGCACCAACTTTAAATGGCGGGTCAAACTGTCACGGCGATAAAATCCTTTCTTGCAGTCACTGTGCTCACAGACAAAAACAATCGAGAGTAACTGTTGCGAGTATTTCAGCAATTCCGGCTTTACATAGCCCTTGGCAAAGTGGTGAGACACAACATGTTGCTTGAGGAGTGCCTTCTTGTTGTATCCCAAAATGTTCATGGGGCAGTCGTCAATGGGACAAATGAACGACCGTGGACAGTAGCGAATAATCTTGTGTTCGTCGTAGTGCTCAGCCAACTCAATAAAGTCCTGGAAGACGGCCGAACAGTGTTGTCCACATTCCATCTCAACCTTGCCATACTTGATAGACAACACTTCGTCCCTGGAGAACTTTTCCAAGAGACGGTCCTTCATGGGTCTGGTGGCTTTGAATCCACTCGAGGCCAGCGGGGTGGAAATAGAAGAGCCAGTAGAAGACGTGGGAGACATGGGCATCATCTGGCCGTGGGCCAAGATGTTAACGCTGGAGTGGCGCTGGGGAAATGCTTTGGTGAAAGCTTTGGCAGCCAAGTCAATCGCAGTAGTGACGTCCAAAGAGGGAGTAGCATCAAACACCTCTGTCTTGGTGGACGAGCGCTTCTTCTTGTGTCTGTTCTGGACCTGGTTGTCGATCAACGCACAGCGTTGTTTCTGGAGTTGTATCTGCAATTGTCTCTGTTGCTCCTCCACAATCGACAACTCGGTGCTCATAGAAATCGGGTCGGCTTTGATCCCGCCATAGCTCTTGGGACTGATTTCATGGACGTTGCTAGCTGGTACCACCTGGAAGTCGTAGTTGAAGAAACCGTCGTGCAAGCCGTCGCCTCCCATGTTGTACAACAACGAGTTGTTGGTGGCTTGCCCCATGTTGTCGTACATGGTGTCCAAGAACAACTGGGCCTCAGGCGAGGTGGGAGGAGTCACCGGAGCCGACTCTCCCACAGCACCAACAGCAGCCGCTTGTGGCTGCAAGCCAAAGGTGCTCATGTTGTAGTCCAAGGTCTGCCCTCCTGTGGCAGAACTTACCACCACAGGAGATACCATCAGTCTCTTGTTAGGCTGAGCAAAGAGATTCTGCCCAGGCAGCGACGCAAAGTATTGGTTCATGGGGCTGTTCTGGCGGTATGACTGGCCAAGCTTGAGCTGGAGGTTGATGTTGTCACGGACCAACCCGCTGGTGGGGTTGAAGGTGAGGGTGTTGTCAAGCAAGTCTTGTTGTGGTAGGGTATTGTTGTTGTTGAGGGTGGTGGCAGGGTAGTGGTCAAAGAGTTCTGGGTGTAACGAGGAGTCGAGGAAGGCAAGCGTCGAGTTTTCCATGCCCTGATAAGAGGTAGCAAACACAGGATACAGGGTAGCGGAAGTGTCTGAGGTGACGTCGGAGCCGAAGCCCGAGTAGGACGACGAAGACTGTGGTGGTTGGGTATGGTACATGGGTCGAAAAGAATGGAAGTGATAGACGGTAAGAAGTGAGTATTCACAGAATTCGATGGAGTAAAAAGAGGCGATAATTGTTGATAATATATAGTCAGATCTCACGCAAGATTTATCTTATCGAGTTTGTTTGTAAAAGGCTGGGGAATAATTTTGCAGACGCCCAGCAAGAAACAAGAAGGAAAATATGCAAGTCTAAAAAATTCGGGGTGACAAGGGCACATACGCATGCAACCTAAAACTAACAAAGCGTTTACGATCGAGACAATCTACGCATAACCCTGCAGCATAATGTGGCCCTGAGCCTGCCGCCTTTATTATTTGCATCACTGGGGATGGCGCGTATTGGGTTACCACAACACGCCAGTTGCCACCAAGCACTCGCAACCAGATGAAACAAATAAAACCTGCTTTGTGAGAGCCGCTAATAGGGTTGGCTATTGTAATAAGGTTATGGCAGGTCAAGCCGTTGCATCTGCATCATACGATTTGGCGAAGCCCGGGCGAGCAAATCCCGCGGTAGTGTGCCGAGGTTCGCCGTAAAGCCGTGGTCTAGGGCTGCAGCCACCCATCACGGCCAGACTCCAGACAGACACTTGCACTGGCATCGAAACGCGGGATTTAGATATCGGTTACGTTGCACACCGCCCTGCAGCTGCACCCTGGTAGCCCAGCATAACTGGAGGGAGGTAATCAGAACGAGTACGCACATTTTCTTTAATAGGCATGTACAGTACCTAATATGCACTGGGTGGTAGAAAGGGTCCAGTGCACGTTCCCCACACACATCACCTGTCTGCAGCATAATTACGAACAGCACCAGATTCTGCTCAGGGGCGGCGCGCCGCAAGGCTACAAATCCGTGAGGCATTTACTGGTGGCACCTGGAGGCTGGGATGGGGCTGGTGTTGTTGCAGCAAGAAGTACACCTACGCAATGGAGGCCATCTACCAAGAATAGCCAGACGCTTGCCAGCTCCAGCCTCCAATGGTGGAAGCCGCTAAAACCTAAAATTGGATAATTTTACACCCCTGGCAATTATGCCGCGACCCTCTTTGTCTTTTCAGGCACTTTTACAACCGAATCCCAGCCGCCTGCACAGATAGCCGCACACAGTTACGTACCGGTTGCAAATTAAGGAGCTGTCCACCCCCTGCAAGCCTGCAAGGCCTATTTCTACATTGAGCTATATTGTCTGTATTGAAGTGTCCGTCTGGACCTAAATGGTAGACTCGCTGTCGGTCTTGTGGGTGATCACGTCACGGCGTCTGCCCTCGTCCAAATTGACCTCGCTCAACTTGACCCACTTGGTGCGGTTGACTAGCTTAAAGAAGACAAAGAGCACCCCAAAGAAGGGCAACAACACGTACGCATCCACCCAGTTACCAGCATCAAAAGGCTTGAAATACGACCACCCTTGGATGAGCGCCAAAAACACATTCAACACAATTCCAAGAATGGGAAGGTACGGGTACCACAATCCCTTATAGGGAAGTTCGTCCACAGACCGGCCCTGCAACTTCCACGCCTGTCTGAAGCGGATGTGGTAGAAACACACGTTGCCCCAGACAATAAACACCGCCACACCTGACAAGTTGACGATGTAGTTGTATGCGTTGGCTGCGCCGGTACTGACATTCATCATCGACAAAAATCCGAACGCGTTCATGAGAATCACTGCCAAATACGGCACCCCCTGCTTGTTGACCCGTCTTAACACTTTGGGTGCGGAACCTTCCGCTGCAAGGTTGACAATTGTACGCGACCCGATATAGATCGAGCTGTTGATGGCACTAATACAGGTGACAAGGATAAACGCGTTGACCAAGTGGGCGCCTCCCGACCAGCCTGCGTGGGTGATGGCGATGGTCATGGGCGACTTCAACACCTTGGTGGAACGAGCTAAGGCCGGGTCGTTGTAGGGCACGGTGATACCGTAGGTGATGGCAATTCCCATGTAGATGACCAAGATTCTCCAGAATGTCTGTCTGATGGCGCGCGGAATGGCCTTGGAGGGGTTTGCAGCTTCGGCTGCAGTGATCGCCACGATCTCGGTTCCCGAGTAGAAGGTGGACGCAAACACAAACGTGTTGACCACGCTCTTGAACCCGTTGCTGAAGGGGCCTGGGTCGTTCCAGTAGTGGAACCCGAACGCCTTGGTGCCGCGGATACCTCCCGCCACGTACACGATGGAGAAGATGTAGAAGGCCACGATGCCGACGATCTTGAACAACGCAAGCCAGAACTCGGCCTCACCAAAGGCTCCCACCCCCAAAAACTGGAACGCAAGGAACGCAAACCAGAAAATGAGAATGTAGCCGTAGAGCGGTACCTGCGGCCCCCAAAACTGCAAAATGGCTGCCACTGTGTTGTATTCGTTGGCCAAAACAGCGATCCAGATAATCACGTAGTTCCAGCCCACGGCGCCTCCGTACGCCCTGTCCACGAGCTTGTTGCCCAAGGTGGAAAATGTGCCTCCCGTGGGATACAAGGTGGCCAACTCGCCCAACGACTGCATCATGGTGAACGCAATCAATCCCATGACGCCGAAGCCGATGATCAAACTTGCAGGGCCGTTGGACAATGCAAACGACGCACCAATGAGGATTCCGGGCCCGATGATGCCTGCAAGGGCAATGAGCGAAATGTGTCTATCTTTGAGCTGACGCTTCAAGTGGGTGTTGTGGTCGATGAGCGAGTCGTCCTCGACGACCGACGACACGCCGGTGTGGATGACGTCGCTGTCGTCCTTGTCTTCTGACTTGAAGAAGGGCATGTCCACGAGTAGTGTCTGGTCGTTATGCGCAAGTGGCGTGTTGACTGTCTGAACTGTCAAGTATTATGCCACCGGTGATGCCAAGTGTGTTACTGTCTGGTGACTTTTGGTGTGTTACACTGTCTGTCTGGTGGTATTATTCCAGGGTCTGTCTTGCTCCACAAGTGTGTTCACTGTCGGTGTGTTCACAGTATATCCTGTCAGTAGTAGTGTAATTCACCCAGCTCTGTACTCACCCAAAAACAGCCGTTTCCTGTCTTAAATAACCGAGCATCGCATCCACACTCATGTAAATTAAGGCGAAATTGTCTGCCTATACACACTCCAGGGGCGGCGCCGCCCAAGTTCCTATCCTGACGGCCGGCCGCTGATTCTCGGGGCGTGGCATGACCTATGAGGTAACTCCGCCGTGGAGAAACTCCGATGAGATTGCTCACTGGGAAAATCCTCGATGGCATACTCGCACGTGATCTTATCGACTGGGTGCCACAGTGGCATGTGCCTATTTCCAGCGGGCGGTGAAGCATGGATGGTAGGCCTGGGGGTCCTGGAGGGCCCTGCGGCGGTGCTGGGGGTCATGGGCATGCCAAGTGTGCCCAAACACCCTTACTACCGTGCTCAATCTCCATTCTGGATTTGCTCAATTATTACAAAATGACGACACCAATTAATGCTCTCAAATAAGCTTCTACCCCATTCGTGAGAATGTGCCTATTGTCTGCATCGAGGGCTTATCAGACGCCAGTCCTAGGTTATGCTGCAGGAATACGAGGAGAGAATATGCTGATGGGATTCTCGGCACTATTCAGGGTCCAAGCCAGAAATCGCCACAATAAAGGCACACGGCGATGCAACGCCCGCTGTCGGCTCTGGCAAGGCACCTCCGATACTGCAGCCGGTGCCTGCTGAAGCGAACCGGCTGGTGCGACTATTCTAACCTATTCTACCCTCCAGCGGACCACTCGAGATCCAAACCCCGTCCGACGGATAGACCCTTTCTCGGCGGGTGTAACCGGCGAGCCGAGACATTGGGTCGGACATTTCCTGGGCACAGGTGTCACCAGGCCTAGAATCTGCCGACACCTACAGATACAGACAGGTACGAGAACTTAGATCCAAAACAGACAAAACACCTGCCAGGCTCGCAAACTCCACTGCCAAGCACATCCAGCTGTAGCCCCAATCCGTCTTCCAGAGCAAGCTCGGGAGCACGACGAATGTGGGCACGATCCAGCCATCGGGTCAAACGAATGTATCAAAGCCATTTGTCCGATGGAAGGCTTCCTCTCCTCCATAATTAGACCCATGATTCCATGGAAGGGAATATGAGGCAGAAACAGGAGTGTTTCTACAGTACTAGTATGGTACGGTTGTGTATTGACTACTTGGTGGTGGGTGAAGGATGAGATTTTTCGGCTTATATAGGGTGCGCGGTTACCCGGACACCCTTTTAGGGCACCGAAAGCTCGGACGTAGTTGGTGCAGCTTGCGCAGTATGCGCTGGACGAATGCAAGTTGGGCACTCTGCCATTCAGACAATTTTGGGTATAGTATGGATTTTTGCCGAATCCAACAGTAATAAGCTTGGATTCGACAAACGTGGGGACAGTGCAATATTTGCTGGAGAATTGCCGCAGAAGCTTTATTATCTTTTAATTAGGCCATTTTTGGAGTATTATTTGTGGAGTAGAATGGGCAAATTCACCGTGAATGACAAGACAATCAATTCACAAGATGAATAAAATAGTATTATTTGCGGAGTAGAAACAATCCCAGCCACCGCCACAATGTAGACATCCAATCCTGGCCAGCAGTGTCTAATGATAATTAATTATACAGTGGAATTGCGAATAGCTCATTAAATCAGTTATGGTTAACTTGATAGCACCTACTACTTGGATATCCGTAATAGTACTGACCAATTTATGCTTCCATCATTTCTGAGCGGCACAAGCACGATGGTACAAATTTCTGGCTTCAGTCACACTGAATGGATACTGTTGTCCGGAAATTGACTCACTGAATGTAATTTTCGAATAATCAGCTCCAGACGATGTCCAGAAATCGATTCAGTCAGTGCCTGAATTATTAAATTGTGTTCCAGATATTGACCCAGTCACAGAATAAACTCACTAATTCCAGGGATTTTTTGTTGCAGTCACTGAATCTACTGATTAGTATGAGCATATCAGATTTAAAGCTCCTCAGCAACTGATCTAAAGCACTGTTTTCCGGTTATTGTATCAGACTTCGAGTGCATTTACTGTTGTACATGCATATTGGCTTCAGGCCGTTTCCCGCAAGAAAGTCACTGTCTAATTTATTGAATTGTTTTCCAGATATTGACCGAACCACAGAATAAACTCCTTCCAGGCATATCATTGCGGTCACAGAATAAATTCACTTCCAGGTACCATTGCAGTCAAAGAATAAATTCACTCTGTTCCTCACATTATCTTTCCACTGTATAATAAATTGATTTCCAGATCTCATCTCAGCCACTATTCTACAACCTTTACGAACGTGCACATTGCATTAGAATTGAATATAAATGGATACGCGAGTTGGGCCATTTGAGTCAAGACCCCACGGGGTCCTTTCCAGCACATCTGGCTGGCTGGTGTATAGTATATAGATTCTGGAAGTATGAAACAGTACTTTTCAGCGAATTAAACACAAATAACGCCCGACTATTTGGGAAGTATGAAACAACACTTTTCGAGTCGGAGGAAAGTAACCAAAGCGTTTTTCAGTTACCATCACGTCTATTCCGGCCTCAAATTAGATCTCCTAGGCGCTTCCAACGGATGCAATTGTGCCAAGTAGGTGATAGCCCACATCAAATAGCACATGGCCAACCCCAATATCACGGAAGACCTCCACACGGTTTGGTTTGTCTTTGGAGCGAAGATCCAGGCAAGCGTGGACAAAAGAGCCGTGAACACGAGCCCAAGAACAACTAGGTAACTGGATGTTAGTACTGAATAGAGACTAATAAGGACTGTTTTGGGGACTGGCATATGGAGACAATGGAGAGCAGTACCAGACTGGCTTCAAAGTGGCACTCGGCTGGTACTGGACTCAGAGCAGCTTGAAACAGACTAGTACTGCTGGAATACAGACTGGTACTTCAAAACAGACTGTTGAATTGATGCAGACTGAGTCAATACTCAGACTGGTACCCAATTCAGACTGGCTTCAATACAAACTTGTCCTTCGATTCTGAGACTGGTACCAAATCCCTTGAAGCACTGAAAGCAGCCAATCCTCTGCAACAAGCCAATTTCGAGCACCCAATCCTGAGCATCCTCTGTAGTATCCTCTCAAGTATCCTCTGAAGCATCTGAAGCATTCGGAAGCAGCCAATTATCAACGCCCACAACTCCGCCGCAGCGTCAGCCTGGCGCAGGTTTTTGGCCCCCAAAGCGTCCATCCATCAGAGGTACCGCTCCCTCGTAGCAAAGCCGCCATTCATATACGTACCCGCTCATCTTATGCTTTTCCTATCGTGTTATCTCGCCTAGAGTCGATTTCGAACTCAACACCCGCGAGAGCACGTCACGTGCGCTGTTTTTACTGCTGTCACGTGCACCGATCCTGGTTTTAACCGCCAACACCACAACCACTCCAGCCGCCACCCGCCAGCAACTGAGCTTCTGGCGCCTCCTCTCATCGCCTTCTCCCAAGCAGCAGCTCCGGAGACCCCCCTGTGTCTTTTTTCCCCGCAATTCATCCGTGGCTACGTCCTTCTCGACAATGTCTCTTCCTAGCCAGGTCACCAACTGGCTCTACAACGTTTTGCAGCCCCAATACATCAACAAGCAGGTCGCCTACACCCACTTGTACCAATTCCTCGAAGTGCACCTCAAAAAGAACCTCCGTTTCAGGATCCGTACCCAGGTATTCACCTCAGGCGATGGACACTCCAACCTCTTGATCAACCTCTTTGGAACCATATCAGCCAAAGACGCCAGCGTGCCAGTGGAGATCTGGGTGCCGTTGAGCTATCCTTTTGCAGGAGGCACTCCCTTGGTGTTTGTGGTTCCCAAGCACGAAGAAGGCTTATACTTGAGACCTGGCAACCATGTGGATACCCAAGGACGGATCTACCATCCGTACTTGGCTGCCTGGCACAATGAATGCACTCCAGAGAACCCTGAGGCCACCAGGTTCAACTTGTTGGAGTTGATCAACGTGGTGTATGAGATCGTCACCAAGGAGAACCCAATCCAACTAGCACCAAATCCACCAGGAGTCCCTGCCCAGATGTCACCAGTCGCCACTGGCCCCAAATTGCCACCCAAGCCATCCATACTGCAGTTGGGCACACAATCCACTGCATCTGGCGATCCGAATGCTCCCCAAAAACCGCTGAAAGTTCCCATAGCAGGAACGAGTTCGCCTGTTAGCACCAAAAGCCCCAGTCCAGCTCAGGCACCAAACCCCGTTCCTTTAAAGTACCAAGCACCCTTGCCTTTGCCCGACGAACGGGCACAACCCGCTCTTGGTCGCCCACAACCCCCATTAGCACAGCCGTCGCATGAAATTCACCATCAGCGAGTCCCCTCCGGTCAGAACTATCCCATTGAGGCCAACCACCAGCAACGACCATACCCGAAAGCACCGTATCAACCTCCACCTCAAGCGTATCAATCGCCAATCAGTCCACCTCAGCTAAATCAGACCAAGTCGCCAGTGAGAAACCAACCAGCACGGACGAAGCCAGCTGCCCCTTCATTGGACCTTATGGATTCGAACGAAGCAGCTGTCAATGGTGGCTCCAGAGCAAATAGCGATGGACATAACGAGCAAGCACTCATTTCAAATGCTCTTCAATTTCTCAATGAAGCATCCTCTGGCAGTGCCTTTGCAATTGCCCCAGAAGCCAAGCACGAAGAAGCCAAAATCAATGCCTTGCACTCGCAACTCACACACCATCACCAGCAAGCAGAGGCCAACTCCAAGAACCTTGACGAGCACATTCGATACTTGGGACATCAATTGAAAAATGTGACCAAGCTCAACCAAGAGCTCAGCGCCTTGGATGAAGTCAACGCTCTGCAGGCAGACCGAGTACTGACCAAAGACACAACTTTGGATCTTGACGACTTGATCATCGCAGACCTGACTCTTGTGAAGCAATTGTACGAAGTGGTTCTGGAAATAAAGGCCATCAAGGACACCATCAGTTTGGTCAATGGGAGCTTTCACTCTCAGCCCGAGCTAATCAACGATTCACGGATTGACATCTGTGTGAAGACGGTGCGGAACCTAGGAAGAGAGCTCTTCTGGTTGGAGTTGACGAAGAATGAAATAGCATCAATCATGGACTTGGAAACCAACTAGAACAATCGATACTACGGAGAGAATGGCAAATGAAAAATGGATTTTCTGGAGATGCAAAATTCAGCTACATTTTCAAGAAGAACTCCCATCGTGGACGACTGTCCAACAGCTTACATGCCAGGAAAGTTATAGACAGGATCCATAAATTGGCTCCATACAACCTGGAAGGTACTGGCTCTCCAGTTCATGATATAGCATCACAATAAAAATCCTTACATCAGGAAGATCCGAGCTTCATTATTCTGGGAACACCAGCTTATCAAGTAGAATTAGTTTGAAGAGGAGTGTAATGAAATCATTATCTGTAGTAAGGAAGGAATTAGAGTGAAATTAGAAGCTATAATCTGTAGGAACGGTTGAAAAAAGTACATTAATGAAATGGGTGATAAAACTGAAGAATTGTGATGCACTGGCATAATCTGAAGATTCGATGAAATGCATAGATTTCAATGATAGAATAATTATTATCGTTTGAGTAAAGGTATAAATGCATCAGGTAAGTAAATAAAATATTATTGAAAGAACGTTGTTAGTTTTAGCTACATAATCACGGATGGAGATAAGCATAGTGATGAACAGGCATAATCTAACACAGGTGTCTCCACTAGACAGCAATTGGTAACTATCAGAATCACCAACTGCTACAATATCGACTGTATAACCAAACGTGTGTTTTCACAGAGACAATGTCCATCGTCTTGCTGCAACAATGTCGCATGAGTCCTAAAAGGATTCTGGAAGAATTAGAACGATTTAAAGCAGAAACGGGCCAAATATGAACCTAAAAAACCCTTAATGCCATAATTATACACTTACTCATCATCATACTCCGTTTCCGACCCCTTCTCTAGCCTCTTCCTTCCCTCACTCTCCCTCGCTCTCCCTCACCCATCCCTCCCCATCCTCCCCAATTTCCAGCAATGTCGCGCGACATCGCTCATCTCGCGACGATGAATTTTCAAATTTTCAGCCCATCAACCAACTCCTCTTCATCCTTACTGCAATGTCCGACTACGTGATTAAACCAGAGGCAGTTGCTCCCTCCAACGACACCTCCGAGTGGCCATTGTTGTTGAAGAACTACGACAAGTTATTGGTCAGAAGCGGACACTACACCCCCATCCCATGTGGGTCCACTCCTTTGAAGAGAGACCTTAAGTCTTACGTCTCTTCCGGTGTCATCAACCTCGACAAGCCATCCAACCCTAGTTCCCACGAAGTTGTGGCCTGGATCAAGCGTATTTTGAGAGTGGAAAAGACCGGTCACTCTGGTACTTTGGACCCTAAGGTCACTGGTTGTTTGATTGTGTGTGTCGACCGTGCCACCAGATTGGTCAAGTCCCAGCAAGGTGCTGGTAAGGAGTACGTGTGTATCGTCAGATTGCACGACGAGTTGGCTGATGCCAAGGACTTGGGCCGTTCCTTGGAAAACTTGACTGGTGCTTTGTTCCAAAGACCTCCCTTGATTTCTGCTGTCAAGAGACAGTTGCGTGTGCGTACTATCTACGACTCCAAGTTGATCGAATTCGACAACAAGCGTGGCTTGGGTGTTTTCTGGGCCTCGTGTGAAGCTGGTACCTATATGAGAACCTTGTGTGTCCATTTGGGTATGTTGTTGGGAGTTGGTGGCCACATGCAAGAGTTGCGTCGTGTTCGTTCCGGTGCCATGAGCGAAAGCGACGACTTGGTTACCTTGCATGATGTCATGGACGCTCAGTACGTCTACGACAACACCAGAGACGAATCGTACTTGAGAAAGATCATCCAACCTTTGGAATCGTTATTGGTTGGCTACAAGAGAGTGGTCGTCAAGGACTCTGCTGTCAACTCCGTCTGTTACGGAGCCAAGTTGATGATCCCAGGTTTGTTGCGTTACGAAGAAGGTATCGAATTATACGACGAAGTGGTATTGATGACCACCAAGGGTGAAGCCATCGCCATTGGTATTGCTCAAATGACCACCGTCGACTTGCAAGGCTGCGACCACGGTGTTGTTGCCAAGGTCAAGAGATGTATCATGGAACGTGACACCTACCCAAGAAGATGGGGCTTGGGTCCAGTTGCTCAAAAGAAGAAGCAAATGAAGGCTGACGGTAAGTTGGACAAGTTCGGAAGAGCCAACGAAAACACCCCAGAATCCTGGAAGTCCGAATACAAGGACCACGACGAAGAACCAGCTCCAGCTGTTCCAGAATCCAAGTTGGCTGACCCTGAAATCCAGCTTCCAAAGAAGACTTTGATTGAAGAAGTGGAAACCAAGGAAGAAAGTGAAGACGCCAAGGAGGACAAGAAGGAAAAGAAGGAGAAGAAGGAAAAGAAGGAAAAGAAAGAAAAGAAGGAAAAGAAAGACAAGAAGAGAAAGGCTGAAGATTCTGAAGAAAAGTCTGAAAAGAAGAAGAAGTCCAAGAAGTAAGTAATGCATTATACCGTTGTTCCTATATATAATTCTGTACATTTATTGAATAGTAAATATTGATTGCTGTAGAAGTTCTAATCTTGGAGCTCAGTAACAAAGATCTTCATGGCACGTTGGGGGTCCATTATAAAATTAACATCTCCTCCTATTGAATCAGAATAATCGTTTTTCATTTCGTTCACAGGTGTTAATACCTGGTTACTTAAATAATTGTGCAATGTGAATATACATACGATTATTCATGGATCGTGGAATAGACCAAGACATCTTCATGATGTTACTTCAACTTAACGTTAAAGAAGTACCGGCAACTTTATTATATTAGTCTAAAACAAATGGGTTTCACAAAACCAATCCGAGGCCAGATTGGATACATTTTAGGATCCAGAGTAGTGAAGAACGAAGGTATGACTTTGTCCAGATGCTGATGTCAAATGCTATGTATACAATACTTTTTCCGTTCGAAATACAGACTAGCTTTCAATGTTACCTCTCAAGAAGTCAAACTTGGGACCCACAGTATTGTAAAAATACTCCAATTGCATCTCAGCCATACTTGCTTTGTCATTCTCGCCACTCTCCCAGAAATGTTGGATCAAGCTTTTCAAGACAAAAATACTAATGATGCGGTCGTTATCCGAACCGGACGAGATGGAGATCATTGCCATACACTTCTCAAGGGACTTGTTCTTTTGGTCAACATTGTCTGTTCCAATGTAGATCAAATAATTGATGAGGTTGGTGATGAACGGAAAGCTGGTAGCGTCCCGAAAGTTCTCCATAATTTGGCCCATCTGTTCAATTAAAACTTTGTTGGTGCTTTCTTGTTGTTGATGTTGCTCCCCAGATACTGCCCTATCGTTGAAGATGTTAAGCAAGAGGTGATATGTAAGCTTTAGAAGATCGTTAGAACCAGTGAAATTTATTGCAAACCCATTAGAGGTGGTCTTGGGTGCAAATGCTTTCGTCAAGTCCGCATGAAGCTGGCCCCTAACTTTGAAGTATTCACTTATTAGACTGCTGGATTTATCTTGCGACACCTTGGATATTTCACCAGCTTCGAATTCATTGAGGATTAAGAGATGGAGCGTGGCGTATACAAAGAGTTCGTTGAACTCACCTACCCCATGGATGGAATATCCTCCAATTCCCAAATCCAACTGGTTCAGAAGTGGTTCACGGGCAGAATTCGTGAGATTCCTAACCTTCATGTAATAGTACTTGCTTGCCTGTATGTCTCCTTTAAATTGGTAGTAGGCCGCAAACAAGTAGAAAACTTTAGGCAATAAGTCCCTGAAATATACCTCGTCCTCTTTCAAATTATCATTGTTATAGTCTGACATAAACTCATTCAAGTAGTTGATATCGTTGAAGTCATTGTTGAGAAAACCCATCCAGCTCTGGTAATAGTGGATATTATACTTTATATATCTCAACCTGATACTAACCTGATGAAGCTTGTGCATCGAGAAGCTTCTTCTGCTCTCAGAAAGCCCTTCTACCTCTCTTAATTGTTTTTCGATGATTTGCAAGCACTTGTCAAATACCTTCTTCGCTTTTTTCTTACCATTCGAGACTTCTGTCAATAGATGGACCCCAGTCAAATAGTAGAACATGATAACAAACTCATCTGAACTCAACCAACATATTTTGTAGTTTATGTCTCCTGTTATGATGGTGAAAGTCCCATCTTCCTGCCACAAGTTCCAACCCAAACTCTGCTGTGAGTTCAAGTAGCTGCTGATCAACAGCATGGATTCCTTGGCCTTTAAAATATCGTTCGTTTGAATTGAGTTTAGATACCTCAGTAAATATGCCATTGCTGTGAATTGAGTGGGTATAGTGCCCACTGGAAATCCGTTAAGAATTGATTCTGCCTCGGTTAGGCTCGATGCTGAATGTCGTGGTGAGCCCCTGTATAGATGTAAATTGCTTTGATATATTAATGCCAACAATCGGGTGAGAGGATTGATATTCACGTTGTGGCTGATGTTTTGGAGCAATATTAATCCCGTATCGATATCAGTAACGAGCGAATTATTTAGCTTCAATAGAAGAAACATATCTGAGTAGGAACGATAGCCCATCTGGGAGTAGTGCTGTATCTTATTGTCCAAGTAGTTGGCTAGGAGGTTGTGGTTCACTACCTCCAAGATCTGGCCAGCCAAGAACTCGCTCAAAACTTGGATGGGGACCAAGTTATTTCTCGAGGAAATTGCCATGGCCCTGTTGATGTACTCCTCTGCTCTGTGTATGTTTTCTGTTTCGGTGAAGTACAATTTTGCTAACTTGAAATATACGATCAGCTCGAGCCATGGGTCCAAGTATCTGGCATACCTTTTGGATAACATCACCAAGGCTTTGATGGCAATCTTAATCATTTTGTAGTAGTCCTGCGAGCCCTTGAAGGTAGAGGTGGAGAGAACGATGGAATGGGCCTTGGAGGTGAAAAACTCGGCTGTCATGAGGAGGTTTTGGATGATGAGATCGGGTCCAGGAGCGCTGTTATCGACCAGGGACAGGGCCGGATGGTGTGCATGGATGGGCTGGCCATAAAGTGGGTGATACAGCTGAGCAAACACGGATTCTGGGGCTGCTGGCATGGCTAATGGGACAGTGGTTGTCTCGGGATGGAACTGTTGTACGGGAATTGGTGGTTGTATCTCGTGAGTTTGAGGGTTCTGGTTAGACAAAAGAAGATTGTGGTCTGCCGTGTAGCTGGTGGATGGATCATGTTCCTCAGTTCCTTGTTGGTGGTGTCTCTTCTTCGGTATTGCCGGTGTCTCCATGAACTTACTCAACACAGCACTGTTGATCTGGACGGATTGGTCGGGACTAGGACTCTTTTTGGCACCTAGGCCGTTCAGGAAGCCTTCTTGGAAGAGGTTCTGGTACCTCGAGCCATTGCCATCCGTCATGGTGGGCTAGTGTAGATGGTAAAGTGATGATGTCTCCAAGTCATCTTGAATAAATGCGCGTCTGTGTCGCGCGTGAGACGATAAGAATCAGACATAGCTTCCTCGGAAATGTATCGAGGAATTGTGTGGAGGAATTGTGTCGAGGAGTTGTGTCGAGTAGTCCCGTGAGCCGAGAGATTTTACCTAGAAAAGTTTCGGGAAGTTGAAGCTCCAAATTAATATTCTATAAATACTTCTTCGGTCTAAATGAAGTGAAATATCTTTTATTCTTGAACTAGGAAGTTCATTGTAGTCCATTATTTGAAAAGTGGTTGGAGATTGCAAACTGAAGTTGTGCTAAGTTTTCATATTCTGTTAAGTTGAACAGATTATGTTTTGACAAAATATAACTTCTTATTGAAGCTAGGTATTTAGAAGTCCAGTCCTTCAAATTGAATATAAAATTATTCATATACTTCAAAATGGTCAATTAGTGTCATTTTCTATTTCTATTATACCCTTTAGACTTCTTGATTAATTTTTCTTGGAACACTATTGAGATTTCATTTCTAGCAATTGGCCTGACAATGTTTTGGAGCTATGGATGGAAAATAACCAGCAATATTAACTCCATCTGGACTAGAATATTTAAGCCATTGTGCTGTAGCTGAAGGACTCCCACGAACACTGATATGATAGCTCAGGGGTCAGTTTTAAGCACCTCAAAATTCTTGAAGATTTAACTATTCGTCGATCTTGAAATAGAAAATACAAATTACTAGAATTAGTAGCACAATTAAGACATGACACCATAATTTATCTCAAATATATCATCCATATGTTAGTGCTTAATTTAAATACTTCTTAAAATTCGTAGCTGGCTAGAGTGTAGATGTCCAAAGCTATTCTATAAGACGAGATCGTTAACCAAAGGTAGCCTTAACAAAATAAGACTGTAATTTGCAGACAATAGGAAAGGTAAATTCAACTTACGGTATACTGGTAGGAAGACTCATTTTTTGACGACTCCATAAATATCTTTATTTTCTCGTAAGTTGTTACATCAGCTTATAACGCTCCAACAAATAGCGATTAATACCTAAATACGAATGAATTCTAGATCAGGAACCCAGTCTAAAAGCTCTAAGGATTGGTAAATACCATTCGCAAAAGAGTTCCAGTGGCTCCTACTACATATTCTAATACAAAACATATAATACATTTCAAGAAGGAATAGTCTATACTACATCAGTGGGTGAGTTGAGCTCTCAACTTTTCTATTTCAAGCTGGAGGTTTCTTCTCTGTATCCTCTCTTCACTGAGCTCCACCTCATGTTGATCTTGAATGTCGCTGACAATTTTCCTGAACTCCTTCCTCAAAATCCCGTTGCTCATTCCTGAACTGCTACTGTAGCCAGTACCAGAAGTGGGTCGGGTCAACGATACTCCACTGGCAATCAGGTGGGAATCATCTTCATCGTCTCCGTGCACATACGCATCGGAGGGAGTCAACAGGTCACCAGTGACTGGAGAAATGTTGAAAGTATTGGAAGTGGAAAGTATAGGTGAATCGTAGGATCCTTGGGCCATTCTAGGCGATGTCAACAAGAGTTGCGACGAGCTTCCATTGTTGGACTTGGTGCCAATTCTATCGATCTTCAATATGTTCAATTCCTTGCGGAGTCTGAAGATTTCTTTATCTTTTCCTGCCAAGTCCTCGTGACTTCCACTAGAAGACAACGAAGTGGAGGAAGGGCCTTTGGCCGAGTTCAATTCCTTTTCCAATTGAGCGATCCGCTTGCGGTATTCTTGTATCAACTTCATGGAACTTTCCCGGGAAATCTCGTATTCTTTGGTCAAGTATTGGTGCGAGAACCTCATATCGTTCAACGCCGTCTTGTACTCGGCCAATTGCTTCTCAGCTGGGTTAAGGTTGCCTCTTAAAGGAGAGGTGGACGAGAAAAACGAAGAATCGTTGAGAAACGACACTTCCTTCTTGGATGTTGGGGTATTGTTACCGGTGTTGGTGAATGACTTATCGATGGTAGGAGTTTGTGGTCTTTCAGGGACCACTGGTTGTTTGGTGGAATCGCTATTGAGCACGGCGTCAATACAGCTTTGGGCCCATAAGGTTCTGGCATGAATGGTGTCGGGTTGGGATCTTGAAGGAGATGGTGGAGTGGGCAATGGGATATTCCTTTGCGCAGCAATGGAGGCTATGTGAGAAAACAACGAATCAAACGACTTGAGCACCGAATCAGAGGAAACCGGTTTCCTTGGAGAGGTAGATGAGGTGGCTCTTCTTGGAGAACCGAATGGCGATGAGATTTGGGTGTTTCCCTTGGAGAGGGAGCCCAGGTCTTTGTTTGAGGACGAGAGCCTGACGTCCTCCACGTACCCCAACACCAAGCAAGCCAAGTTGTGGTTGTTCAACTTGATGGACAACGCCTCCAACTCGGAGTTGGTGGACAACAATTGGTCCTGGAGCGCAGTATTCAGCTTCAAGATCTTCAACAAGAGCGCTGCATCCAACTCCTCGTGCTCAGGCTGCTTCAATATTATGCTGGAGATGAACTGCTGGGAGATCGTGATCTTGGACACGAGGTACTGGTGCAACTCCTTCTTTTGCTCGATCACCAGCTTGAGGGAGCGGAGGGCTGCCAACGAGAGGATGGAGTCCTTGTTGATCTTGGAGGTGTCCAAAATCGAGTTTTCGATCAACACCTTCAAGTTGAGGTAGTTGGGCTTGGACGAGTTCGACAAGATGAACGAGTCCATCTCGTCGTCGTCGTCGTCGTCCACCAGGGCGTCTGTGAGGCTAGGCAACGACTCTGTAAGTGTGATGTGGCCCCTGTCCAAGTTGGACTGCAAGTGCAGGTTGAACGAGTCCTCCATGAACTGCATGTTGAGCAAGTTGAACTCGCCTGCTGGAGCGTCGCTCTTCAATTCATTCAACTTGTTGCGGTACTGTTCCTGGAGCTGGAACTTGAGGAGGTCAGGCGTGGTGTTGGCCAAGTTGTAGCTGGAGGCTGAGTCATTGTGGGTGATTCGAAACGGCGAGTTTTTGATGAACAAGTCGGCGTCGATCATCGTGGTGGATCTGGTGAAGTGTTCTGGGCGGATGCTAGCAGTGATAAAATTGTTGATCTTTTTTCTCAACACGTCTGGCACGGTACGGACGGGGCGGGACGCGACGAGAAGGACTGGAAGGAGTGATTACCACGGGGGAAAACGACGCAAAATGTGGTGGTGGTGTGCTAGAAGCGGAGTGGGAGTAACGACAGTGGTGATGGAGTGGTGCCGAGTTCGTGGTAGAGAGAGAGGACCAGGAGGACGCGTCTGACAATTGGTATTGACTAGACGATTTGGGCCAGCACCACTGCGACATCTGCCGCGACACTCGCGACGAATCTTTAGGGGAAAATTCCATGCATTGTCAAGTGGGATATTGTTCCATTACGACGCAAGTGTAGCTCCAGAGGGCCCAGGAATGTCACCGTGATACGCCAAAGGGGATATCTCGTGGGGGGATGTTTCGTAATTATTATGTGGTTTTATTTTGTATGGAACAAGTATGATGATTCACTGCGAGGCTAGTGGACTACGATATATTTTGAAGTGGCGTAACTGATGGCGTGGAGCATTCGTGGGGTCTCAGGTGGGCTGTTCGCCAATTCTTGAGTTTGGGCGGAGTTAGTAGCCATTCCAGCCACAATTGTTGGTGTAGCCGGTTTTATTGTCGTAACTGGACCCTCCGCGGTTCTTGGGGGTTGGTGGTCAATTATTATCGTAGCTTCCACTCGCGATTCTGTACAAGTATCATAATTCACTATGAATATCATAACTCTCTCTGAAGTATCATAACTGGCCCGACATAATTCTTCTGATTTGGCTTGGGCCATCTTATATTATCATCCATCTAGGGATCGGAATTCATCTGAAACGTTATTCGCAGTAATTTTGTTACCCGATCGAGACTTCTGTAACATTGAACAGGCTTCAGGCTTCGCCTCCTGGCGGGTCCAGCTGATGAATTGTCGATTTTTCCAGCCAGTGACGTTTTCACAGGCAATAGGAGCAGGTGATGCCCACAGCCACCGCACTTACGCTTTGGCGTGGCCATATTTACGAGTAGTGGGTTGTAAATTGTTCATTATTACTGTAGATAAAAAATAAATCTGCTGGATCTAAGAATCTCGGATATGAATATACGAATAGGGTATTTTTCACACAAAGCCACCCAAAACAATACCAATTAGCCAGGGCTGGGTTCAATACGTTTGGGAACCCAACCCCCTAAAGCACTGTCAAGGGAACAACCCCTTGGGTGTATTGCAGTATGTAGTGGTTATTTTGCAAGTATTATATTATTATCCAGGTCGAATATTTTTTGTCTAAGTGCTTGAATAATAAGCCATAGGAAACATAACCCTATCCCGTAAACCTTATGCTGGTACGGCTACCGTGTTAATCTCCCCTCTTTGGCCTCCACTATTGCCCCGTGTGAAGATGCAGTATTGAAATCACAGAGGCAGATATGCATGCATAACTGTCAGGAGGGTTCTGCGAAGTGTACTTCTATTGATAATAGGAGTAACACCAGAAAGGATACCGGGAAGAGTAGTTGGATCGGGAGAGAAGGGAAAGATACATCGGGATCTAGAATCGATCGGTATCTATACTATCATGAGATGATTCTAATTTCCAAGTCATGCACTGTGGACGAATTGCCAATTATCCTGCCAATGCTGATTCACCAGTCTGAAGAGGCCGCCCCACCCTGCACAAGCGAGCCCTGCTGTGAAATCATATCCAAAATTTAACCATACAGCTATACACTTTCCGCAGTGACTACTAATAATAATCAAATAAAAAAAAACCGTAAACCAGGTTTTGCCCTTTCATCACACTCTACTTAGGCACTAATACCACTTCTTGGTTCGTAGCACAATAGTCTTATGCACCTTAACCTATTTCTTAATTATATTGTGAAGAGAAATACAATTATGGATGGTGAAGTTTTATGATCTGGAGCTAGCTCTACAGTTTTAAGAAAATCAGAAGGATCTAGCAAATTCAGCTACACAGCCCTTAAAGAATGTAATTAATGAGAATCCATATATGAACTGAGGTGAAGAAGTCAAGCCTACGCCGCAAACCTCAGCAGTCAGTAGGGAAAATTGCATAAGGTTTGAACAAGAAGGTGAACATTGTACAATTTTATTCCCCGAAAGGATTTCCAATACCCAACGGAATTTCAACTAATCCATTGCTTTTCTGGGAATAATTGTTGCCTTAGAGATTTACTTGTCCATTGCTTGTCATCACGAGACAAAGATAGTGAGCTTCGCTGGGTCATAATTATTCATTGCCCAGGGAACATTGCTTCGCAAGGAACTGGAATTTAACATTGGAAAGACGAAATACTCTCAAGTCTGGGTAAACCACAGAATTCCGTACTCTGGAGATAAAACCCTGTTGTGCGTCTTGTTATGTCGCGTCCTCAATATCGCTATTCACTATTTCGCTCGCTATTTGGTGTTCTCACTATTAACTGTTTCAGGTCCTGACTATTTATTTCCAGCCTCGCTATCACTATTTCGCTCCGCGAGCAGGTCGAACATTTTACCGAGCTGACACTCTCCACTAATTCACGAGAGTGACAGTCTCTCAACCACCACGCCACTTGTCCACATGCCTGACATCCTTGACGCCATCGTCCCCACGCTGCCGGGATCCGTTCGCTATGTCTCTTTCAACGTCAACGGCGCAAAGACCCTCTTCAACTACCACCCATGGACCCAAATGAACAACGACTTCAACGCCCTCTTCCGCGCCATGCATGCCGATATCATCACCCTCCAGGAGCTCAAGGTAACTGCCAGCGGACTCCTGGCGCTCGCTAACATCGGCCACCTCGCCAACTACCGGCTGTTCATCTCGCTTCCCAAGACCAAAAAGGGCTACAGTGGGGTGGGGCTCTTTGTTCGCGTGCCCACCGCCAGCGACCCGCCTGGCGTCCAGCGAGGGCTCACTGTGCTCAGGGCCGAGGAGGGCGTCACTGGGCACCTCCCGCGCCCTAGCGCGCAGGGGGCATCGTTGTCCTCGTCCTCGTCCTACCGCGACAGCCCTGACGCTATTGGTGGCTACCCTGACATCGACTCCACCACAGGCCTCCACTTGGACAGCGAGGGCAGGTGTGTGGTGGTAGAACTTGCAGGCAACGTAGTGGTGTTTGCCGTGTACTGTCCCGCCAACTCCATGGGGACTGACGAGGGCGAGTCCTTCCGGCTTGATTTTCTTCGCGCGCTCCTAGCGAGAGCCCACAATCTCAAGCACGCGCTCGGTAAAGAGGTGGTGGTAATGGGAGACATCAACGTCTGCCTCGACTTGATCGACACCGCCGAGGGCATGCGTGACCGCATCAGCCAGCTGGTGGTGGTGCCAGGCGATGCTGGCACCAGCTTTGAAGCCGTCAACTACGAGGAATGTGTTCGTTTCAAGACCTCGACTCCAGCACGGGAATTGTTGAACCAGTACACCGTACCAGGATTGAAGTGCGACTTGGCTCTCGAAAAGTCGCTTCTCAACAAGAAGTCCCAGTTTCTCTACGACACCACCAGGTACATGCAAGGACGGGAGATGAAGCTCTACACAGTGTGGAACACGCTCACCAACGCTCGTCCGTCGAATTTCGGGTCTCGGATCGACTTGATCTTGTGCTCGTGCCCCCACATGTTGGCGCACGTAACCGCAGCCCATATCTGGCCCGGGCTTCTTGGTTCCGACCACTGCCCTGTCTACACGGACTTCCACCACCCCGATCCTCCGCAGGAGGAAACAACCCTGCTGCTGGTGCCCCAGAAATTGCCTTTCGAAGCAAAGCATTTCTACAAACTCTCGAAGACCAGAGACATCTCCCAATTATTCCTAAAACGGTCCAGCAGTCCCCCAGAATCGGAAACTGTCAAAAAATCACGGCCAGCCACGCCCAAGGACAAAAATACCACCACCAAAAGCAATTCGAAGGGCTCGTTGGTCTATGTCAGTAGAAAGCCTGCCAGACAAGAGGGTCAAAAAAGCATAAGCACTTTCTTCACCAAGTCTACGCGCAATGATCAACCATAGCACTTCAAGTCCACCACTAATCAGCACCCATAAGCACTTTCTTCAGTCTACGCGCTAAAGACCTACCACTTCTTCCAGTCTACATTAACATGAACCTTTCAATGAATAGATTTATTAACCTATAGAGTGATTTGATGATTCAAATCAGTGAAGACGACTAAGCCATCCTCAGCATGCCAAATTAGTAATAAACATAAAATGATAGGTATGAGAAAAATCAAAGCAAACAATCCCCCGTGAAATAAACTTGTGATAATAAAGTACAGTGAACGATCTATGGTGTTGATGGTGTTAGGATAATAATATGGTACATTTTGCTTAGGACTTGCGAAATTCACTCAACACAGGATAGATGGCTTCAAACGCAGCATAAATTTCTTCTCTTTGCTTAGCACCAGTCAAGACAATCTTTCCAGAGACGAAAATCAACAACACAATCTTTGGTTTCACCATTCTATAAATAAGACCAGGGAATAATTCAGGTTCATAAGACGAGAAATTTCCGTGCGAGAACGCCAAACCTTCTAACCGGATTGGGAACTTCACATCACACGATCCGACAATGTTTTGGATCTTGAAGTCGGTGAATTTGGCATTAAAACCTAATTTTTGAATAATTCTTGCATACTTTCTCGAGGCTAATTTGGAGTCGTCTTCAGACTTGGCACCAGTGACAACCATCTTACCGGAAGCGAAAATCAAGGCAGTAGTCTTTGGTTCTCTAATTCTCATGATAACAGCAGCAAAACGCTTTGGATTGTACTCTGCATTACGAGCATGTAAAGCAATAGTTTTCAAGTCCAAACGGCAATCCAAGTTGACGGTAGCCACGATATTTTGCAAGGTTGGCACGATACCAGAAGTGGCACCGTCATCTTCATCTTGTTTTGGTTCGATGACATCAGAAGTTTCTTCCTTCTTCATTGGAATGTGATCGGTGACATCTTGATGTTGTTGTTCGACTTTGTTTTCACCATCAATTCCTTGAGGAAACAATAAAGAATTTGGAGCTGTGAATGCTTTTGCCTGAGCTGCAGTCGTTGGTAGCTTTAAGGAGTCCATCTTGACTTTTTATGATTTATGATTTATGATTTATGATTATGCGGTTGAGATAGACAAGTCAATGTATCCCAAAATCAACTTATGATGTCTGCAAGAGCTGCTCAACAATCTGTCTATTAATATTTATTGCAGACTATATAGACCGCCAATGTCTGTATCCTATATGTCCCCCACAAACAAATAGTGATCTTGACGATGAACCCGAATAAGTGACACAAAAAGATCGGTAACCAATATACAGGATACTTATCACCAGTGTATGAGGGTCAAAAGGGCGGCACTCGCTCTTCTTATATAGTCGCGCGCAAATGTCCGGGTAATCCCCGCTCCAGGGGCGCCACCGTCATCCCCTCCTATTCCGTGCATATCTGCCTCCCAAAATCGCAAGCAAGGCTATTTATTGCTTTATCTATGCTAAAGGGAACTATGGTGATACATGCCGTGTTTGTCACTACTTTGTGCCAGTTGTTCTGGCAGATTTGCATGTTGATTCCCATAAAATGCAGACTAGTATCCACGGTTTCTGGTCGTGCGCGACACCACGGACTCCGGGCTCTGTGCAGGAGGTCGATGAGCTCCTAGTTGGACTTACTGGAAAACGGAGCCAAGCACCTCAGCAGGGGCCAGGGGGGTGGCTTCTGTGTGGATTCCGTGTGCTCCGAAAGCTCTAACTGGAATGCCTGGAAATACCCACCCGTTGCCAGTTATCTGTAGAGTGTGGGCCCGCAAAGACTCAATGATCATCGATTGAGTCGTAGACTGACCAGCTAGACCACAGGTTGTGTCAACAGCCAGAACCTTAACGCTCCTTCAACAATTTGTTTCTCTTCTCCTTCTTTCTCAATCTCTCCGCCTTCTTAGCACTCATCTTAGCAGCGATTCTCTCGTGTCTCTCCTTTTCTTCCTTGATCTCTCTTCTTCTCTTCAAGTCGGCGATTCTGGACTGTTTGATGCTCTCCTTTTCGTCCTGGAGGTCCTTGAGTCTCTGTTTGAACTGTTCTTCCTGGAGCCTCTTTTCTTCTCTTTGCTGGAAAGGTGACTTCTTGACACTAAATGTTTTAACACGGAATGCACCCTTCTTGACCTTCCACTCCTTTCCACTCACACGGGAGCCTTCTCCTTTATCCTTTGGAGCAAGAGGATCTAATGGGGCTTCGTTGGTACTCATCGTGGTGTAGATAGAAGAAGTATACGAAAAATTTTCTGATGCGTATCGCCCCAAAACGGCTATGGGGGATGGAGTGCGAGACGGGTGCTACCACTGAGGGTTCCAGAGCAGACAAGTGCAGACAAGCGAGTTGAGAGTAACAAAATAGCTGTAAATTTATACTCTATTTCCGCGTCTCTTCTTGCTTGTGGGAGAATTCCCAGTCTTACAGTACCATCTGGCACTCGTATGGCCCCAGTTAAAAATTACTGCTTGCAAAAGTTTACTTTTTTCAAGATAGATGGACTAGTTAATGGCTGAAATGTAGTACCTGCACATTTTTTGGGCATCTAGTGGTTCATTTATCGGTAGTAAGTGTAAATAGTATTTTACGCTACAGGCTATTCGTTTCTAATTGGATTTTATCAATTTCGATATTCTTCTTTCTGGTTGGCTGGTCTGTGGCATTTTTCGCAAGGCACATATACCCCTTGATGGTTTTAAGTAATGAAATAGTATAATTAAGACATGTATCAAGCATAAGTACACTATGCGTGTTAACATATAATTTTGAGAAATATTTAGAAGCTCGCTCTTAACTTACAATCTCCGCGGTAGAGAACGAGACTTTTGTAGAAGAAATGCAAAAGTATGCAAATATTGAGCTATGCTTTCACCGACGAAAGGTACTCTAAATCTTTCCTGAAACTTCTCTGCTCTTCTTCATCGCTTCCACTGGTATTCGTTATCATTAAATACTATAGTCATACCTAATCGTAGAGACCTCATTCGTCATAAACCGTGTCCTGTTTGTCAATCAAGAGAATGGCCTTTCGAATCCATTTTCTGGACCGGGTATACTTGGAAAATCCATCGGTGGGTCTGGGGTTGGCCCAGGACCGGTCGTAGTACAACCAGCCATCTGGAGCCCCATTGTCGTTGAAGTGTGGGTCCAACGACCATTCGGAGTCCTGCCAGCTCCACGAATAGCTATATATGTCATTCTCAAATACTGGGAACGAGAAATCGTCTCCAGATGTGTCCAATAATGGAGGTGACGGGGATAACGACTTGGCAAAGCAATAGTTGGAGCGTTCATTGGGCATCAAGTGGTTGGACCAACCCAATCCGATCCACCTTCTCTCGTTCTCCAACACTTCGAACAACACCACCTGCTTCAATTGAGTGGGCGAGGTGACTGATTTTTTGAGGATTCGGAAATCGCTGAGCACCTGAACTTTTGAGAGGTCCTCATCGTCACTCGCCGTGGGGCTCTGGATCCGCGAAACCGTCTTGAACTCCACGGGATCTCTGTGTCTCGATAGTTTGATGTCCAAGCCTGTCACATAAAATGCAAATACCCTGATGTACACCGACCTCCAGAGCAATCTCCGGATGGCAAACGACCAGGGCGAGTGGTACGTGAGTGCAAAGAGGCCTGTGATCCACACAAACCGTTGTGGAGGCAAGATGGTCTTCATGAGGAGCAAATGGATTGGGGTCAAAACCACAGCCATGAAGAACAACTTGGCGTAGTTCTTGAATTTGAAGGGAATGTGCTGCACAGGCCTGAGTAACATCTCGAACCGGATGGTGATGTTGTGGAGCGTGTAGAGCACCTCCTCAATCGTGGGTTTTTCGTCGAATTTGGAGTCGTAGATCACCGAGGTGATGGACCACACCACGCAAGCAAATGTGATTGTGATCAACACGGGAAAGATCACGCAGCTCAAGACACTCCACCACACTACTATGCATGAGTACACCACCACCAACAAGAAGTTCTGGTAGGGGTCGTCGTTGGTCCAGGTGACTATTTCAAGGAATCCATCTATGAGTAATAAATATGGAAAAATTTGGGATAATGCAGAGGCCAAGATGGGAAAATCCACAAGGAGGTTGGAATTGGAGGCCAACTTCAATTGTTTGGCGTCCGAGGGCTCGAAGTTGGCCAAAATGTACGGTTCGTACTTGTCTGGCATGATAAAGGTGTGGTCTTTGGTATCGGTTGATTTGCATATGATAGACGGGTGGGGTACGTCACATGCCTGCTTACGTCATCATGTCGCGGGACTTAAAATGTCACCAATACATTTTTGGACGGAGTTATGGTGAGTTGAGGTGGCCTGAGCTGGAGTGGCCGGGAGGGTGGAAGGCCTAGAGGGTTCGACTCTTAAACTGTAGATGAAGTGACATCGTGTCACGTGATGATCTGACCAGCAGTGGTCATCATTCTCAACAATCAGTCTCTCCAGGCCAAAAACGTTATAGTTCGCTACCGCCAGTTGTCGAGGCCGAATACGATATAGTTCATTGCCACCAGTGGTGTAGACCAGACAAGATAGACTAGTAGCCATCAAAAATTAAAAGTGCCCTTCCGAGACGTGTACGAATAGCTATCATGTGGATTTTGCAAAAAGTGATTATCGTATCGCCGACGACTTTCCCCCTCCCCCCCTTCCCACACCCTCTTACTATCCCTACTGCCTCTAGACCATCTAGCTATCCCTCTGAGAGCAAACCAGAGAATATTAAGAATCGCCAAGCTGCTAGCTGCAAATTCAATTTCAGTAAGAGACTAATAGAGATCTAGCATATTACTAAAAAGACCAGACAGATTATCAAATATTACTAAGTTTCCACTAGTAGGCAAGCCAAGAGTGAATATGGCACTATTTTCATGCCTGGAAGGCACAGTCCAGCCGTGCCACTTCTGCAGACTCACGGTTTCGAAAGGCTCCACAATGCCAAGAGGCTCTGCCCAACCAAACGCCCAACGAGCATAGCCCTCAACGAATCTGCCAACAATCCATCGCAATGATGCAATCGTATGCTCTAATCGCTGCTTATCTCTGCCCGTATTTTAGTAAAGCCCGTTTTAGTGAAGCACACAGCCTGCAGCCACCGCCAATCCAACTATAAGGAAAGATATTTAATTTACGACGGTCGACATATGAATGACCGATCTGTCGGGCACAATAGTGAACTTCCCGAAACAGATATCTAGAAGCTTCAGACGCAGCACCCAGCAAGTGGCGTGGGTGCAAAACCCACATTGGCATAACAGAGCGTCACGGCAAACCCCTCCAGAACGGCCACTTTGCTGCTTCGGCGAGTGAATGCACTGAGCCGGCCGGTAAAACATGCTGGGGCCACGATGGGACTTCCATATTATTATGCACTGAACCCTCTTTACCGAGCCGTAACTGGAAATAGTGGAAAAATATTACCCATTCTTATCGTAACGGATTTAACAGGAGGTAGCTGTAGCAACCTCCAGATGCACCTAAAGTCTGTATTGGGGTGAGCCATGGTGTGGCTCCGCCCCCCTGTTCTGGTTCCTGGTCCAGGTGTCTTGGAATGACGTTTTAACGGTAGCCAAGCTTACTGGAGCATTTAAATGTGTCGGGATACGCCCGCCAACCACGCTACCTGTCTAGACCCCTGGTTGGTGAGGCCATTCGGAACACAGCCATGGTTTCCCGACGTGGCTTGCTTACCAATATTGCATTGTTCCCCACAGGCCGCGACCTGTTTATGACCGGGATGTGCATTTCCTCCGAGATCATCGTGGTGTCAGAGAATATCCGTAGAGCGGATGTTAGTGGGCCTAACGCCGCATTACTGTGCCCAAGCCTCTATCTCAGCCTTGAGGCACGGGCTCGTACGCTTTCGCAGCCTTGCCAGGACAGGAAATGTAGGCTAGAGAAGACCGGGGAAGATGCACCTGTTCCTGTATTAGAGGGAAGTTTGAGCAAGGCTGAGGAGGTGGGATCGTCGGTCGGGGACCCAACGGGGTCCTTCGGTGTCCTTCGCTGGGTGGACTGGATATGAAAGAGCCTTGTAGGCTGCTGATACCACCAGTGATGCACAGCAGCTTGGCGAGCCGTCCAACCTTAGCGACCGACAGCCTTGTTCTCGTCTTGTTCTGACCGTTGTCCTAAGGCCACTTCCTGCATGCATATGTTCCAGCTTACAAATATCTGCCTGCAAGTGGTCCCGACGAATCGATATTTTCTAGCTATCGCAGCTGACACTTCGAGGTGCAAAATCGATTAGATTGTTGTGGACGCATGTAGAGCCCGGATCAGGCACACAAAGTCCCCCGCCATACCTAGATGTAGGCGCAAGTATCTGTTGTGAGATACCGGCATTGGCAGTGCCAACACCCATATAAGGCCCCCACCACCGAAGCTATTCTCACCACGAAACAATATGGTCAGGATCCTCGTTTACCTATTTCTATTTGTCCAGCTCGCTGTGGGAGCGTTGGTGGTCACCCACATGGCTGACGTGGGGCCCCAGGCTTGTGCTACCTTGCTCAATCGCGCAGTGAGGTTCAACGAGGCTGACGGAGGCCTTCTGTACTTTTGCAATGTTAAGAACCAGCCCGCGTTGGGGTCCATGGCCCATTGCATTATTGACAACTTCGACTCGCCCATCTACTTGGAGCTGTTCATCAAAGGGTGCAAAGGCTTGAACGAGGACCAGGTCCACGGGGCCTATGTCAATGCCAGTGGAAGAATGCTCAATGCCTCCACCCTCACTGGAATGCCGCTAGTTTTCGAGCCTGTGCAGCTCGCACCTGCTGCTGTACTCATGGAATTCTCCTCCGAGAGAAATAACGCTCTCACCAACAACTGGTCCGTCTATTACGGTGTTATTTTGACTGCCTACTGGTTCGTGATCTTGGCCATCGCCGCTATCAATCACTGGACCTACTACTTGTTTCCCAACTTCATCAAGTCGTTGCACGGACCCGTTTTCAACTGGTTCAGAAACCACTTTGTATTGGCCCCAACAGGCAGAAAAGCGCACTCCGTTCCCAAGAAATTGGTTGTGGAGTGGCTTGTGCCGCTTCGTTTCGAGACAGTGACTGTCCTAGGCTGGGCTGTTCTCGCTGCCATCTTTGCCTCAACAAACACCCTGCCCAACCCCGGTTTTGCGTTATCTACCAGTGTCAATAGATGCGCATTTCTTGCGCTCTGGGGCATGCCGGTTATGATCCTTTTTGCTGGCAGAAACAATATCTTGCAGGTGATGACGGGATGGCCGTACGCCAGATTCCTCACCATCCACCGGTGGATGGCCAGGCTCGTGGTGGCACTTCTCTTTATTCACGGAGTGGGAGAATCCGTTACTGCCATCAACTTGGACTACTACTTGCCTACCGTACAAGCCACAGATGTCATTTTCGGCATTTTAGCAGTTACTGCGGGAAGTTTGATGTTGTTCCAGAGCTTGAAATATTTCAGATCCAAGCACTATGAAATTTTCCTCTTGGTCCATATCGTGCTCGGAGTGTTGTTCATCGTTGGTGGATGGAAGCACACCACTGCCCAGGGCGTTCCCCAGTTTCACTACGCAGCTGTGGTGATCTGGGTGTTCGACAGAGTTGTCAGACTCATCAGGCTCGTGGCGTTTGGAGTCCGTATGGCTGATATAGAATTGATCAATGGTGAAACCTTGAAGGTGACTGTGTCCAGACCCGGATGGTGGAAACCATACCCTGGATCGCATGCATTCATCCACTTCGTCAAACCCGTTCATTTCTGGCAGTCCCACCCCTTCAGTTTCGTGGACTCTATTGTTGGTGAAGACACAATCACATTCTACATGAAGGTCAAGGAAGGAATTACCCGCAGCATCTGCGATGACTTGATCAATGCTCCAAATAACAAAGGAAAGTGCAAGGTGGTCATCGAGGGCCCTTACGGTAGCCCTGTTCCAGTGCATAAGTTTGACAATGCCGTTTTCTTGGCTGGTGGTAATGGAATGCCAGGTATTTTCCAAGATGTGCTCGAACTCTCGAGAAAACACATTGAAACCAAGCAGGTGTCTAAGCTTTTCTGGGTCATCCGTGACATCAAGTCTGCCCAGTGGTTTATGGACGAGTTGGTGGCTTTGGAGAACTCGGCTGTGGATGTGGTGATATACGTTACCAGCATGAACAGTAAAGACAGCATAAATGATGGAGTTGGAGAAAAGAAGAATTTCAGGGAGTATGGAGATATGTCTGAGCGTATGTCCATTACACAGAAGCTCAGTCATGTTGAGTTCAGACTGGGTAGGCCAAACATCCGCGAGCTCGTTCTTGCGGAAGCTGCTCAAACCAATAAATCAATTGCATTTACCACCTGCTCCCATCCAGGTATGGTCGACGACGTCAGAGCTGCTGTCCGTGAATGTTTGAGTGTAGATCAATCCAAGAGAATTGAATTGTTCGAAATCAACCAAAGCTGGTAATCCAGGTCCGTGATAGCGTAATCTAATTATTAATAATATATCTAATCTTGAATAACATATCTAATCTTCAAAAACATGAATTAGTAAGATTGATTTGTTTCAGTTGGTACTCGTGGATGAATAAAATAAATTGATGATAAAGATGACGAAAATCATCCTTACTTCACCAGCCATGAACGACAATTTGGCATACCGGAGCAATCAGGGCTTAATTATGATTTCTCTAATGACAGAATATTCCGACTAATATAGAAGCTGAAAAGATGAATGAACCAACAACAAAAGACTAACACTGACAGTTTCGGGTTTCAATATATGGCTGCGAAAACTGCGCGTAAATATCGTCCCAGGCGTAATTTTGCAAACGCACCTGGTAAGACCCCAAGCGAAAATTTTCATTTCGATTTTTCAATACTCTTTTCTTCTCTTCAACTATACTATCCAAAATGGTAAGTCCATAATACGACGTTGGAACGACATCCTGCTTTACGCCCATACCACTAGTTCAGTCTAAGAACAAGGTTGTGCGCAAGGAGTGATGCAGTTCGTAGTTTTTTTTTGGAAAATTTCGATTTTCGGAATAACCAAGAATGTGTTTCACTTCTTGTGACACAGGCTGAGTATCTTAAGATACTGTAGGGTATCCAGGTTTTAAAGGGATGTTCGTTTCAAGTTAACAAACACTTTTAAACTAACCCAATGACACAGCCTTCCAAGAAAGTTGCTCCAGCGCCATTAGCCACCAAGACCAAGGCCACTGCCTCTACTAAGAACCCATTGTTCGAATCTAGCCCAAAGAACTTTGGTATTGGACAATCCATCCAGCCAAAGAGAAACTTGTCTAGATTCGTCAAGTGGCCAGAATACGTCAGATTGCAAAGACAAAAGAAGATCTTGTCTTTGAGATTGAAGGTTCCTCCAGCCATCTCTCAATTCCAAAACACCTTGGACAAGAACACTGCTGCCCAAGCCATCAAGTTGTTCAACAAGTACAGACCAGAAACCTCTGCTGAGAAGAAGGAAAGATTGACCAAGGAGGCTGCTGCCATCGCTGAAGGCAAGACCGCCAAGGACGTTTCTCCAAAGCCAGTTGTGGTCAAGTACGGTTTGAACCACGTTGTTTCCTTGATTGAAAACAAGAAGGCCAAGTTGGTTTTGATTGCCAACGACGTCGACCCAATTGAGTTGGTCGTCTTCTTGCCAGCTTTGTGTAAGAAGATGGGTGTTCCATACGCCATCATCAAGGGTAAGGCCAGATTGGGTACCTTGGTCCACAAGAAGACCTCCTCTGTCGCTGCCTTGACCGAAGTCAACTCTGCTGACGAGGCTGAATTGGCAAAGTTGGTTTCCACCATTAACGCTAACTTCATCGAGAAGTACGAAGACTCCAGAAGACACTGGGGTGGTGGTATCATGGGCTCCAAGGCCGTCGAGAAGAAGGCCAAGAGAGCCAAGAACCTCGACGTTGCCCCAACCAACTAAGCCCAGCTTATATCAATTGTATATTAATAAACTCGTTCCCATAGATCACTTTGTCGCGAGCCTTCTCGTCTTCAACCCGCCTACTGGTAGCACTCCACCATGACTAGACTGCCTGGCCATGGTGAAACCCAAATGGGGTGCAATGGGCTCATCTAGGGCTGCAGACCTATATTCACGTGTTTATATGTTTTCGCGCGTGACTCTCTGTGCACTCTCGCGAAAATTTTATCTCATCCACCCTCGCACTCGCCGACACCCTGTGATATAGTTAAATAACTTTTCGTTACTTCTAATTTCTTCACTACTGAAACTTATTAGGGTATGTTGAGGCCATAATGAACCATAGGAAATCGATGGATATGTGAAAGAACGTGTGAATTCCGGTGCCAGACCCTCCTGTTTGCATGCTAGAGCATTGAAGTGTGTGAAGATATCAGTTCAACAAGAATTACCAACACCAAACGCAACGACGTGAAAGACCACCAATCAGCAGCAGAGCCCCGCATCGACCAACCTCCGTGTATTACCAGTGAAGCTCCCAGAATCAGCACATGCCAGTGGGAGTTCGATGCTGGGGAGAGCATTAAACTCGGTCTGGATCGACCACCATAGCAACATGAGCCATACCATCGTTCCGCCACAGTCAACTCGTACTAACCTTTTAGAAAAATGTCTAAGTCTAAGAACCATACCGCCCACAACCAGACCAAGAAGGCTCACAAGAACGGTATCAAGAAGCCTAAGACCCACAAGTACCCATCTTTGAAGGGTGTTGACGCTAAGTTCAAGAGAAACCACAGATACGCTTTGCACGGTACTGCCAGAGTCTTGGCCAAGGCCAGAGCTGAAAAGTCCGCTTAGGTTATCAGTGTATTTGTTACATAATCATTGTATAATGTTAATATAGTTCATGTGGTTTACTGACTGAAGAACAAATGTAGTGGCATGTGGCCATTTATAGCTCTATTACTGAGTGGTAGTCGCCAACTATTCCGTAGTTACTTGATTGCCACCGAAATCTACTCCTTAAGTATTGCATTTTAGGTGCACCACTATAAATGCAATTGTTGCAAAATCAACCGCTTAGCTCGGTATACCTTCACCACAATGAAAAACCGTATCTATATCAAGAACTTGGACTACTCCACTACAGAGGAGGAGCTTGAGGACCACCTCAAGGATTTTGGCCCGTTCGTACCTTTGGGATGGCGTTGGAACTCTACTAACTCCTACAATTGATGTGCTCATCCCTTCACATATGGTAAGACTCTCGAACACCAGACGGAGGCACTTTGGCGTTGCCTATGCCGAGTTTGCTGACCAGGACACTGTCGATCGGGTGATCAACGCCTGGAATGGCAAGAAGCTACACGGAAGGGTTCTCTCTGTAAAGCAGCACAAGCCGGTGGTGTGTGCTAGACACTTATCATCTCAAGACCCACTAGAGCAGTCTAGAGACAATGGTTTGGGTGCCACGCGATCCCCACTGGAAGGCGACCTTCCTACTGTCTCTGGTGTTCCAAAGGAAAGCTGTTTTACCGCCTCGGATGACACGATTTTCATTCCCAGGGCATACCGCAAGGTCACGGAGAATGAAATCAGGGACTTCTTTGATGGGTACAATATCAGGGCAACCCATATTGTCAGGCCCAAAACTAGCAGTAGAAGAATTGGTTTCAGACCGTGGTTCGTATCTATATTCGTCACCTTGGAGACCAATTTTTCATTAAGCGAAGTTATCAATTCTCTCAAGAAGAAGAGACTCTGTGGCAATGCAGTTTATTTGAAGCCTGCCTACCAAGAAAAATATGATTCAATCACTAGAATCAAGCAGAGGGTAGTTAAATATGTCCACGATAAAGTCGATCCTAGTAGTGCTCAAACAACTGCCATTGAAAGCTCCGAAAGCACTTCCACTGATGTGCCTATAGAAAACGCAGATGGAGCTGGGGAAAAAGACTCCCCATTACAGCCGGAAGTCCAGAGTGTGGAGGAAGTACAAAGAACGGCAGAGGCCGCTGTGGAAGAGGTGCAGGCTCAGGAAGTGGTTCTCAGGGAAGAGGTACAGGCACTAGAAGAAGTATTCGCTATGGAAGAGACACAGTCTTTGGAAGAAGTACGCACGGTGGAAACGACACAGTCTCTGGAAGAAGTTATAGCTGTGGATGAGGTACAGGTACTAGAAGAATTATTAGCTATGGAAGAGGTACGGCCCCTGGAAGAAGTACGTGCTCTGGAAGAAGTATTCTCTGTGGATAAGGTACAGGTGCTAGAAGAATTGTTGGCTATGGAAGAGCCGCACCCTCTGGAAGAAGTTCTTATTGTGAAAGCCTCAAAAGAGGTTACTCCTATTGAAGCTCATCTAGACACAGAAGAAACTTCCAACGCATCCAATACAAACGAATAATCAAGCTACCATATTATTCCTAACTACTTCGAAAATACTAGTTTTATATTTATTAACACGACAACAAAATACCCCAATTTTCCTATAAACTGTTAGATCTAATCGGAAGTCTTTTGAGTACCACGCAATAAACCGGTTCTTCTGGCAGCAATCAAACCAGCCTTTTGACCGGCGACAGCACCTCTGGAAATAGTAGAAGCCTTACCAATATGTTGATGGTTACCACCACCATGAGGGTGATCAACTGGGTTCATGGCAACACCTCTGGTCTTTGGCCAGGAGTTTCTCTTGACCTTGTATTTGTGGAAAGCTCTACCAGCCTTTAACAATGGCTTGTCGATTCTACCACCACCGGCAACGACACCGATGACACCTCTGGCGGAAGAAGAGATGATCTTCTTGGCACCGGATGGCAACTTGACTCTGGTCTTACCTTCGTCTGGGTTGTGTCCGATAATGATAACGTAGTTACCGGAGGTTCTACCTAAAGCACCTCTGTCACCNGCCTTTTCTTCGACGTTGGAGACAATGGTACCTTCTGGACAAGCACCCAATGGCAAGATGTTACCGACGTTCAAGGA